CAGGGAAATTTATAATTATTTAAGATTGCATTATTTTTTGTCTCCTAAACCAGTTGTAAATTGTGTACATCTTATTGGGGTGAGATTCATTTGCAATTAATTTTCATCTTTTAGTTAAGCAGGATGGGTAAGGGGGGTTATGTTGGCTGGTAAAGATTTTCATATTTGATTCACAAAATTTCGCTGATGTTAGGTTCAGTGATATTTTCCCAGAATTCTCTCACTGTTTGCATGACATGGTTGCTAGGTGACAAAGTTGTCATTGTCGCCAGATTGTCAAGAACAATACCCAGGTTCATTACCTCTCATTGTTACAAAGTTCATGCCTGGTCTCCTTGTCAGCCCATAGTCCACGCACAGCCTTACCCTTTTGCTCATCATGCTCCTAGGAAATGAAATCCTTCATAGATTCTTCTCTCATACACATGCTAAGGCTTCACTAAAGAATCATTGACAGCAATTCAGTTTGCAGAATTATCCTGCGCCTGAACAAAGTGACGATATGGAAATGACCTCTGTCCTCCATCTGTCTGTTCTTCCTGTTTCCAGAACCCGTGAAGCTCCTGGGTTAGAATGTTGATCTTCAGTAACCCCATGCTTGTCGTAAGAGGCGACTAATGGGATCGGGTGGTCAGGCTCGCTGGCTTGGTTGACACATGTCATCAGTTCTCAATTGTGCAGATCGATGCTCATGCTGTTGTTCACTGGATTGTCTGGTCCAGACTCTATTATTTACAGACCGCCACCATATAGCTGGAATATTGCTGAGTGCAGCGTAATACTAAACTCACTCACTCACTCCTATTTCCAGAACTTTTTCATAAATCCTGAACTATTACTTCATGAAACTTTGTATACACATCAGGAAATCACTGAAATTCGGACATTTGGTAATCGGGGCTGTGTTTTTTTTTACATTTATATCTGTTTCCACGGCTCAGCTTCAAATGATGAGTTCTTTCTGGAGCATGGCTCTTAAACTGCTCAAAGTGTAGTAGAGGAACTCGTACACACTTCAAGCATGCACCTAGCGGATGACTTTTGTTATTCATGAATATTTGAATTTTTAATTTTTGTTTTTCTGTAGAGACAGTTTGGTCTGGGGTTCAAATGGATGTAGGAGAATTTCTTAAGTTTAACTCATTAACTGTAAAATATTTCTTTGTGAGATGCTGTTAGCCCATGAGGCAAGTACTAAACTACAGCATTCTGCTCTTCAGATTTTATTAACAGATTTTTTTGTTTCTGATCCAAGAATAAATTGGAGTCAGGTTCCAATAAGGTGTTTCATTTTGTGAGGCAAAACCATAACTCCATTCAGTAGTATACAATCTTGCTGGGATTTTGGTTGGACATTGTTACAATACATATCCAGCAACTTAGGGACCATTCATAATTTATGGCTAGGGGGTGATGATGATTTTAAGGGGGGTCACCCATTTTGTTGGGGGGTCATCAATTTTTTACACATGTTCCTTGGTGGTGTCAGCAATTTTGTTCATAAAAATATTTAAAATTTATGCTTAAAAAGTATTGGAAGGGAGAGGGGGGTCATTGATTTTGTACATGACATGCAGGGGGGTCACTTACTTTGCACATAAATTTTAGGGGATGTCATTCACATTGTACATGCTTCTCCATAAAAAGCATCATCACCCCACCTGGCCATAAATTATGAACAGTCCCTTATTTCTGTTTTAAGAAAAAAACTAAATGAATTATCAGAGGCCGGACTTGGTGTCTTCGTTGATTGTGTGACATGCCTGGACAGTGTTGGACGTTGCTCATAATGCAGTGTTTATTAGGAAACAAGCATTACTTGCATGTATACATCAGTTCAAGAATTGTTATTCTGTTGGTATTTTGCAGTGGAATAATAAGTGGTAAGACTTTCTCCCGTATCCCCCTAAATTTTAACGATGAGAAAACATATATATATATTCAGGTAGTTTGATTTAAATTTAAGGAGGGGTACGGGCTGATGTCTTTCCTATAACATGTTAACAGCAGAAAACTTAAGCAAAAGCCCTTTTGAGCATAATAAAATGTATTACATTTTTTGTATTTTTGCAATAATTTTAACAGGTGGGGGATATTGATGACTTTTGTCTTCTTTAGAATTTGGATCACATGATTTTCCATGGGGATTCTTTGTTAAGGACAGCAGAAATATTTTTTCATAATTTTGGTGGCAAAATAAGAATATGCCTGTGACCTGCACCACATTGAGCCTTGCTCCATCACCAAGCAGCAAGGACGTATGTAACTGAAATACTGTTGTAACTCATACTAGGACTGTGACCCTATGATGTGTATTTAAGATACCCACATTTTTGTCTAACCTCAGTCGGCTTCTGATAGCCATTCACCAAATGTTTGTAGCATGAACTTGCTCTATGCCGCAATAGGAGCCCTTTGCCGCAATAGGAGCTCTAGATACGAAGCCAACAAAGAGCGTAAAAATCAATAGTGAGACATTACGGTACAAGGCACTTTTTCAATAATTAGGTCAAATCAACAAAATATGTTTTGTAGGACTGTTTTTCTTCCCCTTAGGGGATGGAATATGTCTTTTAAGATGTCATGTTTTCATATATTGCATTGTTTAAGCTTGACCTAGAAATCTATGGGTACCCTAGTAATTAATTTCAAGGGTCCCTGTGGGAAATGTGAGTGTTCTGTAATGTAATGAAATCTTTTGTAGAGAAGTATAAGATTTGATAATAACTTAAATTAGAATACATTTGTCAAGAACTGGATGCAATGAATATGTTTTGTGCATCCCTTGGGATGCAATATTGTGTTTATTTCTGCATCCATTGTACACATTTGTTCTTATTGGATAAATATTTTGTTGTGTAATACTGTATCATATCGTGATTTCATTATCGTTTCATATCTGAACCCAGTTTATCACTACAGCCCTAGTCTCTGCAAACATCATAATTATGTAAAAATACACTTTATGTACATAAAAGGATTCCATGACCAAATATGGGTTGGAATATGTTCCCATCTTGTTTGTCATTAGATGTGACTAAATGGTCAGATTTTGTGCCTTGGTGTTTATATTGTCATAATGCCCTGATGGCGTGAGACATAATATAGATATGTATTGCTGACATGATATATATTGCTGAGTGATAAATCGAACAGCAACCAAAACATTAAAGTGTTTGTGAAAGTCGAAATTACTTTTGCTGCAGTGACTTAGTGTAGCATATAGAATAAAAGTGACTTAATGTAGAATACAGAATAAAAGTGACTTTATGTAGAATATGGAATGAAAGTTTTCATAACTTTCTGGTGGCCATTGGGTAGATGGTTTCATTCTCTATTATAAGCTTGTCCTTTGAAAATTCAAGGGCAGAACTGGTTATCAGTTTCTTTTGCTTGTTGAGTGAGTGTGTTTGGTTTTACACCGCTTTTAGCAGTATTCCTGCAATATCACATCCGGGATCACCAGAAATGGGCTTCACACATTGTACTCATGTGGGAAATAGAACCTAGGCCTTCAGCATGACGAGCAAACACTTTAACCACTAGGCTATCCCATTGCCCCTTTTGCTTGTTGAAGATGTTTAAAATGGAGATCTAATAGCCAGGGTTGGGTGGCTGATTACATGTCAGTGTGATCAGGGGTGAGGACCATTGGTCATACTTTCAGTCACTGGCATGCCTGGTCCATGTTTGTTCTTTGAGATTGCAGGCTGGGACTGGAATATTACTGTTTTTGTGGAACATTATTCACTGTCTGAGTGATGTCGTCTGATCATCAGATCTTTATTAAGTGATGTGACAGGCTGTGAATCCTGCAACACGTTTTTCATGTAACAATCAATGTAAAGTAACACCTGACAGGTATTGATTTGTGAGGATTTCAGGTGTCTGTGCAAGGTGTTACTTCCTAAGATGAGGGCGGGTGTAGCCTAGTGGTTAAAGCGTTCGCTCGTCACGCCGAAGACGTGGGTTCGATTCCCCACATGGGAACAATGTGTGAAGTCCATTTCTGGTGTCCCCTGCCGTGATATTGCTGGAATATTGCTAAAAGTGGCATAAAACCATACTCGCTGACTCACTCTTTAGATGAAGATAACGGTTTATTGTAGATGAAGATGCTGGAAAGGGCCTTCCAAGCGTTTCTTCTACCAAACTATGTCAGTTAAATTGTAGTGAAAACAGGTATACATTATGATGATAAATGTGTAAAGGTTTAGTACGACACAGAGTTAGCAACTGAGCTTGACACAAGATCTTAATTGGGACAATGTCAAAACAAGACAACTGGAAATATTTGGACCTTCGAAGAATATGGTGTAATCATTATAAAGACTGTAGTTGTTGATGGGAAGTCATCTTTTAATTTAATGCAATAATTTTAAGAATATTGTTGTCAAACTTGAAATATATCCCGAAAAGGAGATTGCATTGAGATACTATGGGGAACATGTCTAGCTTGTAACAAGAGGAGTGATATATGATACATATTGTGATTAAAAATTTGTAACATAGTGTACTGCAAGAGGAGTGTATTATGATGTATATTGTAATAGATCATTGGTGTGTGATACATTGTGTGATGCAAGAGGAGTGTATTATGATGTATATTGTAATAGATCATTGGTGTGTTATACATTGTGTGATGCAAGAGGAGTGTATTATGATGTATATTGTAATAGATCATTGGTGTGATACATTGTGTGATGCAAGAGGAGTGTATTATGATGTATATTGTAATAGATCATTGGTGTGTGATACATTGTGTGATACATTGTGTGATGCAAGAGGAGTGTATTATGATGTATATTGCAATAGATCGGTCATAATTCAATATTAAGGTATCAGTTCTGATCACCTTAGCGCTAAGATCGCTTTGTACTATGGTACCCTGGTACTTCTTGTCATGTTAAAGATAGATATAGGATGTCATTTCTATGCTTTCTTTATGTATGTTCCCTTTTTTCTTCCCCTGAGTATACAATATTTTGTCTGTATTGCAGAGTATGATAGATGTCTCACTGACAACCCCTATACAAGATGTCTCCGTGTACCAGTTCCCCCTGGACTTGGTGTCCGAGTTACTACAGCAGGTATGTAAAGTAGAATCATCCAATTACCATCATTTTAGAAATTCCAGGTACCTGAAGGCTCAGGGGCTGTGGGGTAGCGTAGTGGTATAAGTGTTCACGCCAAAGACCAAGGTTTGATTTCCCACATGGGTAAAATGTGTGAAGCCCATTTCTGGTGTCCCCCGCCATGATATTGATGGAATATTGCTAAAAGTAGCGTAAAACTGAACTGAAACTCACCAGAAGGCTCATATACTCGAGGACGGAAAAAAAGCTTTGTGTTCCTAAAACGCATAGCACTTGAATCTTGCGTGGGCATGAACTGCAGGTGCATGTCCTAGCCATGAAGTGGCGAGGTCTCAAAAGGGGGGGGGGGAGATCATAGCTCCCCATAAAATTTAGATTTTTGTTTTCATTTTAGAGCATTTTATCATCATTTGCAAGTCAGATTAGATGAGAGAACATTTATTTTATTTTGTTGTTTCCTTGCGGAAACTACGTTTTTCAGTTACCTGTTGTGTTTTACGATTCATGAGATCACATGTCCACAAGTCATCATCATAATTTTAAAGAAGGATCAACTTAACTTTTACCCAGAGTTTTACATTTTCATAAAGAATTTGGGGAGGTGTGGCACACAACATGGGACTCGAAAGTCTCCAAACTGCGAATAACTATATATTGTATGAATTTCGTGATATACTAGTGTATGGTCATACATGGTTTGGTGTTTTGCACCCTATCTGGCAAGGTTGCTATTTATTAACCTGGGGAAATCCAAGTTTCGGTAATATCACCATATCAAAAAAAGTAACTACCCAGAACACAAAATGCTTTGTGTGCAGATAATATCATGCGTAACATGTAGATTTATTTCGGTGACGCACTCATGTTTTGACGTTAATGAGAACACTGTATACTGTGTACTTATGTCAGAGGGTATAGATTTGGGCCTGTGCTTCACTTCCTGTCTGAGCCTAAATGATAAAATTCATATCCTGTGTGAACTGAGTAATTTCCCTGTTGAACCTGTGTATTTATTTATTGAAATAATAAAATCATATTTAACGAGTGACATTAATCACTTTTGCCTGGACTGCTAAATTAAAATCTCCTCATTCCACAAGGAAGCAATGTGTGGAGGTGATTGTTACTCCCATGCTTGAACATAGTGAGTGAGTGAGTTAGTTTTACGCCACACTTAGCAATATTCCAGCTATATGGTGGTGGTCTGTAAATAATCGAGTCTGGACCAGACAATCCAGTGATCAACAGCATGAGCATCGATCTGCGCAATTGGGAACCGATGACATGTGTCAACCAAGCCAGCACGCCTGACCACCCCATCCCGTTAGTCATCTCTTACGACAAGCATGGGTTACTGAAGGCTCATTCTAACCCAGACCTTCACGGGTAGCTTGAACATAGAATTATGACAGTTGTAGCAGTCTCACTTTCTTTGTGGAATGGTACTCAGAGCCTTGTCCTTCACATATGTGGATTTGATGGCCATAATGACAGATGGTTGGCTGCCTGGAGAGATTTAGCTCATATTGTTCAAAGTGATGAGATGATCTCATTCTACTGGCAAATGGTTTAGCTCACACCAATCCTCAATTTAGATCGAGGCACAACGGAATGCAATCAGCCTGGTCACATGTTGTATATCCCCAGCCTTCATTGGTCTGCTGTTGTCACAGAGGGGACAAAATGGGTGCATTTACTGACCACCTAATACACAGTCCTTAGAACAAGTGTGTGATCACTTGCTCAACTAGATTATGCTTCAAAACCATATAAGGAGGTGTTGTAGCCTCGTTGTTTAAGCTTTTGCTAATGTCAAAAGAACTGGTTTGAATTCTCACATGGGTACACTGGGTGAAGCCGACAGTCTGGCCATCACTGAGACATTGAGACATCAAGACACAATGATAAGTGCTATACTGGAACGCTTATAATATTCTGTTTGGTCACATGCCACTGTGGGTAGCATTTGTCAGGTGTCTCTTACGAAACATTTAATACTAAGCAGACGCCACTTGTTCCCTTACTTCTCTAATACTGGTGTGGGCGGTGGGGTAGCCTAGTGGTTAAAGCATTCGCTTGTCATGCCAAGACCTGGGTTCGATTCTCCACATGGATACCATGTCCATTTCTGGTGTCCCCCGCTGTGATATTGCTGTAATATTGCGTAAAACAGCGTAAGAGCTCAACCCACTCATTCACTCATAGCCTTATATGTTCCCAAAATGTGTGGCTCGCTCACTCTCACTCACTCACTCACTCACTCACTCACTCACTCACTCACTCACTCACTCACTCACTCACTCACTCACTCACTCACTCACTCACTCACTCACTCACTCACACATAGCCTTATGATATGTTCTCAAACGTGAAATATCTGCTTTCATTATCATTAATTTTTTTTTTCTTCTTCCACAGAATTCAGACGTCATCACCAAAGTTGCTCATGAAAATATTATTGTAGCATTGGCACCTCTTCTTGAAAACAATCATCCCACACAAGAAATCTGTGATTTTTTCAGCAAGGTGAGTTTTATTTGACAACTGATTGATATGATGCATATCATTCAAATAACATTTTGGTCAGGTTATTTCACAGATGATATATTTCCAAGTATCATTAAATTGTTTTCTCAGTTAAAACTTTTTTGTCTCATCGACATAGGGTTGTGGGGTTGCGTTGTGTTTACCAGGAACAGTGGCATTTAAATAAATGACCAAAGTTTTAATGAACATGTAATTTAGCATGAGGTTGAGTGTTTCTACTTGGTACCAAGGGTCTGTTCACCTGAGTGGAACAAACATGTGTTACTGTCTCCAATCATGTGTGAGACCCGTGAAGATCCGGGGTAGAATAATAGGTCTTCAGCAACCCATGCTTACCACAAAAGGCGACTATGCTTGTCGTAAGAGGCGACTAACGGGGTCGGGTTGTCAGGCTCGCTGACTTGGTTGACACATGTCATCGGTTCCCAATTGTGCAGATCGATGCTCATGCTGTTGATCACTGGATTGTCTGGTCCAGACTCGATTATTTACAGACCACCGCCATATAGCTGGAATATTGCTGAGTGCGGCATAAAACTCAACTCACTCACTCACTCACTCCAACCATGTGTGACATGTCCAGTATCGTTGTTTTTGACAATGTATATATAAAGGAATAGACAATGCCTTTTAGAAAACTGTCATATGTAACGTATGTTATATTTGGGATTACACTTTCTTAGTAAAGTAAAGATCCTAGTTCCATCTGGGATTTGAACCCACACCTTCAGAGTCAGGCACCCAATCGTCAGTAAAGTACAGATTCTGGTACTTTTGTTGGGTTGAGACCCATCCAGGATTTGAACCCACACCCTCAGATTCAGGCACCTAATGGCCAGCGCACCAAGTCAGCCGTCTAATCCACTTAGCCTCCACGATTTTCATAAACATGGAAGTCGAACAGCTGGTAGTCTAGTGACGGAGTTTAACTCAAGTCCATTCTAATTACAGAAATTTTACTCAGAAAGTGTAATCCCAAATATAACACATGTTAGTTTGAACTCTTTCTCAATGGTATTGTGTATTCATATTATTGTAATAATGTATTAATAATTTTCTTATGGACCCACCTGTTATAAATATACTGTAAGCCATTAAAAACGCAATTTGACATTCATACTTTCTTTACTCACACCAATTTCAACATATATAAACCTAACTGGCAGATATGTTTTAAGTGAACATCTGTGAATAATTTCATCTGAAAATGTCCAGTCAACAACAACATCAGTGACGCAACAACAACAGCAAACAAAGGAGGGGTCACTTGCAGTCAATATCGTGTGTGCCCACCGTGCGCTGCAAGACATGCTCGCAGTCTTTGGGGCATTGAAAGACACACATTTCTCAGGAACAGCTGTTGGATGGTCTGCAGCCTCTGATGGTCTGTGGTCTGATCATGACACCACCCCCTCCAAAACGATCATGTTCAAGGACACAGTTTGGCGCAAGTCTTCCTCCTTTACGTCGATAAATCTGTGGACGTCCATCTGCAAAGGATAAGTTAAACCAGGATTCATCTGACAAAATGACATCTGGCCATGTCCTGTTGCCAAGATTGGCCCCATTTGCTGCCCATCGCTGTCTGGCAAGTCTGTGGCGATGCAATAAGGTTGGACCATGGTACGGGTGACGACACCGGATGTTGAAGGCAGCAAGGCGTCCTTGCACCTTTTTGGGTGCTGAAATGACGTTGACTTGTCCCAATTGTCCTCCTTGCCTCATCATCAGCTGTTTGGAACTGATTTTGCAAGTGTGAAACTCGGATATTGCGGTTTTGTCGAGCTGTTATCACAGGTGGTGCAACCAGGTCGCGGACGATCAGCAACACTTCCGGTAGCCTGCAAACGTTGTCTGAGTCGACTTACAGTGGATGGATGCACATTAAAGTGCCTGGCAATCATCACATCTGAAGCACCTTGGCTGACCATACCGATAACCTGATTCCTTTCGTCTTATGTCAAGTGTGGCATTTTCTCAAAGTGATTGAGTTCCACAATTCCTTGTGCTTTTTACAGGGCCTGGGTGCAGGTAATGCATGTGCACAACGTGTTTCATGAATGTGGTTGTGTTTACGAGAAATGTCAAAGGTTCAGTTTTAAGTATCAAAGTTCATGTGAGAGGAATGCTCCGGGACTCGAACTCGAAATGGGCCAGAATAACAGCCTTTTATCCCTACATCCTCTGTATCGCAGGCAAAAATCTTCAATAGAACTTTTGTGAGTTTCAGGACAACAAATACCAATTGCGTTTTTAATGGCTTACAGTATATATTACAGTGTGCGCAGTACATGTATTGCTTAAAGGGCTTAATATCAAGATCATGGCAGGTTACTTATGTATTAAACATGTGTTTCAAATTAGATTTTGTTGCTACTGGCTTAATATGAAGTGTATTATCTGAAGGTCTTAATATAAAGCGTTTTACAATATACAAAAATACATAAATAATGGTCTTCAGAAAAAAAGTTTATTGCATAAGGTGAAAGATGAACTTTTGTGAATACATTGTTGTAAACATGTTAACATGTTCAAGAACAATGCTTATTGCACTGGGTACAATATGAAGTGTAGTGTTGGAAGTGTGGGATATTGAGTATATAGCACAGGCATTCTATTAAGCCTACAGAACCAGGGCATGATATGATTTGTATTGCAGAAGGGCATGAAATAATTGTTATGTGTCTGACACTGTCCTTCATGGTCTTGTTGCAGCGCTAGCCAGGGGCTATTGTCTCTGGCCTGTCTACAGCAATTAAAACAAAATGGCCAACAGCGGAAATTATTCTCCAAGGGTACTTGGTGCCTTTCACAATTGATTTCTATAACTGTTATCAAATAAAAAACTTTTATGTCATTCTCTGAGAATATTGGGGTTGACTTAGCTACAGTTTGATCACACGATTTTTAGGGCAATGTTATCAATGTCAGCATCATCTGGGCCTGAATGTGATGAATGCATTTATGTGTGCACCGGAGATAGTATCCTAGTTCACTTCTCTCAGGTGAAGGTAAAACGTTTATATTCCTTCTGGTAATGGGGATGTTGGTTCAGAATTTACACTGCAATGTGAAGAACAAAAACATCATGCCAGACATTTTATTGACTTTCTGTGATCTGTAGACAAAGGAAGCTGTGATTAATAGAGAAGAACAAATAAACAGTGCCACAGGCCTCAGCCTCCTTCCATGACAGACATCGGAAATGGTTTCAAGTTGTCTTATCTTGTAGAAAGTAGGATTGCATCAAAGCATAGATTTCAGGAAATCCCTGATTCAATATGTCTGTGATAAGTAATAATGTGTTGTGGCTGAGATAATGATTGAATGTGTGGAAGGAAATGGTCAAATAAAGAATTGTGACAGACTGTTTTCACAATTACAGAGCAGTCAGTTTTCATTTTCATCAAGATCATTTTGATCCCTGGCACTCATAGTTTTCTAGAACAGTTATGGATAATACAATTCTACAATGTACATTGTGCTTTGATCGTCAAGTATATGAGCGTGTGTGTGGACTGGTTTTAAGATGGTGTATTGGATTGGTAGATGGAGGAATTCAAATTGAGGTATTGATTAAATAATCTTAACCAATCAGTGAAAAAGTTATGCTATATTTCACTGCCTTTATTTAAGATGATTTCCTGGTTCTCTCAGATAGGAATATTTTCTATCCATTTAATATTTATACATCAAACATCTGTATCTGATTTCTTTGCTGTGATCAGTGTCATGATGACAGCGTTGAAATTGAACACAATCTTGTTTTAGCAAAATCATGTGCCACCAAAATATTGAGCTAAGTTCCTGGCCAGATAGAGATACAATATCAATATATCTAATGGCAATTCTTTCTGAGGACATCCCAAGAGTGCATCTGCAATGTTCAGAACTGTTTTAAATGGCAATCCAGGCTTCAGGGAGTAGATGATTCAAAATTGATATTTGATGTTGAACTATGTTAATTGATGGCAAGGTGATGTAGGAAAACAGAGATGAGTAGGCTTGCTGAAATGCCAGTTTAAGGTTAAACTTGGCATCTGTTACTAGATATCATTGACAATTCCGCAGGGTACAATCGAAAGTTCTCTAATCTTGTCCAGGGAGGAATGAGTTGAACCTTGGTGAAGTACGTATTAATTGATTATAATGTTTGATGATTTTCTGAGTTTAAACTGTTTCATGACTTCTCTGGAGACGTAACTGATGTAGGTGATCAGTGTTGGTATGTCCAACTGGGGACAGTCTTTGAAGACCTTGACACAGACATCTTATGTGGAATTAGTTCTTTCATGCGTAGAATGAAAGATTCTTTCATTAATAAAACAATTCTTTGAAATAATCTAGATATGAAAAATTGCTTAAATATGAAAAAAAAATGCTTAAAGGGAACTATACATTTTTTGTTTGCACAGCTGAAAGTACAAGTAAGAAGGTCATTTTGCATGGTCCTCAAGGCCCCAAAGACATTATGCTTGAGGTTTGTCTAGAACACCCCTGTATTGCAACATATTGAAAATGTATTTTGAGATGTGCTTCAGAGCAGTGCACATCAAGTAACCACAAATTAGTTTCTGCTTTTAGGCAGAATGCAATATTATGCAGGCAATTATACTGCCTTCAAAAACCAATGCATTGGTGTCAAGGGAATATTCTATCAGGTGTATTTAAGGAAACAGAAACTAAGAATATCTAATATGCCACAAGAATTGTGACCAACAGTTACAGCGGGATTTGCTGGTCATGGTTTTCACTCATTATTACGTTATCATGATTCTCTCATTATCGTCTTCGTTTTGTTTCCACTGTAACCTTGCTTTTTGGTTTCACCAAAGTGGTAAACATCTATGACTGGCTTTTCTCACATAATGTTTATAAGCAAAGATATAACTGAAGAGGCTGTTATGGAACTATAACTGAACAGGCTGGGACATAAATAAACAGGAATAGATGTAACTCAACAAGCTGCAATACAACTGAACAAGAAGGGATATAACCTAACAAGCTGGGATATAACTGAACATGCTGGGATATAAATAAACAAGTTGGGATTTAACTGAACAGGTTGGGATATAAATAAACAAGTTGGGATATAACTGAACGGGTTGGGATATACATAAACAAGTTGGGATGTATCTGAACAGGAATAGATGTAACTTGTCAAGCTGCAATACAACTGAACGAGAAGGGATATAACCTAACAAGCTGGGATATAACTGAACAGGCTGGGATATAAATAAACAAGTTGGGATGTATCTGAACAGGGTTAGATGTTATTCAACAAGCTGCAATACAACAGAACAAGAAGGGATATAACCTAACAAGCTGGGATATAACTGAACAGGCTCGGATATAATAAACAAGCTGGGATATAACTGAACAGACTGGGATATAAATAAACAAGTTGGGATGTATCTGAACAGGGTTAGATGTTACTCAACAAGCTGCAGTACAACTGAACAAGAAGGGATATAACCTACCTGGCTGGGATGTAACCGAAGATCAAGTATATAATTGAAGCAGCTGGGATATAGCTGAAGAAGATGGCATATAACTGAATATGGGGGGATTTATCGGAAAACATGTTGATATAAATGAAGAAGCTGGGAAGTAACAGAACAGGCTGGGATATAACGGAACAGGCTGGGATGTAATATACATGTATTGACATGTAACTCAACAGGCTGTGATATTCTGAAATTGTGTTGAAAGTGACATTCAGCCCATCTAATTCATTTGAAAATGTATGGAAAACCCTTAGGAAAATAATGATATCACTTCCATTTACGAGTGATGCATATTCAGATACTTCATAACTCAAGCATAAATGGAATGAAATCCCACCTTTGTTTCTCAGAAGCTTGATTAGGAAAGTTATTACTCTATGATACCAGTAACCAGAGGAAGCATTTCCACAGTTGAGATAATGAGTCTGTGTATGCTTATTTACACTGCTGCATGCTAAGAGATGTACATGCATTAATGATAGCTAAAAACCATACCTTTGTGTTGATTTACGGCTGATTTGATGCTTACTGTGCCAGCCATGGATTTGACTCGAAGCATGTCTGTAAATTGTGTTAAATAGATTGACTAAATCAATACTATCACACACTTGGTATTGGCTGCTGTCTGCTTCCTGAGATTTGGTCGGAAGTTGTGGTGGCTTAGCTGCTATTGGAGGTCTATCAACTGCTGTGGTCATCGTGGCCCATCTACCACTGATGGCCTATATACTGCTGTAGTCATCGTGGCCCATCTACCACTGATGGCCTATCTACTGCTACAGTCATCGTGGCCCATCTACCACTGAGGGCCTATCTACTGTCATCGCGTGGCTGCAGTCATCAACTGCGTGGCCCATCTACCACTGATGGCCTATATGCTGCTGCAGTCATCGTGGCCCATCTACCACTGATGGCCTATATACTGCTACAGTCATCGTGGCTCACCTACCACTAAGGGCCTATCTACTGTTGCAGTCTTAGTGGCCCATCTGCTACCTCGGGCCATTCTACTGCTGCAGTCATGGTGCCCAAACTGCTACTGAGGGCCTATCTACTGCTGCAGTCATTGTGGCCCATCTGCTACTGGGGGCCTCTCTAATACTGCGATTATATGGTGTCATAGTGATCCATGTCGACTAGCGGCTTGTCCATAGGGATCATGATGACCCTTCTGTTACCGGTGGCCTGTCTGATGGAGTCTTTGTAGCCCATCTGCTACTTGGGGCCTGTTGTCCTCTGGGGTCATAGGGGCCCAACAGTTACTGGTGGCCCATCTTATGCAGACATGGTTGGCCATGCTAATGCTGAAGAGTCTTATACATAACTGATCTGTGACAATGGCATTTCAGTCCATAATGAAGAAGTGTTGTATGTCATACACTCTGACACATAGAGGTTTGATTTGCTCATGATAATGAGGTGGTGGAGTAGCCAAGCGGTGTCTCATCACACCAAAGGGTTTAAAGACCCATGTGACTTAATCGTATTCGTTACGAAAAAAACCCACAAAACATGCAACTATGATAGCAGTAAAAACATACAAACTTAAATAAATTTAAATAGCATTTTAACCATACACAATACATTTTATTCAGGAGCAAGCTATATGTGGATTCTTAATACTGATTTAGGTGAGTACAATGTTAATAACAAGTTCTTAGAATATCCATATATTTTTTATTAAGTATGAAAATTATTTGGAAAAGTTAATACTAATTTTGGCAAATATTACAAATTTTTTGCCAAAATACTAATTGGGCTAAATTAGGGTTGGCATCTCTGGATTTAGTTCCCTCTAACGTGTGGAGCCAGTTCTTGGCATCAAGTGCAATGTCATGACTGGAAGGGCGTGTGAACCAAGCACCTGTATGGTAGCCCATGGCTGCTATATCTTTTCTTTGGTTAGTTAAATAGAATCGTTAGAAATAAAATAAATAAATAGAATAAACGTTAGCTAACTTACTTTTCTGCCCATGGAGATATAATATTGTTATTTTGCAGTCAAATACGAAAGTTTAAAACAGGAATTTCCTGCCTGAATGGTCCCTGGCTCATTTCTGATTTCAGAGGTGTAATGTAACGTTTGTTGTGCTTCTTGTGGTCTCTTGCCATGAGTTCTGCATGTAACAAAAATCTGTTTGATACTGAATCAGACTGACATTCTAACCATGTTGAAACTTGAAATTTCTTTCTCACCTACCAGATTTCTCCTTGCATCAGGTGGTATAGAAACACTGAACTACTAAAATTCAAACTGACTAGTATACGCATCCAGCAAACTCTGCTGGTGAACAATTTCTTGTACTGTCGAGACATACTTTACACACTGGACTTGAATTTTGTGAAAAGCAGTGTAAGGCTTCACTCACATAATCCTGACATGACTAATTTCTCGATATTTTCTTTCAGCACTGTAAAAACAGTCCCCGGTCAAGCATAGTGATAGAGCTGTTCACCCCTGTGGTTCAAAGGATATTAAAACACAATATGGTGAGTACACTGAATACCATACTTATTCTAATAAAAAACAAATATCTGTAAGCTATGGGATATAAGCTGGGAGACCTATATTCCCTCTAAAGGCCAGGCTCATTTCAATACCTTCTTTACAATTTTTTGTCAGAATATTGAAAGGCAGGATAAAAATTTAATAAATTAACTAACACTTACAGAAATGTAAATAGTGCCTGCACAATTGCAGATATATTATTGCATTGAGCCCATATTTTTTTATTGATTCTTTTGAAGGCCAAACTGTATGATCTTTTATCTCCAGATCAAGTCTTTTCTTGAGCCTGGAGGAGAGATCAAACATGACAATGAAATTTTAGTTTTTTAGATTTGGGATATCAGATATACTTGACATTATTTCTTTTGAACCCGTGAAGATCCGGGTTAGAATTGATCTTCAGTAACCCATGCTTGTCGTAAGAGGCTGCTAACGGGATCGGGTGGTCAGGCTCGCTGACTTGGTTGACACATGTCATCGGTTCCCAATTGCACAGATCGATGCTCATGATGTTGATCACTGGATTGTCTTGTCCAGACTTGATTATTTACAGACCGCCGCCATATAGCTGGAATATTGCTGAGTGCGGCGTAAAACTAACTCATTCCCTCACTCACTATTTCTTTGGAAATCACTAAACATAAGAGAAAAATGCTGAAATAGATATTTGTGAATAAATAATTCCAGAAGGCCTGGCAATCTTGTGTTGCTTGGCAATCAGATTATATGGTGCCTGTAGATGTGTTCTCAGGGAATGTGATCTGTCTTTGTAATTACCTCACAAACGTTGGATATCAAGAAACACGATTTACGTCAAAACGGAATAAGAGAGATGTAACAAGTCGTTGTCACTGACATGTCCAGCTGATTAGTCCTGCTGGGAAGTCTTTGCCTTGTACCATCCCTGTGGTAACTCAGTCCCGTTCTTTGGGACATACGCCATATCCTGTCATTTACATTATGAATAACTCTCACCTAAAGTATGACAAAGGGCTTGTCCCTTCACCCACAGTAAAACACAGCACACTACTCTGGCAGGGCATGTCCTCTCATCTACAGTGTGACACACCACTCTGGCAGGGCTTGTCCTCTCACCTACAGTGTGATACACCACTCTGGAAGGGCCTGTCCTCTCACCTACAGTGTGACATGCCACTCTGGCAGGGCTTGTCCTCTCACCTACAGTGTGACACACCACTCTGGAAGGGCCTGTCCTCTCACCTACAGTGTCACATACACCACTCTGGAATGGCCTGTCCTCTCACCTACAGTGTGACACACCTCTCTGGAAGGACATGTCCTCTCACCTATAGTATACTGTAATAATCCATCAGGGCATGAATTCTCACCTACAGTGTGACACACCACTCTGGCAGGGCATGTTCCCTCCTCTACAGCATGACACAGCTCTGGCAGGGCATGTCCTTTCACCAAGACTGTGACACATCAAACTGATAGGCAAGTCTTCTCACCTGCAGTGTGATATACCCCTCTGACAGGGCAAGTTTTCTCACCTACAGTGTGACAAACACACACACACACACACACACACAGAGTTCTTTCTCCTACAGCGTGACACTCGATACAGTTCAGTCATCTACTCTGACATTGCTGCTTATTTAAAATAACGACCGTCCTAATCTCCTTACATGACAAAGACTTGTCATAGTTGTACTTGAGGTGGTCTATTTCAAGAATTGGAGATTTCTGAAGAGACCAGAAAGGTTGCCTTCATATTGGATATAATTATGCCTGTGGTCTTAATAAAGAGATTAGGGTATTTACAGACCAGTACCCACTGCAGGGCAATGTGACTGACTTGCCAAGAAGAATGAGCATTTTCCTCTTTGTGTCTTGCAGACAGTGGTATTCACACCATCCAGCAACAAATGTTATCAACACCATGAAGATTTCTTTGAGTTCAAATTTATTACAGATCCATTTGTATATATGAGTACCAAATTGAAATGTGAAGGAGCTGTGTTCTGTCTTCCATTTTCTGCATTTTATGTGATCTCCGGTGTCTGTCACAGAATTTCTGCCTTTTGGTAGTACGCACTTGATGCCTTTAAGCTGTAGAATGTAGAATAAAAGTGAAATATGAGGTAAAGATCATCATGGTGATTGTCTTACCAATTCATGGTATATTTTGACTGCCAGTGTCAGTATGGGCTAAGTATTACATAGTTAATATAAAACGTCAAACAGGCTTGGTAGAGGCCATGATACATGCTTAGCATTGTGGCTTTTATTGACTGTCTTACTACCCGAGCAGTTCATGGCTTTTAGGGAGCGGTTGGGTAGCCTAGTGGTTAAAGCGTTGGCTCGTCATGCCGAAGACCCGGGTTTGAATCCCCACATGGGTACAATGTGTGAAGCCCATTTCTGGTGTCCCCCGCCTGGATGTTGCTGGAATATTGCTAAAAGCGGCGTAAATCCAAACTCAGTCAGTCAGTCAGTCATGGCTTTTAGAAGCCATCTGGAAAGTATAGCAATCCATGGTATTGGACCAAGCATTACAAGGTTTGTATAAACCATTTCACTGGGCCTGTATCGTGTAGTTAGTGTTAGTCATCATACTGGCATAAAGTTATATTAGCTAACAGCGCACTAGATCATCATTGATTGGTCAGTATTGACCATGACACTGGACAAGTATTACATGGCTTATATTAGGTAACAGTATACTAGATGATCCTTGATTGGTCAGTATTGACCACGACACTGGACAAGTATTTAATACATGGATTGTATTAAGTAACAGTGTATTAGATCATCAGTGATTGGTCAGCGTTGACCATGACATTGGACAAGTACTATATGGTTTATATTAGCTAACAGTGTACTAGATCATCATTGATTGGTCAGTATTGACCATGACACTGGGCAAGTATTTAATACATGGCTTGTATTAGGTAACAGTGTACTAGATGATCATTGATTGGTCAGTATTGACCATAACATTGGTCAATTATTACATAGCTTATATTAGCTAACAGTTTACAAGATCATCATTGATTGGTCAACGTTGACCGTAACATTGGTCAATTATGACATAGCTTATATTAGCTAACAGTTTACAAGATCATCAGTGATTGGTCAGCGTTGACCATGACATTGGACAAGTACTATATGGTTTATATTAGCTAACAGTTTACAAGATCATCATTGATTGGTCAGTATTGACCATAACACTGGTCAATTATGACATAGCTTATATTAGCTAACAGTTTACAAGATCATCAGTGATTGGTCAGCGTTGACCATGACATTGGACAAGTACTATATGGTTTATATTAGCTAACAGTGTACTAGATCATCATTGATTGGTCAGTATTGACCATGACACTGGGCAAGTATTTAATACATGGCTTGTATTAGGTAACAGTGTACTAGATGATCATTGATTGGTCAGTATTGACCATAACATTGGTCAATTATTACATAGCTTATATTAGCTAACAGTTTACAAGATCATCATTGATTGGTCAACGTTGACCGTAACATTGGTCAATTATGACATAGCTTATATTAGCTAACAGTTTACAAGATCATCAGTGATTGGTCAGCGTTGACCATGACATTGGACAAGTACTATATGGTTTATATTAGCTAACAGTTTACAAGATCATCATTGATTGGTCAGTATTGACCATAACACTGGTCAATTATGACATAGCTTATATTAGCTAACAGTTTACAAGATCATCAGTGATTGGTCAGCGTTGACCATGACATTGGACAAGTACTATATGGTTTATATTAGCTAACAGTGTACTAGATCATCATTGCTTGGTCAGTAGTAGAAATAATTTTGACCCAAAATAGTATGGTTTGTACTGGTGTTATATAGGCCGACCATCACATGTTTGGTATGGTGTCATATAGGCCGACCATCACATGTTTGGTATGGTGTCATATAGGCCAACCATCACATGTTTGGTATGGTGTCATATAGGCCGACCATCACATGTTTGGTATGGTGTCATATAGGCCCATTATCGCATGTGTTGTATTGGCATCATAGAGGCCGACCATCACATATTTGGTATGGTGTCATATAGGCCGACCATCACATGTTTGGTATGGTGTCATATAGGCCGACCATCACATGTTTGGTATGGTGTCATATAGGCCCATTATCGCATGTGTTGTATTGGCATCATAGAGGCCGACCATCACATGTTTGGTATGGTGTCATATAGGCCGACCATCACATGTTTAGTATGGTGTCATATAGGCCCATTATCGCTTATTTGGTATGGTGTCATACAGGCCCATTATCGCATTTGTTGTATTGGCATCATAGAGGCCGACCATCACATGTTTGGTATGGTGTCATATAGGCCGACCATCACATGTTTGGTATGGTGTCATATAGGCCGACCATCACATATTTGGTATGGTGTCATATAGGCCGACCATCACATATTTGGTATGGTGTCATATAGGCCCATTATCGCATGTTTTGTATTGGCATCATACACACCTGTGGTCATGTGACAGAGGTCTCATACTAAGAGGAAATGGCAAGGGTCAAATGATTAACTGCAGTTTATATCCATGCACAATTCCTAAACTTCAGTTTTCTTTTTTATCCCCTAGGTAAGTAATAAGTAGGATGTAGTAATCAGCGTTTCTATCTTCTTCCGTACATATCTCTAAAACCAACAGGTACTCTTTCATGGAACTGTTCAGAGACAAAGACAAAGTGCTCAACTGTGCCTTATGCTATCTAGAGAATTTTAGTTTGACTTTGAGTCTGTTATGAGTCATGTGTCTGGACCATGTTTTGAAACTAATAGGTATAAGGTAAACCAGGCCCCGATTTCTCAAACCAAACTTAAGTTTTTACTCAAATTTCAAACTGAGTTTGAGAATTTGAAACAGCTGAATTTTGAACTCAGCTGCATTTTTTTAATAAAAAAAGCCCAAACAACTTAAGTATTCTATTCACCAAACTCAAATTGTCTACTATGTTTGAGTTTAATATCAATTTCAGTTCATTCTGGGAAATACGTTTTCTCAAATTTGAGTAAAAATTCGAACTTAAGTCTAAACTCAGACTTAAGTTTGTTTCGAGAAATCGGGGCCTGATGTTTTGTGGATGAAAGCATGTATATGTTTTATGTTTACCTGTCAGAATGATGGTAAAAGTCACCACACATCATGGTGCACGTCTATGACAATGAAACATCCATTTCCATGATAAAGCTGCATGACACAGGAAGTATGCTTGTATGGCCTGGCAATCAATAGTGTTAGTTCCATTGGTTGTTGTTAATGGTCATCTGCGTATTGAGGTGTGATGTTGACTGTCAGGCTTTTTGCCCTGATTTACCCTAATCAACTGATTACCGGGACCCATAGCACTGCGAAGTTCCAGAGTACAGCATTATTGTGAGGATTAGTACATTGCTCCCAGAAGGTGTTAATGTTACATAAGTCTCTCGTCAGTAATGGATTCTAGACAAATTGAATTTTACAATGGTTTTCACACTGATGTACTTCTCAATAGAAGTTAAGCACTGATGTACTACTCAATAGAAGTTAAGCTACAGTTAGTTCCCTCGTATTGGGTTGGTTGATTGTTTGTTGTTTAACGCGGCACTTGGCAATATTGCAGCTGTATGGTGGCAGTGTGTAAATTGTTGAGTGAGTGAGTAAGTGAGTTTAGGTTTACGCCGCAATATGCTATATGGTGGCGGTCTGTAAATAATCGAGTCTGGACCAGACAATCCAGTGATCAATAGCATGGCCATCGATCTCCGCAATTGGGATACGATGTCATGTGTCAATCAAGTCAGTGAGCCTGACTAGCAGATCCCATTAGTCGCCTCTTATGACAAGCATGGTTTACTGAAGATCAATTCTAACCCGGATCTTCGCGGGTCAGTGCATTGTGATTCTGTATACCACAATATTTGCAATGCAAGTATTGTGTCATAAGATCTATTTTTGATAAAAGAGCTATAGATGGTATTTGATAGACACAGGCTTATGATGTAGTCCGAATTGAACAATGGACTCTACATTTAGCAGAGATTTCTAATGATTATGGAAATGCTTTGTTTTGATTTTATTTACATATAAATAACAGTGATATTTGAAATACATGTTGAAAATTAATTGTAAAATTAAGTGCGTGTGTTTGTGATGGGTGGCACAGAGTGGCAGGATACGTTTTTCGTGAGTAAGTGAGTGAGTTTAGTTTTAGCAATATAAACCATGTCAGGGGACACCAAAAACGGGTCCTTGTCATGATGAGTGAATGCTTAAACCACAAGGCTGCCATAACCCCACCGCCCTCATGAACATTGAATATCGTCACTATTTCATAGTAATAAATCATAATCACGTGCTCATGATATTGTAAGAATTGTAGAATGGACTGTTTTTTGCAGAGAGTTATTATGAATACGGAAAGAATTATATTACATATCTTTCTTATGTGAATTTGTTATTATGTTAATACATTTCAGTGATGCTGTTTTGCAGGATTATGTCACGTATTGTTCTTATATGAATTTGTTATTATGTTAATACAATTCAGTGACGTTCTTTTGCAGGACTTCGGAAAGAATCCCCAGATGCGATTTTTTGTTCAGGAATACATCCAAGCCTTGAACTGTCAGAATGATGGTATACGGGTAGTGCAGAACTTCGTCAGGAGGTGAGATCGGTTGACTGAATTATGCCATTTACACAATTACTGCAGCTTGTCCTCGTGAAACATCCGTTTCTGTTACATCATTGCCATAAAACCTGTATTTATGATAAGGCTGCAGTAACATTACCAGCTCACAGCATTTCTGTGCACAAAGTTGGGAAAACCTCATTTCTTTCCTGTGTTTGCTAGGGTTAACATCTCTGGTTGCTGTGTCCCCCACACCTCCAAACCCCACCTTGGTTATGTAGGTGTAACAGGGTGTGGAGTCATCCCACTGATGACATCCTTAGCTTGCCGATTGGGTTAACCTCTTTGGACAAGGCATCCAACTTTGGATCAGAAGGGTCTAGTTCGAATCCCAGAATGGGCTTCAAAGGCACACTATTACTAATCTTTTCAGTTGTGCTGTCAGTTATCAGGAGGCGAGATCATCCAACTTATTTATGCAATTCACACAATTTTTCTAGCTGACTCAAATTGACAATGTTATGACACCAATGTTTGAAATTAAGTCGGGCCTCGGTCTGTTGTCCTTGAAACCTACTCTTATAGTATACTGGACAAAAATAGTTAGGGATATATGTGAATTTTGAAATTATGAATAATGATCTATTTATTCATTGACACACTGATAAAATATAAATCATTAAAATACCAATATCCCTAACGTATTTTGTCTAGTATATTTGAATGTGTGACCCCCTAAGTCTTAACTTGGTCTCATTGCAAGTGCCAGTAGTTGTGAGGAATATCCTATCTCATATTCCATCAGGATTTTTCTGCATCAACATTCCGGTGCGTGTTTGGTAAAGCTCATGTAATAAACCTGTTGCGGGTCAAGAAAGCTTTGACTGTTTATGCTTCCTACTGGCGTGGTGGCAGCGGTGGGATATGAACTCACGCCTACGAAGAGACTGAAAGCTTTGTCTGTTTGTGCTTCATACTGGCGAAGGACCCTTTGACTTTCTATTTCAGCACATAATCAAGACGGCTATTCTTTGATGTGAATGTTTTATGTTTACCTGCTGAATTTTGAAGGGCAGTGGTTAAAAGTGTTTGCTCGTCACGACGAAGACCAGGGTTTGACTCCCCACATGGTTACAGTGTGAAGCCCATATCTGGTGTCCCCCACTGTGATATTGCTGGAATATAGCTAAAAGCAGCATAAAATCATACTCTCTCACTTAATTTTGAATGATGAGGTAGGGTGTGTTATAAAATCAAACTCCCATACATGAATTATCATCTCCCATACAAAATATATATAATTGCTTATCATAATAATTGAGGTATTTCTACGTTCAAATTAGTAAGCTGGTAAAATGCAATCCGCAAAAGCAAACGACCTTGCATAAACTAATAAGATTAAAAGGATTTAACTATTTTTGGTAAATCCTGAAGAAATCCAAAGTGGAATCGACAGACTGATTGATGTGCAGCATATCAGGTTTCTTGGTACGACTGTACTGTAAGCAGTGAAGTAACCATTAAGATTAGAGCAGAGTAGGTTCTGTTGGAATCTCTGCTGCCATTCCCTGGCTGTCTAGCATGTGTCATTAAAATACTATTTTAGGATGTTGTGTAGTCTCAGTGGATAAACTCTATTGTCTGGTCTACCAAACAGGTTAACGTTTCGCAGTCATGGTGGAAAGTAAAAACCTTAGCATTGCAAACATTCAGATATGGCATGGATAATATTGTCATGTTTACTCATCAATAAAGAGTATTTTTTGTGGAGTGTGATCCTGTGAGTTTTTGGTGTGTTGTTTGGCACAGATGGCACCCCGTTCTGAGGAACTTCAACTCTTGCCTGTTACCTCCCTTTTGCTGCCAGCATCTGCATATGTGAGGTTTGGTGCGAACCTTTATACAATCGTCACTACATACCCTACTCTGTCATTCATCAGTATTGGTTTTCCTCCTGTAAGAACTGGGATGTCATTATATGATTGAAATAATGATGTCCAAAAAACATCTCGGTGGTCTAGTAGATAGAATGTTTGCCTGAAGTAGAAGGTTGTTGGTTCAAATCCTCTCAATAATCCGCTCAGTAACAAAAGACATGGGATGAAGTGGTTAGCATGCTGGCCTCTCACGCCAAAGGCCTGGGTTCGAATCCCGGTGGAGACACCAAAATTTGTGACCTGGGTCTCATTCTGTGTTGTGTCCCTGGGCAAGGCACTTCATCCACATTGCACTCAGTCCACCCAGCTGTTTAAAATGGGTACCTGAGAAGCGGTTGTACGGACCTATACGGTCTTGCGAAGCATTTAGTAGCAGCTTTGAAAGTACAATTCCGTGAGGGTAATAATGTAACGCCAGAGAGCATTCTAGGCGCAAAAATTAGCATTATTATATTATTATTATAAAGAAATGTAACAAGGATTAGTAAGTTGGGATTCAGTATGCTATGTCTGAGTGGAAGTCCATGTTAAACTATGGACTTGAGCAATGACAAAATGAAATGAATGTATCAAGACTGATGTTCATATTTCCTCACTATAAGGCTAATATGGTGGTCAATAATGAATGACAATTCTAAGATGCCTAGCGGTTAGATCTAAACTTACTGATCTAAACTTACGCTGGTAGTAGTAATGCAACGTTCATATTGCCCCATATGGTTTACGTTAATGACAGATGTAATTAAAATAATTCAGAGAAGATATTTAATCCGAACGTAAACCGTCATCAAACTGTTATCATTTGTTTTTTTCTGGTAACATTCGTCTTAACGTAGGGGGCAGACACATCAATAGAACAGCGCGCCAGTTAGCCCTGTGCGAGGATTCTTAATTTAGGTCACCGACACCGTCGTTTGTTTTCTGCCTTAAATTAATCGTAATTATCTTTAGAAAGTATTAAATTTGGCATCTTAGAAAGAATATACCTTCGCCCTACCACCATGTATAGTGTAATAAAACACACTTTCGCCTCTGAACTATTATAACGCTAAAGCACTTTCGGACGACGCAAAGCGCCCTCGCATTTTAACTATAATAGTTCAGGGCAAAAGTGTGTTTTATTACACTATACATGGTGGTAGGGCGAAGTGTATTTCTTAAATAAAACCTCCTCATCAAGACATATGTTCTTGTTTCCTCTCAATAAGGCTGATATGGTGGACAATAATGTGAGACAAGCTGAAACTTCCTAATGTGGACTAATGTTTGTACTTCCTCTCAATAAGGCTGATAGGGTGGACAATAATGAGTGACAAAATGGAACATCCGCATCAAGACAGGTGTTCGTATTACCTCTCTATACAGTGGACAATAATGAGTGACAATGAAACGTTTGTATTAAGAAGACCCTCTTTGGGGCTCTTTGTAGTCCTAATTCTGCTGCCAGTAAGCTCAATTTGACTCTGCCCTACTGACATCAATTCTCCCCTGTTGTCATTTGCCATCTTCCCCGTGATGTAAGCTGTATCAATGTGCTTCTCTGTGAGCACTGACCAGCGAGACCTCTAAGTGGGTGACCAGATTAGATGCCATGACGACAGGTGCCCTGTGTTAAAACCTCAGTGCATGGTGCTGATAACTGCTGTTCCATATCCCATCAGGTTTCTCTGACAGAACCATTGGAATTGACAGAGTTATATTTAGCTTATCCTCATGGGATTAGTTTGCCAACATGACCAATTATTAAGTCGAGACCAATACTCCCTCTGCAGAGGGGGTTATTGAGGAATATTGATGCTGACATTTCATTTAGAGCGCCACAGATCCTCATGCCCTATGTGGCTCATATAACTTCTCACCCAATGTGTTAAGTGACAGAGGTATCAATATTTCATTAGAATTCAACATTTCATTGTCGTCATGAATTCAACGTAGCATTGAAATTTATGGATCTGACATTTCTTGAAATTAGACTATCTGTTTCTGTATCTAAGAATTCCTCGCCTGGCAAAGTCCATTTCAAACATGCTTCATGTTCCATGCTGTTCAAGTTTCGATTGGATACTGAGACATTCATATTCAATACTCAGATAAATTGTGTATATTGCAAAATCATAATTCCTGTACTGACTGACTGAGTTTAGTTTTACGTCGCTTTTAGCAATATTCCAGCAACATCACGGCGGGGGACACCAGAAATGGGCTTCACACATTGTACCCATGTGGGGATTCGAACCCGGGTCTTCGTGATGAGCCAATGCTTTAACCACTAGGCTACCCAACCGCCCCCATAATTCCTGTAAAAGAATTACTTTGTTTGTTTTATGCCACACTTGTCCATTCATATTGTGGTAATTTTTGTATATAATATATTCTGGACAACTCTTGTAGACATTATGAGCATCAATCCGATCATGTTACCCACTTCTTGTAACAAACATGGGTTGTTACATACCAATTTAAACTAGGATCTTTATTGGGTAGAAAAATATTAAGCATCCAAAATTATGATTATTATCAGAGACTAGTGAAATTAACAAATAGCTTCGTCATGAAATATACAAATGGAGTGGTGAATTAGGGACTTTTTGAACCAAGCTCATCATGTTCGTAGTGTTGGTCTCTTGTGTCTAAGGATGATAGGAAATGTGTTCTTATAATGTTATGTTGTTTATTTCAGTATGCATGGACCCTCTCATACGTGTCCACACCCAAGGGTGTTGCCGAACCTAGTTGCTGTCTGCTTGGCTGCCATCTACAACCTGTACGAGGAGAAGAGCAAGTGAGTGAGCCAGATCAGACAAGTAGAATTCCTGTTCCTCATTAGGCAGCTTGGGTTGTATACTCAGTGAGTTGATATGGAAATACAAGCAAACACTAATCCATTATCTCACCGTCCCTGAACACAAGTGAACACAATCGAATATAGTAGTTGTATTATTTGTGGTGGTATTTGGTCCCGTGCACAGATCAGGTGAGAAGCTGGTAAAAATTCCAGTGGTGGGATGGTGATTCTGCTCAGCAAGCAATTCCTGAGAGTTTCCTGCATCTCGTTGTCAACAATACTTCATGGGTTGTTATAGGTTGTTATTGCAGTGACACATACTGCTTGATAAATATTGCTTGTTTATCTGAGCACTGATTGGTCAGAGCACTGATGAACAGAGCACTCACTGATCAGAGGACTGATTGGTCAGAGCACTCACTGATCAGAGCACTGATTGGTCAGAGCACTCACTGATCAGAGCACTGACTGGACAGAGAGCTCTCACTGGTCGGAGCACATGATTGGTCAGAGCACTCACTGGTCAGAGCACATGATGGGTCATTGCACTTACTGATCAGAGCACTGATTGGACAGCACTCACTGATCAGAGCACTGATTGGACAGCACTCACTGATCAGAGCACATGATTGGTCAGAATACTCACTGATCAGAGCACACTATTTTTCAGTGTACTCACTGATCAGAGCACATGATTGGTCAGAGCACATGATTGGTCAGAACACTCACTGGTCAGAGCACATGATTGGTCAGAACACTCACTGGTCAGAGCACATGATTGGTCAGAACACTCACTGGTCAGAGCACATGATTGGTGAGAACACTCACTGATCAGAACACATGATTGGTCAGAGCACTTGATTGGTTTCCCTCTCACTTAAACAAACCCCAGAAACTACTGTGCAACTTGGCCCTATGTATTCACTAGTGATTGGGGAACGTTGTGTATACAATCTGTAAAATACTGATGAAGGCCCCACTATAAAACACTGATTTAATGAAGTGGTGTCCACTTGGTAGATAATGGTTGCCCAGTCATGATAAGAGTGTGAATGTAGACCCTCATTCAGGGTTGTGTTGCACGTAGCTGGAGTTGCTGGAGTCCCCAGTGACCTGAGAAAACAAATTGGATGTACTCTGATCTGTTGACTGGGGTAATGACTGTACACACTGCGAGGCTGTGGTATAAGTGCTGTGCATATGGACATATTGTTATGCATAAATCGGGCAACATGACATTAGTATGGCGAGGTAGAAGTTCAGCTTCATGCATATTTGATGCAGTTGTTGAATAAATGTAGCCCAATGACTTCTAGATAGTGCAGACCAATTTAACAATGCCTTAATACGGAGTTGTGTCTCAGTAATAGTAGTGTAGCTGCTCAGTGATATCTAAGAAGATATGTGAACTGAACTGAACTGAACTTTTTTTCACTCAGGCTGCAAACTGCAGCATAAGAGGTACATAAATAATATTTACATTTATATTCAACATAAAAAGTATATTCAAACGGTATGATAGGTGCAATGTACATCAAGCTAGTTACATATTAAGTTATTGAAATTATTTCTTAAATAAAGCCATAATTATTTTACAAAAAATTGAGAGTTTTCTTAAAGTTCCTAGTGGTAGGATATAGACAGCTTCTCAGTAGATCATTGTAACAACACCTTATTGACACTTCAAAATAGTTTTCATAATAGCCCTTTGACAATATCTTAGTGGATCTGTAGAAATGCTTTTAACAATAACTCATAACACTTAAGTAGTGTCTTAGTAATAGTAGCCCTTAAGTTATATCTTTGTACACCTGTAGCAATATACCCAGTAGCCCTCTTTAACAATAACTCATAACACTTAAGTAGTGTCTTAGTAATAGTAGCCCTTAAGTTATATCTTTGTACACCTGTAGCAATATACAAGTAGCTACCCAGTAGCCCTCTTTAACAATAACTTCATAACACTCAAGTGTCTTAGTAGTAGTACCACTCAAGTGATATCTTAGTAGATCACAAGTAGCTACTCAGTAGCATCGTACAGTAGTAGCCCTCCAGTCATACCTCAGGGATGTGTTTCAGCTCGTATCTAGGTAGCTCTCCAGCTGTGTCAGTACCGCCTCAGCAATAAAAGTCCAACAAAATATCTCAGTAGTAGTAGTAGTAGTAGTAGTAGTAGTAGTAGTAGTAGTATCTTAGTATCTTAGTAACAGCACCCTCTTGATATTACTGCTGAAGCAATAACAGTCCAACAAAATATCTTAGCAGCTCTGTACTGGTGACTAGTCAGCAATCAAGTAGTATCTTAGTAAAAGTAGCCTCCTGATATTACATAAAAGGTATATGGCAGTGTCTTTTTATGTGGCAGTCCAGTGCCTTGGTGTCCCTTTAACAGATGCTTAGCAGCTAGTTTTGTGGTACCTTTAAATCCCTAGATGGACCTTTGGCACCTTGTTTGTAGTGCTGTAGTCGTTTACTTGTAGCCATCTTCAGGAGATCTCTGTAACAGTGCTATAACTGTTATAATTCCCCAGCTATTAGAACACAAATATTTGTGGTACTTAAAATTGATTTGAAAATGTATAAATTGTTCTAAATGTACAAATTATATGTCTGGGGTTTTGTTCTCACAGTCTTGTGTTTCTTGCAGTGCTATGCATAACAACATTGATGTCATCTTTGAAGAAAATGACTGGTCAGAAAAGCTCCTATGCTACATCTCCATGCTTGAGACTATGTAAGTAAAAATGTTTTGATTTTCAAGTTTTCTATTTGCTTTTTTCATACAGCATTTTGTAAAGAATCTGTAGGAGTGATTGATATAATGAGCAACTGCCCATCTTGTCAAAGTATGATTACATACAGGCAACCAAGCCATTCAGCTTGTACACATAATTACTGATGGAACTTACAGTAATAATGCATAGTTGGGGACTTCCATGACACATGCAGCAATATAAGGCTTGGCTATTATGGACAAGTAAATCAGAGGTACAGATAAGCTGCATATCAGTGTAAATTATGCAAAATTTTATATTAAAACTCAATTCCTTTTAAGACTGTTGCATACAGGTACGCTTAAATTTTTGTAAATACTCATGATCTTACATGTGTACACACAAAAATGTCAAATATTGGCATAAAGATTTTTGGTTTTCTGTATTGGTCTTGCTATCAGAAAAATACAAGTCACCTCTAGAGAGCCAGGATGTTGGTTACCATTGCTTATAACTATAACCGTATGACTTGGAAACTTTATGATTCCTATTTAAGAATTGCACTGACATAGGCTGCAGACTTGGTACCAAATATTGGCTTCTGAGCAGGTCTGGATAGTTCCCAGGATATATGTATAGATATATACAATAGTTGCTGCAGAATCTATAGATCTAGCAGACTTCATCACCGTCTTTTGTTTCCTGTTGTTTGTGTATGATTGTCAATATTTACTATTGGGTTTGTATTGATGCATTCATGGATGCTGTGCCACCTCCAGACGGCCAGTGGGTATATATACATGTGCACTGTCTTTGACACACTCGCCTTCAATTTCAAATAGAAACACTCATTTGCACAGACTTGAAAGAATCTTGAATTAGGCTGGACTTGATAAAGCCTAAGATTAATAGATTCCATTGTTGACTTTGTTGGTAATTGAATATAAACTACTCAACATTATATAAAGATACTTGGATTTTTATCCTGTTACAAAACTACTGGACAAAATATTATTGAACCTTCTGATGTTATTTAATTAGTTAAAAATGAAAGAAAACCTTGATAAGTTCTACTGCAATATCAGATACTGTTTGTATGACAACACATCCAAACAGTTTTGTTCAGTGCCAAATTGACCGCAGGAATATCTTTATCAAATGTTTAGTGATATGTTACCATGTATAGTTTTGTATAATGGCATCATGATTGTAAAGTGGCGATGGAGTAGCCTAGTGGTTAAAGCGTTCGCTCATCACACTGAAGACCTGGGTTTGATTCCCCACATGGGTACAATGTGTGAAGCCCATTTCTATTGTCCCCAGCCATGATATTCACGCCGCGGACCCGGTTCGAAATGGGCAGCGTAAAGCCCAAATTGCCAAATTCATCTCTAAACTCACTCAGTCAGTCAGTGATATTGCTAAAAGCGGCGTAAAACCAAATTCACTCACTCACCTCATGATAGAAACAGGAATTTGGTAACTCAGTGTATTAGAAACAATGATGACTGAATATTGTAACAGTGTATGTGTATGCAAGGCCAAAGAATACCCGAATAAAATCAGTTTATAAGCACAGTTGGGTCCCTGAAAAGGGACTGCTGCCTTAAAAAAGGCGGGTCTTTTATTTATTTCAGAGTCGCTGGTATGAACACTGTTTTGATAACTGAATCGTGTCTGTTTTCCAGGTCTGAGTATGACGATTGGCGGTATGTGCTTGGCAGCTTATTACAACCAATCCCATTCCCAGATGAGTGAGTATACAACATTTTTTCCTCTCATGAAGCTGCCAATCAGCATACTTTAAGGTATTTCAGTGCCACTGCCTCTGTTATGTTTTGAAACCATGTGATGCTTGGAAATATGAGGGATATGACACCATTTATGTCTTCTTTATAGCCCTAGAAATATATTTTCACACATTGACCATTTGTGTCAAAGTCATGTTTTAAGTTGTACTGCAGTGGGCTGGCATTTTCCCAAATAAAATTTGATGTGATTAAAATGGATGTGCTATAACTTTGGTATTAAGGTAGCCAGGAGCACAGTTGTGTGTTGTTCAGGAGGGAGATGTTTTATATGGGATGCTTCTTTGTTTTTATATGTAATTCAAACAAATTAGACATAGTGAATTGATTTCAGGGTTACTCTGTGGAGTTGTGTCCCATTGTACTGACAGTATCTGTTGGTATTTTGTTTAAATCCCAGATTCAAGTGCTTCTCAATATCTTTCAGCAAAACTCCGAGCACAACTCTAAAACTTCTCAATATCTTTCAGCAGATATGTGAGGCAGATCCCAAAGTGGTGCCCTTTGCTATTTGCAGATTTTTGTCATTTATTTTTTTCATGATTTCCACTTAGTCTAAAATCAAGCTGGACTTTAAGTAACTGTCAGATGATTTGTTCTTTCAAAGATGTGGGGGCCGGGGGGATATGTCATCTTCTGATGACTCTTGTTCTTGTAGTGTTTATCTGTGCTGTATTGATGCAAGTATGGATACAATAATCTACCAGTATGCTTATAAAAATAATTGTCTTTCAATTTCAGTGCAATAGCCCATGAGGTGTTCACATCGTAAGTACAAATTTCTGCATGATATAGTTGCTTTGTTTGTGGTCTATTCTCACTTTTCTCACCTATTATGATCAGAAACCACATTATGATGACTGAACACTATTTACATGCGATGTAAATGTATCAAAACACGCAATTCACAATTTAAATGATCATTGATCAAAATCCTCTAACACTTTTTGAACACTTTCTCAATCAGCCATGTCATTTGATGAAGTGTCATCCAAGTTACCCTCACCACAAACCTTATGATTAACATTGCTGTTACTTCCTGCCATGTGCGTGTCTCTACAGGAAGTGTCCTAGATCGTCTTCATGGAAGTATTAATCAGTGTTGGTTTGCACCATGTTATGATTTTGTCCCCTAATTACCCACGTGAGTTTTGTGGTGGGGTTTACCACTTTCCACCGATTATTGATCGATTACTGAGCTCCGATTATCGATCTGCATATTGTGAATGATAACCAGCACTACTTCCTTATAGTTGTTAAGGGGCACTGGGGTAGTCTAGTGGTTAAAGTGTTCGCTAAACATGCCGAAGACCAGGGTTCGATTCTGCACATGGGTCTGTGATTCTGCACAAGTATGAGTAAGTGAGTGAGTTTGGTTTTACTCCGCTTTTAGCAATATTCCAGCAACATCACGTCGGGGGACACCAGAAATGGGCTTCACACATTGTACCCATGTGGGGAATTGAACCCGGGTCTTCGGCCTGACGAGCCAACGCTTTAACCTGCACAAGTATGAAGCCCCCACAGTGATAATGCTGAAATATTGGGAGTGGTGTAATACTAAGACTACACTACACTACACTACACTACTGCTCACTCACTCACTCACTCACTCACTCTCCTTCACTCCTCCTCCTCCTCCTCTCACTCACTCACTCACTCACTCACTCACTCACTCACTCACTCACTCACTCACTCACTCACTCACTCACTCATTAGTTATACCACTATTACAATAACATTTTGACAGTCATTGCTTGATGTGATATCATACATACATGCCCTCCACTTCCTAGGTTTCGTAGGTATTTAGGGAAATTCTTGGAGATGAAGGAACCTATTCCAATAAACAATTATATGCATCTAAACTGTTTTCCTCGCTGGTATTTGCTACTCAGGGGTCAGTTACCTGATGATCTGGAAGATCCGTTCCAAATGAGGTGTGTTTATGATTAGTACCTGATCTGTGTATACAACTGGATCCTCCCACCACCATAAATTCATGGTCAGTCGCTATTTCAACCAGTGAATATAGCCATGGCCTGGCACCAGTTAGAAGAGAGAAACCAGCCAGTACACAGACCAATGAGTCATTTGAATTCCACGTTATACACCACCGTTATACACCACCGCCACATGTGATTATCTGACCAAATAAAGCCAAGCATCACTGATACATAGATTAATGCCTAGTTTCTGAAAGTAGGGGCAGTGGGGTAGCCTCATGGTTAAAGCGTTTGCTCGTCACGCCGAAGACCCGGGTTCGCTAAAAGAGGTGTAAAACTAAACTCACTCACTCACTCACAATTCTGCACAACAGCATTTACATCCAAAGGGACTCAAGTGAGATGAGCGGTATCCTGAACATGTTTAAAGTATAGACTTGCTTCATCTGGAAATGGGGCGGTGGGGTAGCCTAGGTGTTAAAGCGTTGGCTCGTCACGCCGGGTTCGAATCCCCACATGGGTACAATGTGTGAAGCCCATTTCTGGTGTTCCCCGCCATGATGTTGCTGGAATATTGCTAAAAGCGGCGTAAAACCAAACTCGGTCTGTCAGTCATCTGGAAATATGGTTATCAATAGGACTGGGCAGAAGGGTAAATGATACTGTTAAGGGACTGTGAGACAGGCTACACGGTTACACTGAATTCTTTGGTGATGAAGAAATTTTGTGTATTCAAATGTGTGGGGCCAGGACGATGTGACCTTTACTAATAATCAGTTTCATTACAAATTAGTGTTTTAAGTTTGGCTTGTTTAATCTTGGATTTGTTGACAAGTCTTTAATTTACCAGAATAAAGTGACTGGATGTGGGAGATGCCTACAGCCCTTTGATGTGGAGTTGTTTATAATGCGGTATTTACACAGAAACAGACATTAACCTGAAACTGATCTTGCCACCCACACACTCGGAGCCATGTTTGCCAGTGTGAAATAGCTCACATTTCCATTTGTTGCTGTGAACTGTTTTATTTTATGACTTAAAAATAAGGTTAATTATGTTCTGAATAGTCTTGATTGTGTGAATAACATTCAAATGGATTTGCAATTGTTTGAAATTATTAAGTATAAGTAAATACATCTTATTTATAGTTGGGGGCATGAGATGTGGTTGAAAATGTCTTTTAATTCCAGGAAAATAGTTTGCTGTTTTAAATGTGGGTAGATTTTATTGCATGGCATTGTCATGACTACAAATGAAATTGGGCATTGAAGATAGTTTTGTTCAAATATGGTTATTGTTGAAAAATGTTATTGTTTTTAGTGTAGCTCACATCATGAGACTATAAAGGTGATAATATGCTGTTCTGTACTGAACAGAAGACTAATGAAAATGCATGTGTCAGTGTTTGTGTTTAACATACATATGACATGATTGTTGGATGGTGACACACTCATTAATTCACACAAGACATGATACACAAACATTGACTCACCGACACATGGCCTGGTCAACAGGCATAAACTGATTGACACATGATGTGTTCCACAAACATTGACTCACAGACACATGGCCTGGTCCACAGGCATAAACTGATTGACACATGATGTGTTCCACAAACATTGACTCACTGACACATGGCCTGGTCAACAGGCATAAACTGATTGACACATGATGTGGTCCACAAACATTGACTCACTGACACATGGCCTGGTCAACAGGCATAAACTGATTGACACATGATGTGTGCACAAACACAAACATTGGTCAACTGATTGACACATGTGTTCTACAAACATGGCCTGGTCACAGGCATAAACTGATTGACACATGATGTGTTCCACAAACATTGACTCACTAACACATGGTCTGGTCCACAGGCATAAACTGATTGACACATGATGTGTTCCACAAACATTGACTCACCGACACATGGCCTGGTGAACAGGCATAAACTGATTGACACATGTGTTCCACAAACATTGACTCACTGACACATGGCCTGGTCAACAGGCATAAACTGATTGACACATGATGTGGTCTACAAACATTGACTTACTGACACATGGCCTGGTCAACAGGCATAAACTGATTGACACATGATGTGTTCCACAAACATTGACTCACCGACACATGGCCTGGTGAACAGGCATAAACTGATTGACACATGATGTGTTCCACAAACATTGACTCACTGACACATGGCCTGGTCCACAGGCATAAACTGATTGACACATGATGTGGTCCACAAACATTGACTCACTGACACATGGCCTGGTCAACAGGCATAAACTGATTGACACATGATGTGTTCCACAAACATTGACTCACCGACACATGGCCTGGTCAACAGGCATAAACTGATTGACACATGATGTGGTCCACAAACATTGACTCACCGACACATGGCCTGGTCAACAGGCATAAACTGATTGACACATGATGTGGTCCACAAACATTGACTTACTGACACATGGAATTTCATTTGGATCATACTACTTAAAAGAAGTCAGGAACACCTGATTCTTTCATATTACAATAGATTATTTGTCAAGGCATATAAAGGCAAGAAAGAAAGAAAAATTTGATGCTTTGTAACTTTTTGGAGAGTATATGTCATGTAAAGTATCTAACATTTCCTGCATTGTGAATGATCACAATTGCCACCATAATTTGAAATAGGTCCCAATAGATTTCTAACTACCATCACCACTTTGGTAATATTGTCTGAGAAATGTTTACCTGGGTAATAACAGATCAAGCCTTATGTTGCTGGCCAAATCTAGGTGTCTCCTTGGTTACAGTGTGGAAGCATGATGCTGGTTTAAATATTGGAAGTACTTGTTATTAAATCTGCAAAGATTACTACCAGTATATGGCGTGTTTATGCCCTACAGATGTTTGAAATAAGAATAAGTCTCTGTTAAACAGTTTAGATGTTATTCTGATGAAAACCCATGAAGATAAAGGTTAGAACGTTTCTTCAGCAACCCATGCTTGTCGTAAGAGGTGATTATGCTTTTTGTTAGAGGATGGTGTATAGATCGATGCTTATCATGCCAATCACTGGTTTGTCTGGTCCCGACATAATAAGTTATGTAAGAATTCAATAATTCAGAAGTTTGATCAACAGCACATTCAATATTGTAATGTTGATTCCATGTAAATTGTCCGGAGAAACTTCCTGAAGTTGATTAAAGTTCATGTAATAGATACCTTCCACAGTGGTTACCATGGCAATGACAGATGGTGTCACATATTTGTGAGAGTTTTATTCAAGAACTGGTATGGAAACAACCTATTACAATGCCAACGTGACATTGCTAACAAATCATTATTATTCCCTTCTTACTTAACAGCTGAGTTTGGAAGCACTAATGCAGAATTGCAGAAACGGCAAAATACCCTTATGGCTGCATTACTTTGATTCAATGCTCTCTGGCGTGTCATGAGATTTACCATGTAACGATTTATTCCAGTGGGGATAAAGTCCCTGTATTAAGCATTTGCACGTCATCACTCCACAATAAAATACGATTGCATTAGCATTGATGACCACAGACGCATCAGTCAATGTTTTACATTTCACAGTTTCAAACATTGATTTATTGGCATCTCACTGAATATAGTCATATAGTCACGAACAACCTGAATAGAAATATTTGCGAAATCATTTTTGAAAAACCTACAAATATTAGAAATATTTTCCAATCTATTTCATATTTCCATTGCATATTTCATTAAAATATCTGAGGTACACATTCCTTCTTGTTAAATTTGAAAAGATTTTAATGAAATTCATGGTAAATCTTTTTGAAGAAGGAAGGGGTGCATGTATTATCCAATAGGAAATCCCATTTACATGAAGGCAAACTGTAGAATGGTGATCACATCAGCAAATATTAAAAAGTACAAGTGAAACTCTATGAAATGTAAACAGAACCATTTATTTCAGGTATATGATAGGATAGAGAAAAGTAGGAATCAGGCAATAGCAATATCTGACAAAGAATAACCTGATGGCGATATGAACTGTATTTCCCTAGCATCATTGGTGTATATATAGTGTATACCATGTCAGATCAAACCAACCACCAGTCATGATAAACATGTAGATCTGTATTTTCTTATTTGGTTCACCTATAAACTGGCCAGTGTCAAAGCCATTACAGATTTATGGATCAACCTCCAATCTGTGTGCCATTGTTTGCTTGATGTGGTTGCATGTCCAGTGATAGTTAATGTGATTGTAGAAAAACAATGTCATCCTCTGACTGTCTGTTTTCGAGGAATCTGATACAGCCAGTAATGATTTAAGGAAGTATTGATGTGTAGTGAAACACAATAATGCAGTCATTCTTGTGGTATTTATTACTGAAAGGATGGTACAGTGTCTCTGGAAGTGTGCTAGCCTGGATGTTTTTGTGGTATCGGATGTGACCTTGACAAGAAAGAATGGCTGAAATTTTTATGTCAGTTTAAGATCTTCATCAAATCATATTCATAACTATTAGATTTCAGTTTGATAATGTTTTAATGTTTTCATTGTAAATTGATGTAGCAGTTATTTTTTTAAATGTCAAAAATAACTTTTTCAAATTTGGGAAACCATGCAGAGTTTAAATATTGTAGAATATTCATCAAAACACTTGTAGTTTATGTAAGTATTTCATCATGCAAATTTTAGCATGGGCAGGCATAGTTGTATTTCATAACATACCAATTGTTACATGGGTAACACTGGTACATGGAGGTGATCACTCATTAGCCCTTCGCTGATTGGTGGAAATCATGGAAGCCTGCTATACGAGTCTTTAACTACTTGCAACAGCTAGGCAGCTCCAATTTGACAATCCTATTGATCTTACAGGATTCCTTGGCTCTTTAGCAAACATGTTATTTGGCTCTGTTTTAAACGTTATCTTTTGCCTTGAATGAAGATGACATTTGGTTCAGTGTTGAAATTGAGATGTACTCATACAATATCATAGCGGATTATGTGAAGACGTCATTGGCTCATTGTTGTTGATTTTTTCTTGTCGGGTATTTTGAAGCACAAACATATTTTTTTTAGATTATAACTTTCTTTGAGGATTTTGTTTGATGGTTTCATGTGAAAACCAACGTCAGTGAAAAAACTCTCAATGCCATGAACTCCCGATAATATATTCTGGGGAAAAAGCGGTCAGTTCATGTTTTTGTCAAGAGAGTCATTAAGCAGAGATATTTTCATCAGATCCATTTGCATTTGGTTTGATTCAGGGTTTGATGCATGTGTTCTTTCATAACTTTCTGTTATACATGAACACACTTGCAGCAGACACCTGCCTAACTCAACAGAGTGAGCGAGAGCATGCACCTACCTGTAAACATAGTCATCTGTCCATACCAGTCATATGTCTATCTGCTTAACTGTTCATGAGCTTATATCCATCCATTGCAGGCATATCCCAGTATGTATGAACAGGTGTGCGCACGTATGCATGCATGCACACATTCACCTAACCTATAACAAACATATGTTCACAGCAGTCATATGCCTAACTGTGGATATGTATTTGTCCAGAACAGGCATATGCCTATCTGTGGATATGTATTTGTCCACAGCAGTCATATTCCTAACTGTGGATATGTATTTGTCCAGAACAGGCATATGCCTAACTGTGGATATGTATTTGTCCACAGCAGTCATTTGCCTAACTGTGGATAATAATTTGTCCAGAACAGGCATATGTCTAACTCTGTATGTACATGCCAAATATACCTATTTTGAGTTCCTCAAAGTCGTCTGCATTTGTTTCAGGCACATGAAATCAGTGATCAAGAATGTTGCATCTGATGAGAACTGCGACGTTCACCAGACAGTGCTTGCTATCCGAGAAGGGAAGGAGGGCTGGTTCCACCTGTACTGCCCAGGAGGCATCGCCTGTGATGATGAGGGAGACCTGTGGGGGGTCATGGTAAGTTTGTTTACAACTCTCTCCACAACATTTTTGTGAACAAGTCTTTGAAAACATTATAGTCACACTCACCTCTGTGTTTATATCAATATGTCAACACTTGCTAGCTTAAGTTTCCAGCTCATTAGAAAGCCTTAAAGTTTTCAACTTTTATCGACTTAGGTCAGTATATTTCATGTCAAATGAACCTTGGGTGAAATTGTCTATTTACCATCTGTAACATGTTATATTTGGGATTACACTTTCTCTGTAAAGTACGGATTCTAGTACTGTCGCTGTGAAGGTGCACTGGCTAAGTGGGTTAGATGGTTGACTTTGAGTGTGGGTTTGAATCCCAGATGGGACTCAACCCAACGAAAGTACTAGAATCTGTACTTTACTGAGAAAGTGTAATCACAAATATAACATGTGTTACATTTGACCACTTTCTAAATGGCATTGTGTATTCATAGCTACTATCTACTGTCCATGTTTCTTTCTCTTCTTGGAACATATTCAAAATCTGTAGAAAAGAAACAAAGAATGCATTCAAAATTGTAAACTTCCAAATCATATTATCATCAGTTAGTGAGTGAGTTTTACACCATTTTTAGAAATATTCCAGCAATATCATGGCAGGGGACACCTGAAATGGGCATTACACATTGTACCCATGTGGGGAATTGAACCGGGGTCTTCGATATGACGAGTGCACGCTTTAACCACTGGGCTACCCCACCTCCCCCTTATCATCATCAGAGCATAAAATATGGTTTAATGAATATTATGGATGGGGGTGTTCTTCAATAATGGCGTTGTACCTCATGTCTGCTAAGCAACAAAGATGGACATAAAATAGCTGTAGCCTGATTTTGACATTGTGAACCACCTACTATTGAATAGTTTTACTTATCCCTATTGATGGCAGACAGAGTTAATCACTGATTGAACACCTTTGTTACAATAGTGGCACTTATATGGTTTGCTATGGTGGTAGCAAGATGATTTAAGCTAATCTTTATGTTTGTATATATGGCTTGAAAAAATTCCTTAGCTGTGTATGTGAGACTCAGGACCTTTCATTCTTTTGCCCTTTGAAAAAGGGCATTCAGTTTAAGAAATGTATATTGTGAAAAGGTCATGTTAGGTTTTGAGATGGTCCCTGAGAATTCCAAAATGTAATCAAAGTTTGGTGATCAGACTGGTATGTAATGGACTATTCACAGGATGACTGATCAATTCAAATTCATTTAGAATCAAACCATATTCTCAATTTCCCCCATTTCACTGATGTCTATGAAAGTGACAATTTAATGTTAATTTCCACAAATAATTACCACAAGACTTTGTCCACTATTAGCTGGATACGGAATTGTGCACCCACGCCTCTGAGAAATAATGAGTTAGTGTAGCATCAAATGTGAAGTAATGGGGCTTCAGTCTAAGTTAGCGGATCGTCCCTCATTACAACATCCCCGAGCCAGTTAAGTCAGCTGTACATCACGAGTGAACATGACAAGATGTGGACAAAAACTGTTTTAATTCCTGATAGATTCAGCCGGTTGTGAGAGCTTAATGCATTTCATGATAGGAACCTCAGTAACTTCTGACTTTTATTGACCATTCACTCACATCTCTGTTATAGCCTATATGCACTGAGCAGTAGAAACGGTCACTGCAATGCCTAAGGCTTACTGATAGTCTGTTTTTTGGCCAGATTTAATCAAGCTTGTCTTGAGGGCCACATATTGATTGAAAGTAAACGATGATATTTGCAAACAGCTCCATTGACATCTTACCACACAGTGTCTCCAGCAGACTGAAATACAGCCAATCAAATTGCAACATGCTACACTAACCAATCAGATCGATACAAGGGGGTGTGATAAAAGTTGGTACTAAGCTTTTTATTGATCAACATATTGCTTCTGTGGGGGTTTAATTGTGCAAGGTCAGCCTCTGGGAATGCTAGAATAGGTGGAAGTACCAAGATTAGCACATTCAGTAAACATGTCAGTGGGCCTATAATTCAGGCATCAAGTTGATCGATATAAGGCCATATGAGGAATGTTCATACTTTCTGTGGTTGTATTGGAACAAGTGTTGTTAATATTAATTATCAGTATTATGTGATAGCAAACCTTATATTTGTTTATATTCTGATGCATATTAACATTGCTTTCAATGCTGTAATGTAAAACAAAGCACATACCTTCTTCTTTATGGGACTTGTTTTCTAGGAATACAGGTTGCCTCCCAAAGTTGTTATAATCAGGGGCGGTGGTGTAGTCTAGTGGTTAAAGAGTTCGCTCGTCACGCCGAAGACCCGGGTTGCATTGCCCACATGGGTACAAAGTGTGAAGCTCATTTCTAGTGTCCTGTTTTCTGTAGGTTAGAAAGCAGCATTTGTTTTAAGTCCTTTCGGAATCAGAATGGTAGGATAATGTCTACAATTGTCATGTCCGTTAAGCGTTATAGTGATAGGAAGTATGTTTGTGATAGGCCCTTGTAGTGATAGTTAGAATGGTAGGTTGGAGTGGAACAGTCTTTCTGCTTGGTCATGGTTGTGTTAGATTGGTAGAGCATTGTCTGCCTGATAGGTCATGGTCATCCGAGATTGGTAGAGCAGTGGCTGACAGGCCATGGTAGTATTTGAATGGTAGAGCAGTGTCCGTCTGATAGGTAATGGTAGTACTTTATTGGTAGAGCATTGTCTGTCCGGTACCTCATGGTAGTATTTGAATGGTAGAGCAGTGTCCGTCTGATAGGTAATGGTAGTACTTTATTGGAAGAGAAGTGTCAGTCCAGTACCTCATGGTAGTATTTGAATGGTAGAGCTGTGTCTGCCTGATAGGTAATGGTAGTACTTTATTGGTAGAGAAGTGTCAATCCGGTACCTCATGGTAGTATTTGAATGGTAGAGCTGTGTCTGCCTGTTAGGTAATGGTAGTACTTTATTGGTAGAGAAGTGTCAGTTCAGTACCTCATGGTAGTATTTGAATGGTAGAGCAGTGTCTGCCTGTTAGGAAATGGTAGTACTTTATTGGTTAGAGAAGTGTCAGTCCGGTACCTCATGGTAGTATTTGAATGGTAGATCAGTGTCTGCCTGTTAGGTAATGGTAGTACTTTATTGGTAGAGAAGTGTCAGTCCGGTACCTCATGGTAGTATTTGAATGGTAGAGCTGTGTCTGCCTGATAGGTAATGGTAGTACTTTATTGGTAGAGAAGTGTCAGTCCGGTACATCGTGGTAGTCTTTGAATGGTAGAGCTGTGTCTCTCTGCTAGGTCATGCTATCATTGGAACAGAAGAGCAGAGTCTGCAAGGTTATGCTTGTATAGGAACTTAGAGCAGTGTCTGCCAGATAGGCTATGCTAGTACTGGAATGGTAGAGCAGTGTCTTCTCTTGTAGGTGTTGGTAGTATTGGAATGGTGGTGAAAAGCCTTATTTATAGTTGATGGTAGTATTGGAATGGTATGGCAATAATCTGATAGTGAGTGAGTGAGTATGGTTTTTCACCGCTTTTAGCAATATTCCAGCAATATCATGGTAGGGGACACCAAAAATGGGCTTCACACATTGTACCCATGTGGGGAATCGAACCTGGGCCTTTGGCGTGATGAGCCAATACTTTAACCACCTAATCTGACAGTGGTATGGTGAAGCTAATGTGTTACTTAACCAGGGCTGTATTGTTGTTCCTATATGTGGCGTGTTCCTTGGGATATGGATTACTGAATGGCTTCCTGTGTTTCAGCTGCGGACATTGATCAGGTGTTGCTGCAAGAGGAAGAAGTTCCTGCAAGGGATGACCAAGATGATTGAGCCAGTTATGCTTCTTGCCATCAGGGACAATGTTGCAGCCATGGAGGTCAGTACATACTGGGGGGTCTGGGTTGGGATAGGTTGGGTCTAGCAGGCAACTAAATTGGTTCATGTGGTCTGGCATGATATGACACCAAGTGGGTCAGTGATCATAAAATATCAACCAATTAATTATCTAGCCCAGATATGATTATTTACTGTTTTCAGCAACCTTGATCAGCAACATGATCTATTGGTCATATGTTTGAATCCCGAAATCTGCATATTAATGAGTTTTGGTCTACAAACGTCATTTCCTTTCTGTTGTGGTTTCTACCAAACTGGTTCAAGTCTATCAAAAAGAAATAAAGTGATAAAAAAAGAAAAAGAGTCTTAAGAGCTGAATTATTTTGAATTTTTCTTGATTATCAAACTCCTGCGAACTATCAAACTAATGACTAACTGGGATGTAACTCCATAACCCCATATCTCCATTATCAAACTCCTGACATACTGTGATATAACTCCATTATCAAACTCCTGACATACTGTGATATAACTCCATTATCAAACTCCTGACATACTGTGATATAACTCCATATCCACTATCAAACTCCTGACATACCGTCATATAACTCCATATCCGTTATCAAACTCCTGACTTACTGTGAAATAACCCCATAACCCCATATCTCCATTATCAAACCCCTGACATACTGTGATTTAGCTCCATATATCCATTATCAAACTCTTGACATATTGTGATATAACCCCATATCTCCATCATCGAAACTCCTGACTTGCTGTGATATTTTGCCATATCTCTATTATTAAACTCTGACATGCTGTGGTATAACTGAAATACTCACTACTTGTATGGTACCAGGTGTTATGTTCCATGCTGGAGCTGGAGGTGATATCCAGCCAGGATCTCAAGATGCAGATGATCACTACGTTACAGAGCACCACGGACGGCAAGCGGATGTATGCAGCTCTCTGCGAGAGACAGATCGCCCTCAGGGAACTGGTAAGGTTACATAAAAATATTCTACCCTGCAGAGATCTGATTTATAATTAGTCTTCAGTGACCTATGTCCATCGAAAAGGCAAATCGTGGGATTGGGTGGTCAGTCTCAGTGTTGATTCAAGTTTTCATATTCCATTTCTGTGGAGCGAGTGAGTGAGTTTAGTTTTACGCCACACTCAGCAATATTCCTTTATATGGCGGCGGTCAACAGCAGGAGCATCGATCGTGGCAATTGGGAACCGATGACATGTGTCAACCAAGTCAACGAGTTTGACCAACCGATCCTGTTAGTTGCCTCTTATGACACGCATGGGTTACTGAAGATCAATATTCTAACCCGGACCTTCACGGGTCCCATTTCTGTAGGTGATATCCCACTTGTTGTGTTGATAGATGCCCTTACTGTCAATCACTGGATTGTTTAGTCCAGATAAGTGTTTACAGACTGTTAAGTTGGAATATTACTGGATTTGTCATGATAATAATCTGGTTATTATGGTATTTCTTATATTTCTGGATTATATCATATTTCATGCAGAAGAAAAATATGTCTGAGTGCACTGAAGGTGTAATGTGGGAAGACAAATCTTAATGTTACTGCCACAATATTGCTGGAATGCTGTTTGAAAGCTGATGTCATAAGAAATGAATACAACCTTTAATATATATTTTTGGTTTAACATCACAAAGGTGGGGCAAATCTTCACCTTTTTGCATGTCATTCTGAGCCTTGCTCCTCGTAGCGATCATGCTACTTAGATGATCATTACTCCCATACTTTAACATAGAAGTACAACGGTCATAGTGGTTTTGTGGAATGGCCCCTTGGAACATATTCAGATTATTAAAATTAAATCCACACTTAACCTGCATTCAATAAAATATTCACTAAAGGTATTTTATCAGCTTTCAAAACTGCAAAGTTTATTTAATAAAATATGCCACACTGCAACTTGTTTTTAGTCGGTGGATTTTGACAACCTTTTGAAACTCGGATGTAGAGGTGAAACAGCCAAACAGTCATGTGTGTCTGAATCCTGACCCTGTTGTTATGGTTACATCGTACATTGCAGCAACAAAAAGGTGGTCCAAAGAAACTGACTCTCCCCTCCAAATCAACGGATGCTGATTTGACGAAGATGCTTAGCTCTGGTTCATTTGGGAATCTAGAATGTCTCAGTCTTGCCTTTACACAAGTTACTAGCTCCTGTGCTCACGAACTCATCAAGTTGCCTTCACTCCGATACCTGAATCTCTGGTCCACACAGGTTGGTAAATTTTATCTTGTGCTTGTTATCTTAGGCTTGTGGTTAGACTGACTGACTGACTGACTGTGACTGACTGACTGTGACTTACTGACTGACTGACTGACTGACTGACTGTGACTGACTGACTGACTGACTGACTGACTGACTGACTGACTGACTGACTGACTGACTGACTGACTGACTGACTGACTGACTGACTGACTGACTGACTGACTGACTGACTGACTGACTGACTGACTGACTGACTGACTGACTGACTGACTGACTGACTGACTGACTGTGACTGTGACTGACTGTGACTGACTGACTGACTGACTGACTGACTGACTGACACTGACTGACTGACTGACTGACTGACTGACTGACTGACACTGACTGACTGACTGACTGACTGACTGACTGACTGACTGACTGACTGACTGACTGACTGACTGACTGACTGACTGACTGACTGACTGACTGACTGTGACTGACTGACTGACTGACTGACTGACTGACTGACTGACTGACTGACTGACTGACTGACTGACTGACTGACTGACTGACTGACTGACTGACTGACTGACTGACTGACTGACTGACTGACTGACTGACTGACTGACTGACTGACTGACTGACTGACTGACTGACTGACTGACTGACTGACTGACTGACTGACTGACTGACTGACTGACTGACTGACTGACTGACTGACTGACTGACTGACTGACTGACTGTGACTGACTGACTGACTGACTGACTGACTGACTGACTGACTGACTGACTGACAGACTGACTGGACAGATGTGACAATGTAACAGTATTCTGAGTACACAAATGATCTTTTTTCTGTGCAGTTTGGTGATGTGGGTCTGCAGTTGATCTCGGAGCATCTCCACAAGCTGCAGGTGTTAAACCTGTGTGAAACCCCGGTCACTGATAAGGGACTTGTTGCATTGTCAGGTAGGTGATCTTACTGCAGTGTTCTGTCAAACATATTCTCAGCCTTCTTAAGACTAAATTTTAAGGAGGATGTATGTAAATTTGTATTTACAATGACAAGATTTTTGTTTGCTTCTTTTCGATTCATATACTACTCAAAAGGACTTAAAGGGCACCTGTTATTTTCACATGACTAAAGGTACTGTTGTTGTTCTTCACAGATTAATTGTAGTCTTATGAAAACAATCAGATGCCTTTAAATTCTTTTGAGCAGTATATTTTATTTCATTCAGACTCAATATTTTTTCCTTTAAGACAGTTTGTGCCGAAAACTTTGAATTTACTTGTCCAATAGTATATTGTGATATCCTTTCTGGATATTCAAAAGGAAGCATATGGACTGCTTGATGCACAGCCAGCTGAAAGATGTCACTGTTAACTTTGGCTAAGACTCATGGACTGATGAAGCAGTGGTAGTGCTATTTACCATGGGAATTCAGAAACCTGAAGTATGAATACTCTTCTCTATTTCAGCATTGAAGAACTTGCGGAAACTTAATTTAAATAGCACAAGCCTTTCAGCTCTAACCTTTGAAGGATTGAAGGTGAGAGTTGAAGCTAAAATTGATTCTATGTGCATCATGAACGAGTCATTCACAAAACATTCCATTTGGAAAATGTCTCTTACATAAGTTCTATTCCTACATTAAATAACTTATTTATGTTTGTATTGATCGGTATCAGAGAAAAAAAATTTCTCACAATTTTTGTAAAATTCCACACTGTACATTTACACGTGGACAAGAAAAGTCCACACAATTTTTGTGTGTGCATCGGTAAAATACTGTCCAATAAGTCGATTATTCGGGCATATGTTGGGCTTCTCATGGCATTACTGGTGCAGTGGGGTAGCCTAGTGGTTAAAGTGTTAGCCCGTCACGCTCGATTCCCCACATGGACACAATGTATGAAGCCCATTTCTGGTGTCTCCTGCCATGATATTACTGGAATATTGCTAAAAGCGGCATAAAACCCAACTCACTCACTCACTCATTGCTAACCGTGATATGGGTTTGAATCCCACTTTGCCCTGATTCTAGTTCTTGGTTTGTGTTTGCCACTCATGGTCATGGGTGTCACCAATGTGGTAAACGTGAGGAATATCCTTGAAATAATTGCAGTCAATGTTGAAGGTCAAACTCACTCGTAAAATCTTTATACAAAAAAAGAAATTAAATTAAAATCACAGAAACTCAAGAACTGTGAATTGAAATAGGGCAAAATTTGTTACTTATCATCCCTATGCTGTGTCATTGAAATGGTTAGGCTTTTAGCAACCTTCATGTTAGGTCAAGGTCACTGGAATAAATTTTATGTTAGTTGTGTTGGTAATTTAGATGAAATGTTTTCAACGCATTATACCCCCATGTTTTTTGCAATAATGTGTCATGTGATTGGCAGTTGATTTTCAAGCTTAGTGAGTGAGTGAGTTTAGTTTTACGCCGCACTCAGCAATATTCCAGCTGTATGGCGGCTGTCTTTAAATCATCGTCTCTGGACCAGACAATCCAGTGATCAACAGCATGAGCATCGATCTGCACAATTGGGAACCGATGACATGTGTCAACCAAGTCAGCGAGCCTGACCACCCGATCCCGTTAGTTCGCCTCTTATGACAAGCATAGCTGCCTTTAGTGGCAAGCATGGGTTGCTGAAGACCTATTCTACCCTGGATCTTCACGGGTCTTCAAGCTTAGTAACCAGAAGTGTATGTACCTCTAAAACAAAGGAGACTATTGTCATTGCCACAATAAAGATGATGTCATCAATTGTCCATGATGTCACAGATGGGTTTTAGGTGTTCTTCCAGCAGTAGATTGACAAGTACTCACCAGTGTATTTTGATGTCAAATGTATCAACGCAAGTCCATAGAAGCTTCAAATGCCAAGGACTGCTGAGAAGTTTTTGATTTAAATCATGAGTGTTGATATATTTGATATCCTAAGAAATAGGGGTGGGAGCAAACATTGGTAAACAGTAATAACCAAGGCCTTTAGTGTAGTTGAGCTAACCAGCTTCAGTGGCAGAGAGACATGTGATGTCATTTGATTGTGACATGATGGCATCTAGTGTCACAATGGTGTGCAAAGCATTGTGACACAATTCATTGTAGTGACATCTACTGTGGAATGCATCTTTGGGTCATAAGTAGAAATACCTACACCCAAACCAAACTGTCTCATTCAGTGCAATAATCTAAGAAACATGACCATTTTTTGTGTAGTGTGTTTTGGATGGGATGTAATATGTCGGAAATATGTCAGAAATATGTCTGTATGCATGTTTTAGATAGAAAAAAGCTATTTAAATTGAAAAAAACATTGTTAACCTAATTTGGTGTTATTCCTGTGAACTTGAGGTCACTGTGACCCAGCTACTTTCCAGGCACCAGTCCGTGAGGAAGCTCCCATGCGGACATTGATCTGTTCTTTGTTCTTTGCAATGCTTGCAAACTCAGTACATTTAGCAATAAAATTTGACAGAACCAAATCTTTTTCTTGAAAGGGAAACTATCTTGTAGATTTTTTTTGTAGAATTGAAATTGGCTTAGGATTTGATTATATCAAGTTTCACCTATGTGCATCTGAGTTTGAATACTTTTATCATAGCTGACCACCCTTTGTTGCTAAGATTAATTCAATAGTGCATCACTATTTCTATATAGAAACAGGCATTTCATTGAAAAAAATCAATCTGTAATTTCAAATATTGTGGTTTAAACATTGCTTGATGAACCACTTTGTATGTATAGCGTTTTTTGTGAGAAGCATACATCAAAGGATGGATTCAGGAGGAATTTAGGAAAGAGGATCAGTTTTGATATATGTTGTGGGTCGAAAATGACAGTGCGTATGTAGTTTGAATTTATTGTAAATATAGATTTATTTTGGTGTAAATGTGGATTTAGTTTGGTGTAAAGGACAAAATATCTGTGAAAATCATATAAATGCACCCCCCCCAAAAAAAACCCCCAACAACAACCCCCAAACAAAAACCCAAAACAAAACAAAAACAACAACACAAAAGCCCAAAACAGTGATGACACAAGGTGTTCTAAAAAGGGGTAAGCATTTTCTGGCCTATCTGGGGCGGTGGGGTAACCTAGTGGTTAAAGTGTTTGTTCGTCATGCTGAAGACCTGGGTTCGATTCCCCACATGGGTAAAATGTGTGAAGCCCATTTCTGGTGTCCCTGCCATGATATTGCTGAAATATTGCTAAAAGCGGCGTAAAACCAAACTCACTCACTCACTCTGGCCTATTTGTACTGATTGTACTGTCAGTTGGCATAAGCAGTCAAAACATTGTCTGTTTCATAAACTGGAGGAGGTATAGTATGAAAGATTACCTGAAATGTTCTTCAATCAATCAGTCTTTATTCAATACTCAAAGGCCACAGGCCTATAGTACAATATGTAGTAGTTCAATATAGAACAGTTTAATATATGATATTGATATTATGTTTTCATACAATTATGACGTTCAGAAGATGCTCGATGGCGATTATATGGCTCAATGTGAATGTTTAATGTTTTGTCTTATTATAATCTGATATTTCATTCAGTACAATACCTCCTTGTGTAGGTTTGATGACACCGCCATAGAAGGTTACGTCATGTGATCCCTGAGGAAACTTTGTACCCCCCAATGAAAATGAAGGATTCATGAGTTCCTGAACCAATCAGATGTCAGCTTTTTTTAACTGATCCCATTTCATTCTTTACCATCTTGTTTTGAAAATTTGATTTTGTTAAAATCTGTAAAAAGTAAAATCTGCACAGCAAACAAATGTCCCTTCTATGGAGCATCTGTCTGGGTGTAGTGGCCATGTTCCTCAGAAATGACAGGTGGAAACAATGGAGTGGCATCGATTATTAACATTCACACTGGTTGTTTGTTTCATAGAATCGGATTGTCTGATTGCTTCACTCACTCATGCAGAGAAATCAGAAGCCTTTACTCAGATCAGAAAGTCCATCTCAGATTTCCATGCTGAGGTTTTGTATCAGAGTGAGTGATGTGTATTAATGAGATTGTCTGATGTATGGATTGATATTATGGTTTTATTTGTTCCAGGAGAAATTGCCGGCACTACAGGAGTGTGACGTACGATACACAGATGCCTGGTGACTATAGGAACCCACCACTTAATCTGAACTGTTGCTAATAAAGTCAGCAATCTTCCCCAACCGACCAGCCAACTGTCCACAACTGGAGGACTAGTCATAGCCTTGTTTGTGCCTACTGAGGATTGGTAACAGATACAAACATGACCGTCTGCTCACTGGCAGACAACAGACTGTTAACTTTTGTGACAGCAGTCCTTCAGATGTTTCAACATTTAGTGTACTGAAGTTGACTGTCATCTCAGTATGAGTTATTGAGGACGGCTCAGTCACGAGTCAGTTGATGAAATCACTTCACTTTCATGCAAGCTGAATTTTATTTAGAAGAATCATAGACAACCAATGTTTCAGTCTCTGCATTACCACTGGATGTGAGTGTATGACTGATGCTTCTGTCAATAACAGACTTGATATGGTACAGAATCATTCAGAAAATTGATAATCTGAAAATCAAAGATGGAAGCTAGTCAAAGCCAGCGCCCTTTGGTTCAGCATTGGAAAGCTAGAACAAAGAATGGCTTAGCCATGTGTGCTTACTTGGATTTATTTCCGCACAAGAAGGATAATGGACAAGGATTTGATTGTGCACTTGCTGTGAAAACAGAGTGTATTCTGTTGTGTAGTTGTCTCCTACCGGTAATTGTCTGTGCTCATGTCTAATCTCTGTGTGCAGTATGTTATCTTCTTATATTCATCTGGTCAGCAGATGTGTACATAAAGTGTCATATATTTTGTAACAGCTGAAATCGTGGGATATTTTATGTGACAATTTGATGACCCAAGGGAGGACATGGTCAGTGTAGTGACACCTGTTGGATGAATCTGAAACTAAATGGATTCCTTCCCTTACTGTTCACAAGTTCTGCTTGTAGAGGGCAGCACTGCAGTTTTGATAAATTGTGACAATGAAAATAAGCAGTGTAGATTTCAACATTGTAGAATGACATGTCTTAGTATATTGATGATTGAATCCTCTAATCCTTACAGTAGAGCACCTTTCCAGTAATGGTAGCTTATGCTTTTCTGTCCTTGGATTGGAATCAACCCACAAATTCAGTATTGACTTTGCTAACGATTTTGCTGGGTTTTTTTTCTACTGATCTTGACTTTCATAATACAGTCATTCCAGAATTTCTGGAAATATGGACAATAATTCATTTATAATTCCAGTAGCCTTATGGGACCTCCCACTGTAACGCTCCCACAGTCTAATTAATTTAATTCATGGCATGTGAGGATGGGCCGGTGACCAGACAAAATCCACCCGGATGGGCCATGTCTGTTCATATGAGGACTTAGCATTACACAAACTTTGGCATGCAGTCCAGTGATATTGTTCAAGAGACGGAATGTTTTCAATTGCTGACAAAACATGGTATAGTCAGCAGGGTTTGAAATGACCAAAATTTCAACACATCAGGTGGCACACCCTCAAGATGATGAAACAGAAGGTATTATAACACAGCCATGAGGCAGCCATACTTATTAGAGATCTGTGTAGATATTTATGGCGCGCCATTGTTACTATGGTAACATGAATTCCTGTTGCCATGCAAGCATGAGTCATTGCTATAGTTTTGTGACTTCAGAGTGCCCAGTGTGAGAAAGGAAGAAGGAAGGAAATGAGAAAAAGAAGAACTTTGTATTTTTTACCAGAAGATTCTTGAATTAGACGACTGAGGAATAAATGAAATGTCATCTTTTTAAATGGACGTGGTATGTTTGCTATGTAATTGGATGATTGTGAAAACTTTGTGTGAGTTGTATAAGTCTGGCTTTAATTTTGCCATTTTTGAATTTTCGCCATTTTATACTGTAGTATTTTGGTGTATCAGAATGTACCCATATCTGTGATTTATGTATTAATTATGATTACCATTTGTTTAAAATGTTCATATAATTCATATGTGTGAGTTGTGACGTGTAGCATTTATCAGGACATTCCAGAGTTTGCAAGCCATAATGTATAATGCACCATCTGTTTTGTGCTGGACAGCCATGTTAGTTCCTACTGGTCAGAAAGATCTACCCACAATGCTCTGTGTTGTCATGGCAACTTATACCTGCAATCTGCATCAGCTGACCAGGGAGATTTGCACATGTCTGTTAATAACCCCATCGTGGTGCAGTGACATTGATTAGAATAAAACTTTAATTTGGGGATGGAAATAGTTGGGGTTGAAATTGGTAATTTTGGAAATATTGGTGAAGATTTTGTTAACTACAATCTAAAATAAAGGGCCTGTCATTTGTCGGGGGTAGGTGGGGTGTTCAGAATTTTTTGATGCAGTAATGTACTGAAAATATTTACCCTCTCATAATGCATGAGATATTTTATACCATCCTGTATTTTTTTACACTTTTCAGGACCATCCTAAAAAAATTGCTGAACACTACCGGTATATATTTTATTGTAAACTGTCCATTTTCTCATGATCTCTTCCTTTCCAATAACGACTGGTGGCTCACGCCTGGCATTTATTTGCAATAAATAATGAATGCTCTCATCAAGAATAGAATGGGATTGTCGGAAAGTGAAGGCACATGAATATCAATTCGTCCGAGTTGAAAAAAATATGAATATATAAACAGAACATTGTTTGCAGTAATTAAGCATGTGAGTACATTAAGTGAAAATAGGGTGGATGTGTCTTGGGAAGTGTTCATGTCTTCAGTCATGCTTTGCATGTAGGTTTGTTTTTCCACATGACTACAGCAGTGTTAAGCTATTTCTTGGTGATCCTACCTGGATGTTGTTGAAATGTGTGCATCAGCATGCTTGGTGTTGTTTGCCTTGCTATGACTGCCATGTTGGTGACAACTTCATGAGAAAATACAGCAAACTGAGAGTATAATATGCATGTATAGCATTATCTGGGGTTAAATACAGAAGACATGAAGGCATTAGTAGATATTGTATTTGACCTGATCAGTAGGAACTGAAGGAATCTGCGATGACGGGAAATGTGCAACTTGCTTTCCTGAAAGCCTTTATTTCCAACTGTCATAGGTTTTTGTGAAAGAGATGTGAAGTTCATAACCAAATGAAATGCAATTGGCACTTTCTTGACATAATGTAACTTTAGTTGAAGGGTTCCTGTCCGTAGCAACTAAGAAGCTTAATGGAGATTTACAGTTACTGAAAATGTTACCACAGTGCATATTCTTAGCCAAGAGTCAAGATTGTCGCAAGTGATTGCCAAAATACCTATGCTACTCAAACTGAGTTAAGAACCACCTGACTCTTTCATATAAATATGAAGAATTGGATGGTCCTTAATTTTTTTTTAGTAGTGTGGTTTGAGAAATCATCTTCAACCAACTATTTGAGCCAACTAATCCCAACAGGCTTTGCTTCATCTTGATTTATCTGAGCTGTTTATACACTTAACAAATCATAAATTGGTCTCAGTTGTTTTCTTAATCCTTTCCCAAATAGGGGCAAAGACAAATATTTACAGTTGTGTTATCCAGCCTGTACTGTTTTGTACAATGTCCATACTCCTTTCTTGTTAGTACAATTTGTACCAACTATATTATGAAGTATTAGTTTGTGTAACGTCTTTTTGTTTTGACAGTGCTGTTCAGTTCCAGTATTTTATGATGGGGTTGCTTGCTGTGGCCCAAGGACCTGATTAACAGGTGCTGCCAGGTATTGAATAACCTCAGGCAAATCAGTGTTCCGTATACAACATAGGAATCATCGTATTCCCTCCTGCTCTCTCCCAGACGTATTCCAGGTTGTATTGGATAGTATTTTTCCCCAAAGACATCTTGTTTAAGAACAGACTGCAAACCCCTTAAAAATATCAACAAACTAAAAGTAACCAATACTAACAGAACAACAAACTTCAGGAATGTTAATAATAGGATCTATGTCAGGTAAACTTGAAGAAGTAACCAAAGGTCTTTGAAGATGAACTTATCAGTTATGTGCAGCAATGCTACGGTTGACTCAACTCTTTACCCTATATTACCTTTTGTTTCCCGTGCAATTTAACAGTTTTTATATTTGACAGACCTGAAAATGCCATCTAAAGTGTAGGGCTATCTTAAATGAAAAGACACAAAGTGACAAATGTTCAAAGTGTTATCATCCTTAGTGACTGACACTAAACCCTACTTACTCTGTCAGTCATGTGACCTGTTCATTAGACTCCCTTATATTGTGTCCATCATTTGCACCAGACCAGTTTAACTTCTCATTTCAATGATCGTTTGGATAAATATGACAAGTGGCAGGATGAAACAATCTCGTTTCATTTGACTTGATGTTGATTTCCTTTTAATTTTTTTTTATGAAAATGAGAAATGTTGAATAACTTATTTCTGACCAAACACAGCATTATCTTGTAATGATTTTAAAACCTGTTTTGGTCTCTAAAACAAGAAAATAATAAAATTTGGTTTAATTTGAAAAAAATAGCAATTGAAGCATCACAAGATCTGACAGTTTTACGACCCATGGGTGAGAGCAGGAACAATTTATGTCAACCAGAAAGTACACCAGACACAAAGACTTCTTGGAGTTGCACCCTTTGGTTTGTTAGATGTTTGAAAGTTAGCAGGTGTGAGAATCTTTTGTATTTTGTTTGTTAAATGTTTGACAAAACTATAGTGCTATTGTGTTGTTGTAGTCTGTAATTATTCCATGATTGTTTTATTACGATTTTAGTTAATTTTTGAAGTATGTGAAAACATACAGTTCTTCAGTCATTTGAGTGTTCATGTGAAAGAAGTGCTCAGAAGAGAACCAGGCAGATTTTTGTCAGTACATGGCCATGCTAGCATCATGAATCAATGGAGATTGTTTTCAGCCATGGAAGAACGAGTTTGAATGGAACTCTTTTTTAAATTTAAGGCCTGTCCAAGGATTTCTGATCAATATCAATGCAAAATCACTGACAGTTACTGCATATTCACTGTTACTCATAATACCCTTTATACAATGTCTTAGTTTTAGCCTTTGTTACCATGGTTACCAGTATCGTATGCTGTACAGCTTTAATTGTGACACTCTGTGATTTTTAGCTCTTTAATAGTGACAACTACACAATGTGCCATGAAAGAGTGTATAAATCTCTGTGTCAGTTAGTTGTGGTCCTCCATGATGCCATAAGAACAAGTGGTTAATGTAATTAGCCTCCTTTGATATGATTGTTAACACTGCAATCACTATATTCTATCTCTATGATGGCGTCCTTTGAATAATCATGTCTGGGCCATAGAAACATGGGTGGTTGGGTAGCTTCATGGTTAAAGCATTAACTCATCACACCTAGGTCCTGTTTTGATTCCCCACATAGGTGTAAAGCCCAATCTTGTGTCCCCTACCATGGTATTGCAGGAATATTGCTAAAAGTGGCGTAAAACCTGTGTCTCTGAACTTAACCCTGTTCATTTAGTCACCTCGATCTGATTCGTTCACTTGGTAGATTTCTTGTCATGGTAATCCATTTACATTAATCACTGCTCAGGATGTCACTAACTGGATTTTCTTGTCCAGACTTGATGGGGTGGTGGGGTAGGCTCGTGGTTAAATCATTTGCTCGCCACACTGAAGACCTGGGTTTGATTCCTCATATGGGTACAATGTGTAAAGCCATTTCTGGTGTCCCTTGCCATGATATGGTTGGAATATTGCTAAAAGCAACGTAGCACTAAACTCACGCACTCACTCCAGACTTGATGATTTACAAACTGTTATCATATTGGTAGAATATAATTTGTGCACCATTAAATAGCATATAAACTAACAAAGAGTATGCATGTTCATTCAGAAACTTGATCATTTTCTATCTTAAAGAATGTGTCAGACATGTTCAGAGAAAAATATGTGTAATGACATAAGAATGGACATGTTCAAAATAAGTGACCATCTTATTCTTTATTAGGCCAGACCAATGTTATTTCTTGTTTTACAGATCTGCTGGTCGTATATTTTCAAGAAAAAAATGAAAAATTCCCTGCTGAAAAAATAATATCCTTATGTTCATGTGATATAAGTGAAATACTCATGAAATCAGTGTGAAACCTAAACTCACTCAACTTATTTTAGTTGCTATAACAAACCAAAAGAGTTAACATGGAAACTCATGTGGGTTTTTGCTTTGACTGGTCATCTTTTTTAAAAAAAATATTTCCCCTCCCTCCTTTAGGTTTCATGAGGACAAAAATCCATAAAACAAGAAATGAAATTGGTCTGGCCTTAGATAGGTAAAACTATGTCAAATGTTTGTCAGTTTGAACAACAGAGTATCATTTAATTGTTTGACATTATGGAGAGTTCATGACCGATCTTGGAAAGTCCTTGATGTAGTTGTAGATCTGTCATTTCCTGATTGCATGATGTCAGGCACCATGTCGTCAAATGTGCATTAATTTGTTTTCTGTATTTCGGGTGTATTGCATAACTTCCCCATTGATGAAGCTGGCCTTCAATATCTTGTATTGTGAGATCTGATGCAGTGGGTCCAGAGGACACCTTTACTGTGTGATGGTGCTTGTGGACTCACTTCCTCTGAGGGGGCATCTCAAAACTTCTCTAGCTCATGTATGTTATATGTATCAATAGTTTGTACGCATTTGTATTCATTATAGACTGTACTTTATTTACCTAATTTTTGAACATTTTGCTGTATGACACTGATGTTCTGCACATACTTGTATTTCAATGTATGCTGGGAAATATCCGAATGCTCCGATATTTTGTTCTGACACTGAAAAGTGTTGCACTTTGTTTAAATCTTCATGCATTCTTTCATGAGTAGTTGTCTTACTGTGCAAGAATGTTTATCTTCAAAATTAAATTTCTGCTTGGTCCTTGTAGAATTCAAGATTTAGTAGTATGTATACATCTACGGACCAAATTATTTTACCTGGTGATTTTCATAACAAGTACCGTCTTCATCGTTAGCTTCTATCATTGATTCATTGTATAAATTCTCTGCTTGTGAAACAAGTGCAACCTCTCATCCACAGCTTCTCGGTACGGCATTACAGTGTCCAGGTACATTAATTACATAACATTACTCACCATTGCAGGACAGGAGTTCATTTTATGACATTTTTTATCATTTATGTTTGAGTACCAATCAAAACCATTATTGTTCTGTATTAGTAGATATTGAGGAAATCAATCATCACTTTTTGAGCATTCTGATACAGTGCTTGATATTCTGACACTGTGTCTACTTACCTTGACATATTTGGCATGGGTGGCTGAGTGATCTGAGGCAGTTCAATTTGCTGTGCAGTCACCTCCCTTTGTTGCCAGGATCTACTCGTCTTGCTTTAAATCCCAGTTACACCCACACATTTACATACCGCTTTAGAGTCTAGTTGTTTAATATCTCCCACATTTAGCTAATATCCCATGATTTACTCTGATACTATTTGTAGTATTCTGAAACTCCGCCACTTAGAAACACCTGTCACATCTAGTTGATAGGTCAGTAAAATATCTAACTTTATTTTTATTCGTTTATAAATTTACAACTTTCTTAGTCACGGTATGGCTGAAATACCTACGATGTGACTTTAAATATTAACTCACTCTCATCTGGTTGATTAAACATTATATTGTATTCAGTGTCTGATTGGTTGAACATGAAGATATATGGATGATATCTCCTGTATCATATTTAGACCTATTTTGTTCAGTTCAAACGTCGTCATATGAGCGAAATATTCTCAAGCACGACGTTAAACCCAATTTCACCTCACCTCACCTTGTTCAGTACAACTGGGATATGTTACTGGTTACCTGTAGCTTCAGTTAGATGGGCTGGACCTTCCATATATGTTTTGCTTGTGAAGCAAAAAGGTGAAAATTCAGAAAAACTTTGAATCAGAAAGACAAGGTTATTTAATACTAAATGTCACTAATAGTCAATATCACTTTAACATTAAAAACACCAATGAGATGTCAGTCCATGATTTTAGAATTATTATATATAATTTCCCAAAGCAGACTTAGATTGACTTGTTTTACCATCACCTCCAGGTACTGACCCAAGTCAAACTTTAAATCCTGTATAATGCATTTTATTTCTCTCTATCCGACTGACAAATGTTTCACTTTAAAAATCTGTAAAGGACTGGTTTTTTGGACAGAAAATGACCTAATTCTAATTCGACTTTGCCAGTTGATATCATGAAGGTGGGTGTGGGACGTACACAGCACATGGCTGTATCTAAATATACATATAGCTTGCCTATTATTCACCTGATGGGAGGATTAGCAGTAACCCTGAACTATTGTGGAACTATCACAGCAGTCTTCCATAGAGCTTCTTATCTTCATGATATAGACAGGTCGGTGGTGCTTCACAACAGCGACTCTGTATTCATCAATATGATGACCAGGATCTGAAACTGCGGTTAAAGCGTTTGCTCTTTATGCCGAAGGCCTAGATTAGATTCCTCATATGGGTACAATATGTGAAGCCCATTTCTGGTGTCCCCTGTCGTGATATTTCTGGAATATTTCTAAAAGCGGTGTAAAACCCAACTCACTCACTCACTATTTCAGACCCCGTTAATCCAAAATCCTTGCTTTCTGTATCTTCCATAACATCCAATATATGCTAATCAAAACAAGTTAGAGAACAACAACTTCTGCAAGGCTGTGTTGCAGTACCTACTGTTCATGACAGATAGGTGACTATGGTCTTCTGACAAAACTACTGTACTTGGACACTTTTGAAAAGTATATATTGAGGGTATTGTGAAATCGAGATAAGTGCATTGTGTTTAATGAATACAAATTGCTTTATACACGTTTCTTTCAATAGACTCATTACTTACTTATAAAAAACCCAGGCACAAAGCATGAGTTAAATTTTGTACACAATGACAATATAAGACAAGTGCTTTCAAACACCAACACCAGTTATAAGTGTAATATAAAATCTCACAATTTGAATTACGACAATTGTTGCCGAGGTGTGCTGTCTAACACGTCCCCTTGGTTATTTAAAGGGCTTACAAGCACAAATACTCGCCATTCTTACAAACCGTACATAATACAGAACCGTGTACCTGGGTCCTATTCCACAAAGCTATCTTTATGCTTCGATTATCACTCTTGCATTCTTTAACATAGACTCAAGATGCTCGGAGCACAAAGACCACTTTGTGGAACAGTCCTGCACCATAAGTTCATGCTTTCATTTTAAATGTTGACATCTCTACTTATTGTATGTCACCCTCTCCTCCCACCCCATCCCCAAGGATGTCCCTGCCTTTTATATGTACCTTCTACAGTTTGTTTGCTTTTGTGATGGAGTTGTCTGCCCTTGCGTTGTTGCCTGTGGTCGCTGAGCGCGTTAGTGCTCATCTTTTATATGCAGATCAAGCATCTGTCAAATGTCGGAATAAAACCATAAAATAAAATCTGGCTTTGTTATTTAAACCAAAGTTGAGTAAGCATTTATATCAGAATTGAGTGGTCACGTCAAGACTCATGAACACTTCATATACATTTCTATGGTTGTGAATGTCAGAAAATTCATGGCATGAATCAGTGTTCATAGATTTTACACTAAGTCCCCAATATTCCAGCTACATCATGAATGAAGACAAACAAAATTTATGGATTTACAACTTCTTTATTGCAATAGATGCAACTTGAAAACACCAAAACGTCGCATCTATTGCAAAAAAGTTGTCAATCCATAACATTTATTCCTCTTCATCATCCCAGCTTCAGTGCCACTTTAAGAAGTTACAACACGAATATGAAGAATAACCAAAATCTGAACCAGCTGCAAACATGGTAATTAAACTGGAGCATCTTTCCACATTGTGAGGACAGGTCACAAAATCATCCCCACCTGTTGCTGAGAAAACAAGCATGGAATACTTGGACTGAGTGAATTTGGTTTTACGCAACTTTAGCATTATTCCAGCAACATCACGGAGGGGGACACCAGAAATGGGCTTCACACATTGTACCTCTATGGGGATTCGAACCCGGGTCTTTGGCGTGACGAGCCAACGCTTTAACAACTGGGCTACCCAACCGCCCCCTGGAATACTTGGAGACCTGTCTTAGTATAGAGACACAAAAGTTATGATCGTCACCAGTCTTAGCATCATGTGACATGTATTCTCCGGTGATGCAGAAAACAGTTAATTATACAACAGATCGACAACACACCATCCCATTCATCTGGACCTTTGTTCCAACAGTTCAGGGCCCAGTTTCACAAAGTTCTCGTTACTTTCCTCGTAGCATTCGTACCTCCTGTGTTACAGTATAGGAGGTACGAATGCTACGAGAAAGCTCTTGTAAGCCGAAGATCTCGTAACTTTCCTCGTAGCATTCATACCTCCTTTGTTACAGTATAGGAGGTATGAATGCTACGAGAAAAGTTACGAGATCTTAGGCTTATGAGAACTTTGTGAAACGGGGCCCTGGTGTTTCTGTTTCTTTCTTTACCTTCATGGATGAGTCTTGGCTAGTCTTGCTTATCCGAGACAAGTTCTTTTACATGACAAAGGAAAAATGACAGTGTTCAGGGTATAATTCTTTATTTACAAGTGTCAAACCAGTGACATATATACATTGTAATTTACAATTTTAACATGACTAAACACACTAGAACAAAAAAACAGTAACGACAGGCCCCCATTCCAAATACAAAACTAAATGCAAGGGAGCTTCAGTGTAAGATCTAATAATACAATTTTTACAAATTGTAGTTCGTGAGTTTTGAGAAATTATGTATGTCTGTCATGAGATCCATACTAATTAGGCATCAGCAAATCTGATTTATATTTTATGCAAAACTTTGAGAATGCTAATGGTACTCAAACACAAAAAGGAATGTGTAAACATATATATGTGATGTTAAGTGTTAAAAACCTTTGGTCAACTTAAGAAAAAGGTAGTCGGTGAAGAGTTACCTTCCCTTGTAGATTTGGCATTCAGTGACTCAATGAAAGACAGCACCGAGTCTTATTACATCATCATTATCACAGCTGAAGAGGGTGGTTTTCTATCTCCAAACATTTGTCACGATTATGTAGAAAAAAAAATCAAGAAAACAAACAACAAATATCTGTAACAACATTCTGGGTTGGCATCTTTCTTCACTTCATAAATTATGACTTTATCACATTTATATGGAGTAATAGTTCAGCCCTCTATGTATATAAGTCAATATAACCTGCTATGCATGATGATATGATTAAATGGACATACTATTCTTGACTACAAAATCAGCACAAAATATTAAGGAACAAAAAGGTCACATGACCATGGCTCAACCAAAGTCCATTGACCATAAACAAAACATTTTTCCACAAACAAGTTAAGAGTTGTACAAAGATTGAGCTAACGTAACAAATCTTGCTTCCTTGATTGGACATCTGACTGATCACATTCTTTTCAAAACAAATGTGAAACATTCTAAATAATAAACTTAGTACAATATTTAGCAGTGTGTTTCCTGCTCTGCAAAAACAGTATGAGACAATGTTTTTTGTTTTTGTCGAAGTCTTACCAACAAAGTTATATATAAATATTGAATCTAAGTAACCAAGAGTTACATGTTCAGATTGTGAGATTGTATTGATTAATGCTCAATGTCAAATGATCATCTAAATGCTCACTTATGATGAATACCAGCAGCCTTATCACAGAAATGTTAGATAGGTGCCAAATTCTGGAAACAAGAGACCTGCAGAACAATGGGAGAAATGATGCTATCAGCATGTTAGGCTTGCCAAGAGTAATCAATTGTTTTGCAATATCAGAAAATTATTATTATTATTTTTTAAGAAAAAAAGTAAATAATATCAGAAAAATTCATTCATACAGTGCTGATTTTTTTTATCAGTTATCAAGAATTTAAATAGTATTCTTTCAGAGAGCCCTCACCACAAGCAGACGTCATTTGGTTTTCTAGCAAAGTTCATGTTGATCATGTAACTAGTAATTAATTATCACTTGACATGTTACATATTACAGGTCACTATCAGTCACGTGATTTGATGACACGTAAGTTTTCTACTGTTAAACTAAAATTTATTGTTTTGTCATGTGATACGGATTAACTACTGAAATTCACATTTTCTTAACTAAATTTTGTTTTTTTGTTTAATGCTGCACTCAGAAATATTTAAGCTATATGGCGGCGGTCTGTAAACAAACAAATCTGTCTTAACTGAGTAAGTATGTTCCGCACAAAAGTACCGGTAATATCATGGTGGGCAGATACCAGAAATATGACTTAACTGAGGTATAACATCTTGCAATATTGATACCTTGATAGTGGTGAGGCACCTCACACAATACACACAGAAAGCCTGGTTGATAGCAGCAATATATAGAGCTGACTGACTGAGTTTAGTTTTACTCCGCTTTTAGCAATATTCCAGCAATATCATGGCTGGGGACACCAGAAATGGGCTTAACACATTGTGCCCATGTCAGGAATCGAACCCGGGTCTTCGGCGTGACGAGACAACGCTTTAACCACTAGGCTACCCCACCGCCCCTGCAATATATAGAGAGTGTTATCCGAGTAAAATAGATGCTATACGTGAGACTGGAGTATATTATTTGACATTTACAGAAAACAAACAGGAAGACACCTACAAGACACCTTCTAAGATACACAAATAGAGATATGTAAAATAAATAGATTCTGAAAAACAAGATGGATATGTATATGCAGCACAACATACACTCCTGGGTTGCCATTTTGTTGTCTTCTTTACTGCTCTTTATTACAAAGCATTTTATATTTTACTAGTGAAATAATCATATTATGTAATAAGTGTCTGAAAATTATCTCATATTACCTTGTAAACAATATTTTTTGAATATCAGTTATATTTTGGTCTGCATATTGAATAAATCCATTAAATCTGACAAGTGTAGTATGTATGTAAGACAATGTTTTGGGGCTAGATTTTGCTTGAGCTGTATGTGGCCCAAAAGAACAAACAATAAAGAAGCCTGTCATAGATGCATGAGCCTCACATGAATGGAAGACTAAGAAAGGTAATGATAACATATCTGAGCATCAAAATGCTAATTAGGGATGAATTCCAGGTGACACACTTCACAATAGAAGGAAGCATGGCCTCCCACTTAACTACACTTGCCTTATTTAGTAATAATCATAGCTTGACTTTGGGATTTGGGTTTAGCATCGCTGTGAACGGTGTCATGTTATATCACTATGTGTCAACTTAATGTGGGAGGAAGGTCCTATGTAAGGCAGGATTCAGATGTTTATCAATTTGGTAAAATCATCAAGTGCAGATATGGCACCGACAAACCATGATTCAAACCCAAAATCATAGGTTTCTGTCATACCCAAGGGACGCAACTCTGCAAAGTGAATTGCAGTTCCTGAAACGACTGGGGACACATGCCCAAAATTACTGTGGCCGAACTAAATATTTTTAAGACTTGGCATCCTACCATACCTTAACATAATGCCTGAGGACTGGCAACCAGTTTGCTGAATAAGGGAAGAGATCATATGGAAACTGTTCCACAAAATGATCTTAGAGAACTAGGATGACCATAAGTCTATGGTAAAGCATATAGAGAATAGAGATACAATCACTTGAGTGTCAAGATCGCTTTGAGGAATGGGTCACAGGTAAAGATAGGTCATTATGTCTCATTATGAGCAAATAGTCAGAACCAGACATGAAGTGTTAATGATCACGATGATACAGAGAAATGTGCACATTTTATCAGAACATTCAGTCAGCACACAGTGTAGTTGGTTTGATAGAGGCTGTCTTTGATTTTTAAACTGTTGACATTTTAATCTATTGACTACAGATTCACATGAGCTAAATGACGTTGCAACTTTCCTAACTTCAGAGACATAAAACTAAACACACTTCCTCTTTATCAATTATCAGTGAAGTGTAAGTTACCTCCACAGACATGTAATATATTGTATTAAACTTTCTCAGTACAGTACAGATCTTAGTAAAATGTTTTAACTTGAGTGCCATCCAGGATTCAAACCCACACTGTCAGGGTGAGGCTCTTAATCGCCAGCACACACAGTCGGCAATCTGACCCACTCAGCCACTAAACCTAAGTCTGAATATATCAACATAATTACTTAATCGCTCATTGATTCAGTTTCCTACATACAGATTTGTGGGTCAAACTTCGAGTGGGAATCATCATGTAACAAAAAATACCAAAACCAAATATATTGGTGTTTGCATCTTATCACAAAAGGCAGCCAATTTAAAGCACTACTGCAAAATATACATCTTATTTTGAGAAGACAGGCAAACAAAATAAACCCAGCATAATACGTTGGATGTTATAAATTTGTATGAAGCAAGATAGCCGTTGCAGCAAACCAAACTTTGATCCCTAATCAGTCTTATCAAAGACTAGTTTATAGCACATATTTAGGATATTAGTTATCTTTAAGGTCCCTTGAATACAGTTTCTGGCAGTGTTGCCTGTAGACACATGAAACTATATTCAATGTAATTAACATCCTGCTGTTATTCCTTATATGACTGTATGAGAAAGATAACTGAATAATCTTTACATCGTCAGTTAGCAAAGTGTCCAATTTGTCTCAGTATTGTATATCTGGCAGATGTTAGACATCCTAACATTATAACTGTGGCTCCCAGATTCATGAAGCATAATAAAAATGGACTTCAAATTATGCATCCATTAGATGAATAAGTGAGGATGGTATAACAACACTTTTTAGTTTTAGCAATGTTCCACCAATATCACATAGGGAGCACCAGAAATGGGCTTCAGTAATTGTACCCATGGGCGAACACTAGGCTTCCCAACCATTCTATCCATTAGGCTTCCCAACCACCCTATCCATTAGGCTTCCCAACCATTCTATCCATTAGGCTTCCCAACCACCTTATCCATTAGGCTTCCCAACCATTCTATCCATTAGGCTTCCCAACCATTCTATCCATTAGGCTTCCCAACCATTCTATCCATTAGGCTTCCCAACCATTCTATCCATTAGGCTCCCAACCCCCATTATATCCATTAGGCTTCCCAACCATCCTATCCATTAGGCTTCCCAATCCATTCAACCAACCATTATATCCATTTCTATCCATTAGGCTTCCTAACCATTTATATCCATTAGGCTTCCCAACCATTATATCCATTAGGCTTCCCAACCATCCAACCATTATATCCTATCCATTAGGCTTCCCAACCATTCTATCCATTAGGCTTCCCAACCATCCATTAGGCTTCCCAACCTATCCATTAGGCTTCCTCAACCATTATATCCATTAGGCTTCCCAACCATTATATCCATTAGGCTTCCCAACCATTCTATCCATTAGGCTTCCCAACCATTATATCCATTAGGCTTCCCAACCATTCTATCCATTAGGCTTCCCAACCATTATATCCAACCATCCTATCCATTAGGCTTCCCAACCATTATATCCATTAGGCTTCCCAACCATTATATCCATTAGGCTTCCCAACCATCCTATCCATTAGGCTTCCTAACCATTATATCCATTAGGCTTCCCAACCATCCTATCCATTAGGCTTCCCAACCATCCTATCCATTAGGCTTCCCAACCAACCATTAGGCTTCCCAACCATTCTATCCATTAGGCTTCCCAACCATCCTATCCATTAGGCTTCCCAACCATCCTATCCATTAGGCTTCCCAACCATTATATCCATTAGGCTTCCCAACCATCCTATCCATTAGGCTTAGGCTTCCAACCATATATCCATTAACAACCATTCTATCCATTAGGCTTCCCAACCATCCTATCCATTAGGCTTCCCAACCATTATATCCATTAGGCTTCCCAACCATTATATCCATTAGGCTTCCCAACCATTATATCCATTAGGCTTCCCAACCATTATATCCATTAGGCTTCCCAACCATTCTATCCATTAGGCTTCCCAACCACCCTATCCATTAGGCTTCCCAACCACCCTATCTATTCGATGAATGCAAGCAAGCACATTATCCATCAGCCTATCACCTTACATGTTCTCAGTGAATTGACATAATGTATTATGTTCCGTTACTCTTCTCCTGTTGTTATTCTAAGCACCTGTTGTGCATAAGCAATCTGATATGCACGGCGCGACATATATCTTGTGTATAAATGTCTTACATACAGCTCATTAAGTAGCAAACACAGACATCTAAAAAAACCATGCACACTGGAATCCACCATGTTGAATGTACTTCTTGACTACAGAACACTGTGACCTGAATATAGCACCTGTTGTTGAGCTGGCTGTCTATAGTACAGACTTGTATTTACATGCAAACATCAGCCACGTCGCACATGCTGACTCGGGATAGGGGAACATTCGGGACCCGCAGCCCCAGTCGGACCTGGTCACCTCGGCAGTTGATGATCTCCTCGCATCGTGATGCTCTGTAACCACAGTCAGCTACATCATCACCACACTCAGTAATTCTTCTAAAACATTTACCTGATATGTTAAATGGAAGTGATAACAAATGCATCACAGTTTGTTTTTTAAGACATTTGAAATCCCTGAAGCTTATAGAAATTGAGCAGGGTGTTCTATTTCATCTCTACAAGTCCTTACAAAAGTGAGAGAGTGACTTTAGTTTTATGCCACACTCAGCAATGTTCCAGCTATATGGCGGCGGTCTGTAAATAATCGAGTCTGGAACAGACGATCCAGTGATGAACAGCATGAGCATCGATCTGCGCAATTGGGAACCGATGACATGTGTGAACCAAGTCAACGAGCCTGACCACCCGATCCCGTTAGTCGCTCCTTACAAAACAGTGAGTGAGTTTAGTCTTATGCCGCTTTTAGCAAAATTCCACTTTAACCTCTTGGCTACCCCATCACCCCTCTTACAAAAGAAGGCAGTCTACATGTCGTAAAACGGGGATGCTAAAGTGTTATATATTCTACAGTATTATTACACTATGTCCCCGCTTGGCAGCTATTAACCAATATTAACCAATTAAGTTTGCTCAATTTTTCACACATTTTTTATCACAAGACTGTTAATTGTTTTGTTTTTACATTTCTTTTGATGTTATTCTACACACTTTTTTATATGTGCAACATTCAGAAATCTGTTGTCCATGCACTGGCAGTCGCACAAATAAGTGACCCTCTCTTGCTTCATGTACATCCACTCAGCTCTGACAACACACCAGGCCACTGGATATCTGCATGTAAATACCATGATTTCTGTGTCCACTTACTTGAGACATGTAGCAAAGATCTTGCGGGCATTGCGGTGCGTGAACTGTATCGGGTAGCCTTTGAATGTGTGACCGTCTGGCACACTGTGTCTCACAGCATCCTGGAAGTCTTCATTGCCTGCAGTCAGTCCTGCACAACAAACACAGCCACAGAATAAATGTTGGTTGGTTGGTTGTTAACGCTGCACTCTGCAATATTACAGCTATATGGCAGCGGTCTGCAAATAATCGAGGCTGGACCACAATCCAGTGATCAACAACATGAGCATCGATCTACGCAATTGGGATACCATGACATGTGTCAAACAAATCAGCGAGCCTGACCACGCAATTCTGTTAGCCGCTCTTACGACAAGCATGGTTGCTGAAGACCAATTCTAACCCGGATCTTCACGGCTAGTCAATGGTAGAAATGAACCTGAACAGTGCTGGAGGAGTGAGCTTGGGAGACTTATCGATAGTCATAAACAATGAAACATCAATTTAAACTTTAGAAATTATGTTTCTGACTGTAATGTTTGTTAAATCAAGACATCAGCAACTTGTGCAGTTTCCTGACTTGTAAAATTGCAATGTAAACAGCATACTCCTGTATGTGTCTCGATTATCTTGATTATGGTACAAATGCATTAATCAGTGCCTGTTTTGTTTGCACAATGTTATGATTGTGTCCCGTTATTGCCCACATGAGTTTTGTGGTGGGGTTTATGAGGGCCATTGATAATTGATCCAGAGCTCCAGATAAGATTTAGCTCATGTGGGTACTGTACCCACTGTATTTTTTTGGAGTGGGTATTATGAATGTTGAGTGGGTATTTCATTTTCCGTTACCCACTGCTTTCAAATATGTGCATATTTCAGTCATTTTACTCACCTAAGTATTATGTCATTGAGTAAGTTTACTAAGCAGGTATGTTCTGCCTTATGTCATACCTAATCAAAACCAACTTAAATATAATGGAAATGATTTCATAAAAAATCCCTCATCCTATACTGACAGTACAACACTAGTCCTATACTAACAGTACAACTTCATAGCAATCCATGTCTTTTTCATTACGCAAGCGATTTAAAAAATATATTCCGTACGCATTTGTTTTAAACATTTTGCGTATCTAACATTTTAAATGCGTAATTGGTACGCAACAATTATTTTTCAATGCGTAATTGGAAATTTTCTATGCGTATTTTACCCGGATACGCAGCTTATCTGGGCTTCTGATTGATCGATCACTGAGCTGATTATTGATCTGCATTTTGTGAGCGATGACTGATCATTTAAAGCTGTGTTAGTGCTACACCCAGCAATATTCCAGCTATGACGGCAGTCTGTAAATAATCAAGTCTGAACCAGACAATCCAAATATTGACATCAGGAGCATCGATCTACAAAAATGGGATACAATTACATGCATTAACCAAGTCAGCTAGTCTGATCACCAGACTCTTTAGTCACCTCTTACAACAAGCAAGGCTGGCTCAGAACCAATTCTAACGCTTCATGGCTGTGGTAAGCATTGTTTAATCTAGTTTGCCTGGGACAAGAGACAAGCTAACCTGTCCCTATTTTCACTGTTATAGTACCATAGACTGTATTGTCTCACTCAAACTTGCCTCTGTTCACCCAGCAGAAAATGGGTACCCAGTGGGATAAGTCATGAGACTATTAACCTTCTAGCGCCTCACAGTCTAGGCAGCTTGGGTTATCTGGGCTAACAATAATCTGATTGTAGCACTTTGAGCGTGCCCCTCCGTGGTGCGGAATTCAGCGCATTACAGATGCCCTTAATTCAATTCAATTTTATCAAAACCTGTAATGAGGCAAATTACAAATTGCCAATGTCTGTAATCATTGTTTTTGAAATAGTTGTATTACTGTTCAGTGAAGTTTTTAAACAACTTTTAGCAAAATCCCCACAATGTCAGGTTTGTTGTTTAAAGCTGCATTCACCAACAATCACACTACATGGTGGCATTCAGTAACAAAATCTGGATCAGACAATCCTGTGACTGATATCAGCAACGATTCATCCCACAGTATACAATGACACACGATCAACCATGTCTTATGTTTGAGAGGTAAGTTCATGGTTAACACTAGGTAATCAAAAGTCTCCTCTTGTCACTATATGGCTGAAATATTGCCGAGGTGACATTAAATTGTAACTCACTCTAAGCTCTGCTCAAGTTACTTGTTTCACTAGTCAAGTACCTGTGACTAGACCTTTTGTATCACTTGAGCCAACGGTCTTCTGGTACCAAAATCACGGTTCGCGATTTGCTTGATGGTCTGAACTGCAGGTCTTGCGATGGTATTTTTCTTATCTGCACAGAATATTATAACAAATGAATAAAAGTAAAATCCTGGAATCTGTACTTTGTGTGTGTGTTTGTTGCTTAACGCCATTGTATTTGTTGTTTTAAGTAAATAAATGTGTCTGGACCAGACAATCAGGTGACTGACAATATGAGCATCAACCTTCGTAACTGGGATATGACATGCACCTACCATCCTATTCTGTTAGTGGCTTCTTACAACAAGCATGGGTTGCTGAAGATCTGAGTACCTAAATACTAAAGTCAAATGAAAATTTGGAGACATACTTTATTGTATTCTATTGCCACAGAAACAAAACTTTATGATTGAACCAACAAGCAAAACAAAACAAAAACAAAAAAACAAATCAGGAAATACATCTTTGCTCCATTGTTCTTGAGGATTTCAAGACAGCTAACACACACAACAAGCATTGTGACACACGGGCACCGATCGCAACAGAAGCATCAAGGGAAACAACTCAGTATACTTCTCCTCACCCTCCTGTGTTCCATCACCAGGACACGTAGCTGCTGCTCCAAGTCGTTACTGAGGATGGTGGGGTCTAGGGTGGAGGCACACAGAGGGGGTGGGGTTGGCCAGGAGGGACACACCCCAGGCCCACATACAGACATGACAGCATCACCTGCCATTGACTTCCACCTGGACTCGTCAGTGAGATCAAAGCGACAAGTCTCCACATTGTCCATCACCTAAAATAGATGCAACAAAAAATGAGTGTCTTGCAGCCTGTCTGGATGTGTTCAGCAAGCAGGGCTTTACAATTCGAGTCACAATTTCGAGTCCTGATAGAAACTTACCTGAGAGTTGGCAAAGAAGCTTTGGTGGTTGAAGACACAGCCTATAGTCTTGTAGGGGTATGCTGGACGCGATTGTTTGGACATGGGAGGACCGTCAGGGTCCACTGCTTCATGTATATACCTGAACACATCACAGAAATAACAACAGATCATTAGGACAGTTCCTGTTGTACATAAATGAGTGAGTGAGTTTAGTTTTAATCTGCATTTGGCAATATTCCAGCTATATGGTGGCGGTCTGGACCAGACAATCCAGAGATCAACAACATGAGCATCGATCTACGCAATTGGGATACGATGACATGTGTCAACCCAGTCAACGAGCCTGAAAACCCGATCCCGTTAGTCGCCTCTTACGACAAGCATGGGTTACTGAAGATCAATACTCTAACCCGGACCTTCATGGGTTTGTTTTACATAAATAGCTGACACTAACATTATATTTATCTTTACAAGAACATCCAACTGGTTAATCAGTAACCGTATTCACAACAGGCAGTGTACTGTAGCTGAGTATTGATATCAATACAAGAGTGAGTATGGATTTATGCCGCTCTTAGCAATATTCCAGCAATATCACGGTGGGAGACACCATAAATGGGCTTCACACACTGTACCCATGTGGAGAATCGAACCCAGGTCTTCAGCGTGATGAGCGAATGCATAAACCATCAGACTATCAGACCGCCCCGGTACAAGAACAGCTGACACTAACATTGTACTGAGAACCTATGTGTTGTAGCATGGACCACAGCGTTCAATGTTTGCTTGCCAAGATGCCATACTGTTGTTAAAAGAACATGATGGCATTAGAACACCATAAGATTGTTCATAAGTCTATGCAAATATCAGGACTCAAAATAAACAATTGAAGGCAAATCACTAATTCAATGTAACAATTCTAAAGCATTACTGAATTTGGTTTGGATTGGTCTTCAGCAACCCATGCTTGTCACAAGTGGTGATTAATGGGATTGCGTTGACATGTCATCGTATCCCAATTGTGCAGATGGATGCAAATTATATAATCCAAAAGTGACTATTTACAGAATGGCATTTAAAAACAGGAAAATTGCTGAGTGTAGCATTAAAAAACAAAGCATTATAAAAGTCAATACACTTGTCATTGTTTAACTCAAATCACAATGCCTGTCATGAATATGATTCACCAACCTGTGGCCATTGAGACTCTCCCAGAAGGTAACGACCCCATCTGTTGTAATGGTCATGACCCAGGCATGTACAGATCCCTTAGCCTTGGTGCCCACACACACATAGGCATCAAGTCCGAAGCCCATCAGGAGGCTGCATAACAACACCGCGTGATCCTCACAGTCCTGGTGGATACAGCACAAACAACATCAGGTAGCAGTCACACATCACATATACACTTGACCTGAACTACTCAACTGGATTTGTTTAAGAAATGGTTTTATTTAAAAATGAAAGCATCTGATATTATTGTATCTAATATGAATTTCTTGAATCCTCCATTATCTTGATTAACAACCATCCTCAATTATCCTGATTAACAACCATCATTGAGTATGCTGATATTATCAATCCTTGATTATCCTTTTCAACAACTTTCCTTTATTACCCTAATCAACAACTAGCCTTGATAACCTGATCAACAACTACCCTAATGATTATCCTTGATTATTAACCATCCTTGATAACCTGATCAACAACTAGCCTTGATTATCCTGATATTAACTATCCTTGATTATCCCGACTACCAGCCATCCTTGATTATCCCGACTACCAGCCATCCTTGATTATCCCGACTACCAGCCATCCTTGATTATCCCGACTACCAGCCATCCTTGATTATCCGACTACCAACCATCCTTGATTATCCTGACTACCAGCCATCCTTGATTATCCCGACTACCAGCCATCCTTGATTATCCCGACTACCAGCCATCCTTGATTATCCTGATACTAACAATCCTTGATTATCCTTATCAACAACCATCCTTGATTATCCTGATATTAACTATCCTTGATTATCCTGACTACCAGCCATCCTTGATTATCCTGACTACCAGCCATCCTTGATTATCTTGATTATCCTGATTACTACCAGCCATCCTTGATTATCCCGATAACTGACAATATCTTGATTATCTTTATTAACAACCATTCTTGAATATCCTGACTAACAATTCTTGATTATCATATTAACTATCCTTGATTATCCTAACAACCATCCTTGATTATCCTGATGAACAACCATCCTGATGAACTGAACCATCCTTGATTATCCTGATGAACAACCATCCTTGAGGTGAGCTAAGATTTTTAACCATCCATGATTATCCTGATTTCAACCATGATTATGTTGACTACAACCATCCTTGATGATCCTGATGAACAACCATCCTTGATTATCCTGATACTAACTATCCTTGATTATCCTGACTAACAATCATCCTTGATTATCCTGATACTAACTATCCTTGATTATCGTGACTAACAATCATCCTTGATTATCCTGATACTAACTATCCTTGATTATCCTGACTAACAATCATCCTTGATTATCCTGATACTAACTATCCTTGGTTATCGTGACTAACAATCATCCTTGATTATCCTGATACTAACTATCCTTGATTATCCTGACTAACAACCATCCTTGATTATCCTGATACTAACTATCCTTGATTATCCCAACAACCATCCTTGATTATCCTGATGAATAACCATCCTTGATTATCCTGATGAACAACCATCCTTGATTATCCTGATACTAACTATCCTTGATTATCCTAACAACCATCTTGATAAGGCTGATCAACAACCATACTTGACTATCATATTATATATCATTGATTACCCTAACAACCATCCTTGATTATCTTGACAAACAACCATCCCTGATTATTCTAACAACCATCCTTGATTGTCATATTAACTATCCTTGATTATCCTATTAAATATCCTTGATTATCCTAACAACCATCCCTGACTATCCTGACTAACAACCATCCTTGCTTATCTGATATTAAATATCGTTGATTATCCTGACCAACAATTATCCTTGATTATCATATTAACTGTCCTTGATTATCCTGACACTATCCTGACAATCATCCTTGATTATCTTTCACTATCCTGACAATCATATTAATTGTCTTGATTATCCTGACAAACAACCATCCTGACAAAACAACCATCGTTTATCCTGACTAACAACCATCCATTCCCTGATATTAAATATCCTTGATTATCCTGACAAACAACCATCCTTGATTATCCTGATATTAACTACCCGTGATTATCCTGACAAACAACCATCCTTGATTATCCTGACTAACAACCATCCTTGATTATCCTGATTAATGAACATCCTGGATTATACTGACATTAACCATCAGGTTCAGAGTCCGGTTCAGATGGCCTCACATTTAAATACATGCTATTTAACTTTCTAGAGTCGTGAATGATAGTAATAAGTTGCATCAGTGAGTGGGCCTATCCACATACCCCTTTGTTTCTACACAGGAAGGCATGCATGTTGGTCCACTGTTCAGGCTTATCTCCCCCTCCCAGGGTGGGCACCTTCTCGTTGTGGATGAGACTGACAAGACGGGCAGCCTGTCTGGGTGTGTCCAGCAGTCGACCAGCACGCAGGGGCTTCACATAGGAGCACACAGGCCTGTTGGTCCAATTCTCATCCTGACAAACATGTGTCATAGATTAACATTGAGTGGCATCACTGATATATGAACAGTGAAATTTTCATATACTGAGTTCTGAGCCTTCCTGCATGTAACCATTTAACATTACAAACAGCTGTGGTAGAGTGAGTGAGTGAGTGACACTTTAAAGAAAGTTTCAAGAATGTAGCACCATGCTGGACGAATTCCGATCTCCAACTGTTAATACTTTGCTGATATACATGACCACTAGTATGCTGAGGACAACTGTAGAAACATTTGAAAATCGAAAAACATTGATAAACATTACTATGGGACAATCTACATAAAAAATGTTCTAACTAACCTGAGCAAATATCTTGACAAGTCTATCCTTGTGAGCTTCTCTGATCTGAAGGAAATCCTTCCACCACTGTTTGGCATAGACAAGAAATAATCTCTCCTTCTCTGCCTGTCGAGATCGCTCGAGGTCCAGCTGCGCACGGACAACCCGCTCATCCATCACCTGTTGAGTCCTAGGATACAGCTCCATCTGGACTTCAAGGATACCCACTGGCACCTTGTTCTCACTGCCTGGAGAGAAACACAACAGTAAGTTCCCTTAAAAATGGGAGGCGAATGGGGCTTTATGCTTGATATATAAGAAATTTGAATTGCAAACTACAATACTTATACCTTTAACATATAAATATGACTACGCCCTAGAGTTGCTGATCATAGCACTCATCAGAGTTATACGCTGTGTTGTGTTTTTTGTCATGCACTCAAGTTACTTTGGGATGAAAATAACTGCATTTTCCATGGGAGGCAAAAACTTTATCATCATTTCTAAACTGCATGTTATATAAACAATATTTCCATTCAGTGCTTGATTTCTCAAAGCATTCATAGAACTACGATGATTATCTTAAAATTATGTAAAAGTCGCAATATTGAGATCACATTCTGGAACAGGGACCAGGTACAAAACAGTCAATTCTAAGGTGTCAATGGTAAACTTTCTTTATTCTAACATTCTAACACACAATCATAGGCTCAAGATTCTAAGTATGCCCAGTCATGTGATATCAGGAAAACTCTCAGGAACCAGATGAAGGTTTGCATTGCTCATTTGTCTTGCTGCCCTGAAATTATTACTGAGAGTTCCCTGAACTTGAAAACATCCAGATAATGTCTTGAAACACTGACTGTTTTGAGCTTCTAATCTCATGTTATTGTTTGGTTTCAAAAGGGCAATTAGAGATTACATATTCAAGATCAAGCAAATTATTTAAATGATATGAGCAGATTTCATAACTTATAACTACCTATTCCTTTGAGTTCTACAGAGATTTTCATGTTTGACTGTGGAGAAGTCAACACTGGCCGCCACTCAAAGAAATGAGATGATACAAGAGTTGTGTCCCCTGTTGCGTCTGTCTTCACCAGGACCATGTGGACCGGGTCTGAGAGAGACAGCATGCCTGCTGGATCTGCCATTCGACCAGCATCACCTAGCAACAGGACAGTTACTATGTCTTAAGAGGAACAAGTGAAACAAATCATTTGTCAACTGATATTAACATATATCTACTACTGAACAGACAGAGTGAGTGAGCGAGTTTACTTTTTGCCACTCAGCAATATTCAAGCTATATGGTGGTGATCTGTAAATAATCGAGTCTGGACCAGACAATCCAGGGATCAACAGCATGAACCTCAATCTACGCAATTGGGATATGATGACATGTGTCAACCCAGTCAGCGAGCCTGACCACCCAATCACGTTAGTCGCCTCTTACGACAAGCTAGGGTTACTGAGGGTCAATTCTAACCCAGACCTTCACAGGTCTGAACAGACAGAAGAGTCTTAAAACTGTTATACATAATAAATGACACGGGACTGCATGTGAGTGAAGCTCAAGTCAGCTAAAATAATTAAGTCAAAATATGACCTAAACTAATCATTATAGCAGTATCAACTGAGCAAGAATAACAGCAGATCCTTCCTTGGAGACAACCATGTCACTGAACTGATCATGCAGGACTGATTCATTCAATAAGCACCAAGGTTGCCCTGGTGTTAAGAGTTAAACTGTTAAGCAGAGACCCCTTAGGTGGGGTTTAGTATTTTACCAAATATTTCATCAATGATACACAAGGAATGGTGACTATTCCACAGAGGTTTCCATGGTTACCTGCTGTGTCTTTGTGAAGTTCAAGCAGGAACATTTCATCAAATTGTGGCTCACAGGCACAGGCAACCGGTCGGGATTTGAACCTCTGACCCCTGAAGTAGACGTGTAGGCTGAAGTAGGCGCTGACCTTTTGACCCGGAAGAGGGTCAGCATCCTGTAAGTGTTCAAGAAAGGCCTTGCCACCATATACATGAAGGTGAAGGTAGCGACGACTTGGGTCCAAGTTGGCTGGAGTCAAGACAATGGTATCATGCTTTATTTTATGCCAAATCAAACAGTGGCATCACCTGGTATGAACATGATCTATTTGACATAATGTTACACATGTGCTAGACTCAAGACTAAAATATTATGTCACTTCCTAGATTGATTAGATTATTTAATGACTACTGTATGCCGATTCTTTGATTGTAGTTAGAATGAGCCTGTATCCTGCGACCAATTCACTTGTCCTACACATACTGGTGGACAAATACTTGTGTATTCCTCACACGTTACTCATGTTACATATGATAATGGTAGATTGGTCAAAGTAAATATGTGACTCTGGCCATAGCTGTATCAGTGTTCATGAATAGCGTCAGACCCTCGGAAAATCTGGCAGATTTGCGGTCAGTCCGATGGAAGTCTACAACCTGCCGGCTCCAGTGTCTGACTGTATAGTTCACAGTGACTTTCACTGAAGTTGTTACATGTGACATGTCACACTTGTTTGCTGCTTATAAATTTTACGCTTGTTAATAATTTCAATGCCAATTACAAGGAATGTTTAATTTGAAATGTGTGTTTATTTTTCCTTCTGTCGGTCCCATGAATTTTCTGTGGGTCAGACAGACATCTGAAACTTACAGGACCCAATGTCCTGTTATTTTGAAACATCATTCGTGAACACTGCTGCATTAGGTGTCACAAAGAATTATGTAAAAAAACTGTGATTTTTTTATATTTCCTTACAAATGGTCTTTCCGTTTAATGCAAAAGGATAACCACATTGTTATCAGTGAAATTTAATCAGTCAGTCCTTGAAATTGAACTGATTTGAAAGTGTGATATGTGATGTCTAGTCTCACCTCTCCTTGAAGCAGTATGTTGTGTGGCATGACTGTCTCTATCCAGGAAGTGGGAGGCAGGTGGACCTATGTTTGAGTTGCCATCGAAATGAAGTTGCTGCAGGATATCATCAACAACACCCTTCTGTCGCAGTTTCTGCATCAAGTCTTGCTCACTGACATGGTCAGATCGACCTTGGTACTCATCATGGATAGTCTCTGATAAAATGTCTCGAATCCGAGACTGTATGTCCATCTGCGAAAGCAGAAAGATGGAATGACATATAAGAGGATAAACCTAGTCTTCTGACTCCATGTTTGTTTAACAGTGCTTTCAATGTGTTTAATAGTAAAAAAAAAACAATGATAAATTTAAAAAACTTTAACAAACTTCAAGTAACTTCTCTTGCAAAGTTAATTGAAACTGGAAATTATCTACTGAATTCAATGCAGAAAGATAAGTTGGGTCATCCCAGAAAAAGGCAAATGTCACAAATGTGTAAAACAACTGCCAACTGATAAATTTCATTCTACAAAAATATAGGGTTTTACAGCCATGAGAGGTGTTTATCTGATATATCTTGTATCAATAAAAAAATGCCAAGTAATCTTGAGGTATGCCACGTATGCAATGTTTGATTGTGTCAAATTTGGGAGTATGAGCGAGTGAGTTTAGTTTTACGCTGCACCAGCAATTTTCCAGCTACATGGCGGTGGTCTGTAAATAATTGGGTCTGGACCAGACAATCCAGTGACCAACAGCATGAACATCAATCTATGCAACTGGGATATGATGACATGAGTCAACCAAGTCAGCAAGTCCGACCACCCAATCCCATTAGTCGCCTCTTACCACAAGCATGGGTTACTGAAGATCAGTTCTAACCCTGATCTTCACAGGTGTCAAATTTTGTATGTAGCATTTCTCTATTAGCAATATTAGCCGCATGTTATTTACTGAGTAAGTGGTGAATAATTTAACATTATCAATTTTTCCATAGATAGCCTACACAATCCATTCCTTTGCAACTAATGTTTGGAAACTTCTTATGTATCCAACAATTTACATTACAAACTACATGTAATCATGGTAATGAATTTACCACCATACCAAAACTCAAGCAGGCTGACTTTCTTATTTATCCAAAAGCCAGTACCCTTTGTCTGATGAGACTATACCTAGCCATTTTATTGTTTTACTTTCCTGCTGAACAAGAAATTACATGTTTCTGCAACTTTCTGGTATTTTCGTTTCATATAAATAATACAGAAACTTTCAATAACATTACATCATTACTGGGAAGACGTAATTAACAAAAGTTAACAGTACGTCGTAATGATCCCTCATGTTCTAATGTTTCTCGGATTGACTGGTGACTATTGGAAAGGTAGACAGAGGACTGGGTGAAAACAATATTTTGAAGAATCATGACTTCCCACTTTTCTTATTTCCGACAGTAGGATAGCTTGTTAATTATAATAACACCAACATACATTCGTTAATGTAAAACTATATGAACAAGGATTCTCAAGTCTATCTAATACACTGCAACTTCGCTTGTGGCATGGTAGAAACCTATTGCATCGAGATCGTTTGTAAATATACACACGTGCAAGTTCGTTCACGTTCTCATCGCTGTCAGACACTGAGTCATGTAAACTATTGCTCAATACACGCACCTGTGAAAGCTGGGAATGAATTATTTGTTTCAACTCTGAAATTTTCTCCGGAGGAAGTGACATGTCGCCTGGTGGTTTCTTCCTGTCTTAATGTAATCAAAACAAGAGTATCAGCGTGCTGTCATGTGCTGTCACCTTGTTTCGAAAATGGCCGCGAGTTGACGCGCATGACTGACCTTTCAGGGTCAGGGTCAATGTTGTTATCAATGTGAAGGACGTTACCTCACGAGGGAAATATGACAAGCTGACTATACCGTAGTCGTGGAAAAGGCTACAATTAAAAAATGGGGGCTTCCCAAAGTTCAGATAGCGAGGGATCTGATGTTCATTTCACAGATGAAGAGAAGGATATTATTTCCCAAATGTTTACAAAGATATCCCATGGGAAAAAGACAATTTCCAAAGAACAGCTTGAGGTAAATAATGTTGTTTACATCCAAATTTTGGACATACGTACATGACTCATTGATATATTAATTCTCTCTATATATACAATTGTTTGCGATGCAAACCGCCTGTCAGTGGGTGTGTTGTATCAGAGACCATATATCGGTATATGGTCTCTGGTTGTACTATATAATCTATTACGAAATCTATGATCATTTAAACTAAAGTGTTTTAAAGACTTATCATGATTGATTTTTGTGGCATCATTTCTGATACTCTTGAGAGCAGATGCATGTTAGAATGAGGACCACGGTAAAACAATTGCCACAGTATTGCCACCACTCTCATGAGCATACCATGTAGCAACCCAGGATATACAGAACTGAGACAACTGAATTATTTTCATTAGACCAGTAAATATATGTTTTCCCCTGAAATTACTGAAATGTAAGGTTATTTAACACAGCAACTAGTCTGAAATGGGATAGCTGTACTTCATATAAATAAACTCATATTCCAGCCAAGGCCTACATCGAGTTGGCGAGCATACCTTGTTATCATGTACATATAGTTGTTTCACCCCATTTAGTTTTACCTGTGTTGTGGTAGCCAAGGTACTGTAAGTCCCCATGGTTCCTGGTATGGTGATCTACCTTCTAGTGTTGGCGATCTATAGCTTGGTTTTATATTGTATTGTCCAAATAGTGCTATCAGTTACAACTCTCCCTACTGGTTTTTGTTGTAATTGTGATATTCTAGTTGTTTTACTGTCCTTCGTCGACAGGTTTTTATAACGTACATATATTCCATTTCAATGTCAAATGTTCTCATTTCACTTTTTATTGTATAAATTGTTTTCGTCACGATATGGCTGCAATATTGCCGAAGTGACGTTAAATATTAACTCACTCACTCACTCACTCACCTGTGTTGTTTCATCCCAATTCCAAACTAGGTCAATTCATCTCATATTAGGGGTTGTTTCACTCCTAATCAATAGGCAGAAATTCAAGAAGACCCACGAGAAGCTTCTTAACCTGTGGACACAGTGCACAGACAAGGAACTCTCCACAAGTTCATTCCTGTCCAAGGCAGCTACTTGCTATCGTCACTAAAGGACTTCACCTGATCCAACACAGCCAATATGAACTGATATAATTATTCAAACAATTTGAATATGCTGTATCAACACTGTACATAGATGAATACAATATTGAAACAATTTTATAGTTGATAATAATTATAATTATTTGCTGGGATGAAACAACCTCTAAATGGGATGAAACAGCCTAGGGGGGAAACTGTGCTGGGGTGAACGTGTTTGGGGTGAAATAACCAATTACCGTTGTAGGAGACAGTTGAGCTACAGATGAGTCCAACACTCACATCCACACGTTATGAAGCATAGGATTCAGAAATGTAATTATTTAAAATAGCTGCAGAGTATTTGGATACAACCAACCAGGCATATTCCTGAAGGTGCTACTGCATTTAGAATTTTTTATATATTTCTTATTATATGATCTATGTGTAGCGCCAATATCCAGCTTAGCTCAGCTCCTAAAAGGCGCTTTGTTTTTCCCTCGATCATTGGATGTCAATCAATCTCAACGGCACATCATAGTTTTCAATCTCAGCTCCCTGGGGATCATACAACTCTTGCAGCCATTAAGGCACACCAAGTTAATGTGGCTTTCCCATCCTTACGAGGTACCCATTCACAGCTGGGTGAACTGAGACACATAGTCACAGTACTTTGTCCAAGTTTACTGCACGTTGCTGTACCCTCAAGTAGGTGTATCCATGTATTCATGTGGCTACCATCTGGTCATTTACCAATGGAATGTGGGTTCTTTTAAGTGTACAGGGTTGTGTACTGTACACTAGGGGTTGTGACAACACTGAAAGAATCTGCAAATATAGTTGACTCCAGGGTTTTTACTCCCGGTCACAGAAGGGCTCGATCCCAGCACCTTAAACTTGCTGGATCACTAGCCTGGCGCCTTAGATTGCTCGCCCACCACGCCCCCGCAGGAACAATACTTTGTGAAACAGGATTGTGGGAGTCTAGTTAAAGATGGCCTCAAAGGTGTGATTGATTTCTTCTTTCAGTCTTACACAGGTCCTGTCCTAGGACAAGAGATGAGCCACAGTATATTCTGTGTTATGGAGTTGTCAGAAAAACGGCATCAGCCTGATGGTGGCATCAGTCTACAACAGTTCCTGCAGTGTCTGTCCCGTCTGCTGCGAGGCAGCGTGACAGAGAGGTCAACTATCCTTCTGTATCTAGCAACAGGGGGCAAGTCTGAAGCAACACCTCAACAACTAATTAAGGTCAGCACATTTGTTTGATATGGGGACTTTTGGGGGACTTGTACTGATTTTTTTCTGAACCTTTAAGTATTATTATTAGCAATAATTCCTGTGTTTTCTTGTATCTATTTCGGCCATATAATTACTGTCCAGCTGACAGACTGGATTGATACTTCTCATCGTGTCCCAACGTATGCATCATAAGCCCATGATGTTAAGGGGTGGTGGGGTAGCCTAGTGGGTAAAACGTTCACTCGTCATGCCGAAGACCCGGGTTCAATTCCCCACATGGGTACAATGTGTGAAGCCAATTTCTGGTGTCCCCCGCCGTGATGTTGCTGGAATATTGCTAAAAGCGGCGTAAAACCAAGCTCACTCATTCACTCATGATGTCAGCCTCTGGATTGTCTGTCCAGATTATTTACAAACCATCATCTTATACATGGAAAATTTCACTTGCTCATCCTTACCCAACAAACAAACAAAAGCTACTTCCTCAGATGTGTAGGGAATTATATCTATACTCTTTACACTACATTTTTTACACTACGTTTTACTGAAATGATGCAAATTGCTCTTATGATTAAGAGAAATTCTGTGTTAAGTGGGAGAGACAGGAGTCACTTCTGAAATGAAGCTGTGTGAGCATATGGGTATTGGGTATCATCATGAAACTGCAGATATGTAATACTTTGCCTATTTGAGGATGGGTGACAGCTTGTCCAGCCTACCTTAAGGTCATTGCACCATGACAACATTTTCAGTGTAGATGTGTTCTGTATCAAACTGGAGGTGTCACACCTTTGTTCTTGAGTGAAGAAAATTGGAAAGGGAGAGTATTGACTTTGATGGTGTCTTATCAGGATTGAAATACCAGTAACATTTGACATGAATGCTTCATTGAAAAATTGCATTTTTGATTCCTCAAGACAAGCTGTTCTGTCCCATTGGGCATTGAAGTGTATAATATTTTTGTCCATTGTCATTTTCCTGTGTAATTGGGACAATTATCGTTTGTTTCCAGGTAATTTGAACTAGAACGAAATATGAGTAACCGCATGCAACATGGCAATTGGCATTGTATCCCACTTATTTGGATCGATGTTGATGATGTCAGTCATTAGACTGCTTGATCAAGACTTATTTACAGACCACCATCATATAGCCTTGAAATTGTGGGATGCAAACAAACAACTTTTGATGACATTAATAATTATTTCAAGTTCAATAACATTCTCATAAAATGATGATGGACTACTGTATCCTGTGAAGTACTCTGTGTAAAACATTATAATTCATAAACTGTTTTGTTTCAGTGTGTGACTATGCTGATATACAGTTTTGCAAGGATTGCAGAGAAACATGTTGAGTATAAAAGTTGGGTGCTACATCGGAGTGAAGAAGCCTTCTCTCGTCTTGCCCTCTGTCTTTTGGAAGATCTCTTCCATGCAGGTGTGTACCCCATACCTCTTCCGCCATTCTACTGCCCATCTTTAGTCATGTCTTTCCATATTTGTTAATGATTTTTATCCCCGGCATGTAATGTGGGGGGATATAATAGACGCCTCGACAATCTGTCCGTCAGTGCGTAATCAATTGGTTTCCGCGTAATCAATTGGTTTCCGGAGGATAACTCTAAAACCGTTCAATATTTTTCAACAAAAATTATTAGATATATCAAACAGAACCTTCAGTGGTGCCTTTTGCTATTTGCAGATTTTTGACATTTCTATTTTCCTGGTTTTCATGGAAACTAATCAGACTTAGTCTCAAAAAGGAGGGATGGGCCTTGTCTTTGGAGCACAACTTGAAAACCGTTCAATATCTTTCAGCAAAACTTGGCAGATATATGAGGCAGATCCCAAAGTGGTGCATTTTGCTATTTGCAGATTTTCTCGGTTTCCATGGAAATGATTCAGACCTGTTCTCAAAAGGGAGGGATGGGTTTTGTTTCAGGAGCACAACTTGAAAACCATTCCATATCTTTCAACAGAACTTGGCAGATATATCAAACAGAACCTAAAGTGGCACCACTTTACTTTTGCTATTTACACATTTTTGGCATTTATAATTTTTTTTCCATGGAAACGAGTCAGACTTAGTCTCAAAGGGAGGGGTGGGTTTCCGTTTCCGGAGCACAACTCGAAAACCTTTCAACATCTTTCTACTAGACTTGGCAGACATATGAAACAGATCTTGGAGTGGTGCCTTCAATCTGCTATTTGCAGATTTTTGGCATTTACATTATTCATGATTTCCATGGAAACGATTTAGACTTAGTCTAAAAAATATCAAGTTGGACTTTAATTAACTGTCAGATGATTTGATCTTTCAAATATGTAGGGTCCGGGGGGATTTGTCATCTTGTGATGACCCTTGTTTTAGAATTGAGTCTAGGGTGGCCTCTGTTTCTGTCTAGGGTTGTGTCATTTGCTGTCCAGGGTTGCCACAGTTGCTGTGCAGGTTGGCCACTGTTGGTGTCTAGATTTGTGTCAGTTGCTGTCCAGGGTTGCCATGGTTGCTGTCCATGGTGGCCACTGTTGGTGTCTAGGGTTGTGTCAGTTGCTGTCCAGGGTTGCCATGTTGGTGTTCCAGATGTTGTGTCAGTTGCTGTCCAGGGTTGCCATGGTTGCTGTCCATGGTGGCCACTGTTCTAGGGGTGTCTAGGGTTGTGTCAGTTGCTGTCCAGGGTTGCCATGGTTGCTGTCCAGGGTGGCCACTGTTGGTGTCTAGGGTTGTGTCAGTTGCTGTCCAGGGTTGCCATGGTTGCTGTCCGGGGTGGCCACTGTTGGTGTCTAGGGTTGTGTCAGTTGCTGTCCAGGGTTGCCATGGTTGCTGTCCGTGGTGGCCACTGTTGGTGTCTAGGGTTGTGTCAGTTGCTGTCCAGGGTTGCCATGGTTGCTGTCCGTGGTGGCCACTGTTGGTGTCTAGGGTTGTGTCAGTTGCTGTCCAGGGTTGCCATGGTTGCTGTCCATGGTGGCCACTGTTGGTGTCTAGGGTTGTGTCAGTTGCTGTCCAGGGTTGCCATGGTTGCTGTCCATGGTGGCCACTGTTGGTGTCTAGGGTTGTGTCAGTTGTTGTCCAGGGTGGCCACTGTTGGTGTCTAGAGTTGTGTCAGTGGCTGTCCAGGGTTGCCACGGTTGCTGTCTGGGGTTGCCATGGATACTGTTCAGGGTTGCCACTGTTACTTTCGAGAGTTACCATGGTTGCTGTCCAGGGTTGCCATGGTTGCTGTCCAGCGTTGCACGGTTGCATCCCTTGATCATGGCAGCAATGTGACTGTGGGTTGGATTCTTATTAGTCCAAATTCTGTTTCTGGGTTTGTCCGCCCCAGACCCATGTATGTTGGTTTTCCCAAAGCGGTGAACATGAAGACCAGGTTTTCCTCTAACAAGCTGACATCCAGAGACGTAACTGGAACACTGTTTAAACTAGAATTAAACCCAACTCACTGTTGAAGATCATATAAGGCTGGTTTACTCACCAATCATGTTGCAATGTCTTGCTTTACGCAGGTCCTGACAAAGACCGTGGCATGGGAGTTCCCGTGGTACCAGACAACACTACCTTCAATCAGAGTCAGATAGAAGACTGTATTTCAAAATCACAGCTATTTCTCCAGATGTTTGAGCAGATATTCTCAGGATGCTTTCATGTAGTTTCAGTAAGTTTTGTTTCTATCATGTTCTGTACCTGTGAAGATCCGGGTAAGAATTGATCTTCAGCAACCTATGCTTGTTGTAAGAGGCGACAAACAGGATCAGGCTCGTTGACCCGATTATCTGGTCGGGAATTGATTTTTTTACAGACTGACATCGCCATATACCTGGAATATTTCTGAGTGCAGTGTTAAATGCGAAACAAGCAAACAAATCTATCATGTTCTGACTGAAGCGGGTAGCCAGGTACAAGAGATGATTAGTACAATATACACAGATTTATTACCAGAAAACGGTCTGCAGTTATACACAACATGCTTTCATTTGTCACCCAGAAGGATGAAGAAGTAGCCCATCATCTGACCCCACGGGTGCCAGTGGCCGGCTGTATCAACTGGGCCAAGGTCAAGAGCATCCTAGACTTCCCCTCCCTCATCTTCCTCAACTCTGTGCTCCCCCCTGACAAGCAGATGGAGTGGCGCTTCCTCTACTCCAACCTTGTGTTCGGGGACAGCTTCACGCAGCTGGTGCAGAAGATAACAAGGCAGGGGCCCACTGTAGTCATCGTCCGAGACAAGGATGGGAATGTGTTTGGGGGCTATGCAAGTCAGGACTTGGAATTTAACCCCAAGTTTACAGGTCAGTTAAGCTGAATTGGTTTTGAATGTTTTTCCGCTACTTTTATCTATTCCAGTAAGGACATGGGTGGGGAATCCTTGTCCTCACCATAGGAATCGAACCCAAGATTTTATCTTGACAAACATTTATAGATATTAAAGTTTGCAAAGTGTCAAAATGTTTTTTGAGCTTGATATGACTGCAAGATAAGTTTTTCCTGTTCTATTGAAATTCTCCTCCTATTTATTGATAACTGGCAATTTGTTAACAAGGTTATTTAATGTCAAGATCATTTGTACTGACAAGCACAGAGATGCAGTTTCCAATTTGCAAAATCATTGTCTTGGAAATGTTCTGTGAAGGTTGAAAGTTTTATTTTTTTGAGACAAGGCCAGTAAGCTGGTGTTAACCTCATCTCACAAGTCTACAGAGTTTGTACCTAGTCATGACTGAAGAAGGCAAACATATTTACTATGTTCACATGTATTTCAGCTCCAGTTTGTAGAGGGTGGTTGTAGCCTAGTGGTTAAAGCATTCGCCCGGGTTTGATTCCCCACATGGGTACAATGTGTGAAACCCATTTCTGGTGTCCCCGCGATGTGATATTGCTGGAATATTGCTAAAAGCAGCGTAAAACGAGACTCACTCACTCACTCACTCCACTTTGTAGCAAACTTTAAACCTTGAGAATTGGTTTAGAATCATATCATAGCCCTCCAATGATACTGGTAAGTGGGCAATACTATCAATGGATTTTTAGCACAATTTAGTAATCAAGGGAAAGTACACAAGGGTGAATTGTGGACGCTGATTGTGGATTTTTATTCCACATCTAGGTGATGCTCAGTGTGCATTGTTCAGCCTGAAGCCGCACTATGGGGTTTATACTACCACTGGATACAACGACCACTACGTGTACTTCAACAACCACGTCCAGACTCTGCCCAATGGGTTGGTAAGTGGGATGCTGCACTTCGGTACTTAATTGGAATCCATTTAATAATAATAATAATGTCCACTTGTATGGCGCCGTTTCCACACACTAGTGTATGCTCATGGCGCCCCGTGTGTACAGCTAAAAAACTGCAGCAATTGTACAAGTCATTCGTAATATTTCCTGAAAAGATGGGTCTTCAATGAAGATTTGAATAAGTCAAGAGATTTTGCTGTTTTGATGGTTATGGGAAGACTGTTCCACAGTGAAGGAGCAGCATAGCTGAATGATCTGTGACCATAGTTCTTGAGATTGACAGGGGGTGTTGTTAGGAGGAACTGTTGGTGTGATCTCAGCTGTCGTGGTGGTGTGTACACTGAGATGAGTTCAGAGAGGTACTGAGGCGCTAGGTCATGTAGACATTGGAACACAATGGTCAAAATCTTGAATTTGATTCTGGCTTTTTTGTCATTTACAACTGCTTTTATGTTCAGTCTAATAGTCATGAACACAGCGTTCAATGATCTGACTATCTGTCATTGTTATACTATCAGTGGCATATGTGTTCTTTCTATATCAGGTGCAGGCTGTTTCAGAAACATCACCACCATTTACTGTGTGGAATAATTGGAATGTAGCTTCTTTTGTGATCTATATTTGAAAGCATGAGATTTGGGCACTGAAAACATTGTAACTACAATAACATGTCATCAAATGCTGGTTTGATTGATTTTATATTGTTATATGCTCAGTGTTTATTGTAGCATGTAGTATCATCACTGGATTGTCTGGTCCAGGGTTGATTATTTAGAGACAGCTGTCATATTGCTGGGATATTGCAGAGGCCTGCATTAACATCAAAGTATTTCTTGATCTCAAAACAATTTCCATGCTTATTTACCAAACAAATTCAGCTCATAATATCAATCACCGGATTGTCTGGTCCAGACTCCATTATTTACCCAGCTTGAATATTGCTGAGTGTAGCACTACACCCATGTCAACTCATGTTGAGACTAGAAACCATCTGTTTCAAGCAGATAATCTGATTGTATTTTATGTTTGTGGTAGTGGCTTGATTTTGAGAATGATTTAAGATCTGAGAAGATTTTATGTTATTATTAAGACGTGTAGACTGTAGTAATGTATAGCTGTGACTTGTCAGGGTATGGGAGGACAGTTTGACTACTTCGGTCTGTGGATCGACCACACGTTCAACAACGGACACAGCAAGGCTGGGCCGCGATGTACCACGTACGGCAGCCCACAGCTGTCGGGGAAGCCTGACTTTGAGGTGGACGTTATTGAAGTGTGGGCGGTGGGACCGGAGAAGAAGATAGATGATGATGACATCACAGACGAGGTAGGTCAGATGAGCAAGTAGTAAGTAATACCATGTGCTGGTCAAGTATTCTGCTTTTTCCATTGTTGTAGTATCTGGTTTATGGACCTGCACACAAACTGTTGTTCACTGATCTACCTTCTATTGTTGTTATGCTTGTTTCATTGACTAAAGTCTAACATTTTTTTTATCTGGTCCTCACACAAACTGTGGTTTTACCAGCACACACATATATAGTTCTCACACAGACTTCCTCCCAAGTGTTGTTCCACTAACCCCCACCCAACTCTTGTTCCACTGACCCCCACCCAACTCATGTTCCACTGACCTCCACCCAACTCTTGTTCCATAGACCTCCTCCACCCAACTCTTCTTGTTCCACTGACCTCCTCCACCTAACTCTTGTTCCACTGACCTCCACCCAACTCTTGTTCCACTGACCTCCACCCAACTCTTGTTCCACAGACCTCCACCCAACTCTTGTTCCACTGACCTCCACCCAACTCTTGTTCCACTGACCTCCACCAAACTCTTGTTCCACTGACCTCCACCCAACTCTTGTTCCACTGACCTCCACCCAACTCTTGTTCCACTGACCTCCACCCAACTCATGTTCCACTGACCTCCACCCAACTCTTGTTCCACTGACCTCCACCCAACTCTTGTTCCACTGACCTCCACCCAACTCATGTTCCACTGACCTCCACCCAACTCTTGTTCCATAGACCCGACTCTTGTTCCACTGACCCCCACTCAACTGTTGTTCCACTGACCTCCACCCAACTGTTGTTCCACTTACCTCCACCCAACTCTTGTTCCACTGACCTCCACCCAACTCTTGTTCCACTGGACCCTCACCCAACTCATGTTCCACTGGACTCCTCCACCCAACTCTTGTTCCATGACCTTGACTCTTGTTCCACTGGGACCCCCTACCAACTGTTGTTCCACTGACCTCCACCCAACTGTTGTTCCACTTACCTCCACCCAACCTCGTTCCACTGGACCCCCACTCCAACTCTTGCCTCCACTGGACTCTCCACCCAACTCTTGTTCCATGACTCTTGGTCCACTGACCTCCTCCTGACTCTTGGTCCACTGACTCCCTCCACCCAACTCCTTTGTTCCACTGACTTTCCTACCCAAACTGTTGTTCCACTGATGGCCTCCACTCCAACTCTTGCTCCATAGGACCTGACTCTTTTGGTTCCACTGACCTCCACCCAACTCTTGTTTGACTCCTTACCCTCCTACCCTTTCTTGTTCCACTGACTCTCCACCCAAACTGTTGTTCCACTGACCTCCACTCCAACTCTTGTTCCATAGACCCACTCTTGGTCCACTGACCTCCACCCAACTCCTTGGTCCACTGACCTCCACCTCAAACTCTTTGTTCCACCTGTACCTCCACCCAACTCTTCTGTTCCATAGACCTCCCACTCAACTTGGTCCACTGGACTTCCACCCAACTCTTGGTCCACTGACCTCCTAAACTCTTGTTCTTTGTTCCACTGACCCCCACTCTCAACTGCTGTTCCACTGACCTCCACCCAACTCTTGTTCCACTGACCATCTCCACCCAACTCTTGTTCCACTGACATCCACCCAACTCATGTTCCCACTGACCTCCACCCAACTCATGTTCCACTGGACTCCCCACCCAACCTGCTATGTTCCACTGGACCTTTACCCAACTCTTGTTCCATAGGACCCGACTCTTGGTCCACTGACCTCTACCCAACTCTTGTTCCACTGACCTCCTCCCAACTCTTGGTCCACTGACTCCACCCAACTCATGTTCCACTGACCTCCACCCAACTCATGTTCCACTGACTCCTCCCCCACTCTTGGTCCACTGGACTCCTTACCCAACTCTTGTTCCATGACTCCCCTACCCAACTGTTGTTCCACTTACCTCCACCCAACTCTTGTTCCATAGACCCTACCCAACTCTTTTGTTCCATATGACTCCACTGACTGACCTCCACCCAACTCATGTTCCACTGGACTCCTCCACCCAACTCTCTTTGGTCCACTGACTCCTCCACCCAACTCTTTGTTCCACTTACTCCACCCAACTCTTGTTCCACTGACTCTCCACCCAACTGTTGTTCCACTGGACTCCCTCCACCCAACTCATGTTCCACTTACTCCTCCACCCAACTCTTGTTCCATAGGGACCCCACTCTTGGTCCATACTCCACCAACTGACTTCCACCCAACTCTTGGTCCACTGACCTCCACCTCCAAACTCTTCTTGTTCCACTGGACCTCCACCCAACTCTTGTTCCACTAGACTCCAACTCTTTGTTCCACTGGACCTCACCCAACTGTTGTTCCACTGACCTTCACCCAACTCTTGTTCCACTGGATTCTCCACCCAACTCTTGTTCCACTGACCTCCACCCAACTCATGTTCCACTGGACCTCCACCCAACTCTTGTTCCACTGACTCCACCCAACTCATGTTCCACTGACCTCCACCCAACTCTTGTTCCACTGACCTCCACCCAACTGTTGTTCCACTGGACTTCCCCACCCAACTCTCCATGTTCCACTGACTGGACTCCACTCCAACTCTTGTTCCACTGACCTCCACCCAACTCTTGTTCCACTGACCTCCACCCAACTCATGTTCCACTGACCTCCACCCAACTCATGTTCCACTGACTCTTTGGTCCACTGACTCCCACCCAACTCTTGTTCCACTGACTCTCCACCCAACTCTTGTTCCACTGACCTCCACCCAACTCTCTTGTTCCACTGACTCCTCTACCCAACTCTTGTTCCATAGACCCCCACCCAACTGTTGTTCCACTTACCTCCACCCAACTCTTGTTCCATAGACCCAACTCTTGGTCCACTGACCTCCACCCAACTCTTGTTCCACTGACCTCCACCCAACTCTTGTTCCACTGACCTCCACCCAACTCTTGTTCCACTGACCTCCACCCAACTCTTGTTCCACTGACCTCCACCCAACTCTTGTTCCACTGACCTCCACCCAACTCATGTTCCACTTACCTCCACCCAACTCTTGTTCCATAGACCCGACTCTTGGTCCACTGACCTCCACCCAACTCTTGGTCCACTGACCTCCACCCAACTCTTGTTCCACTGACCTCCACCCAACTCTTGTTCCATAGACCCAACTCTTGTTCCACTGACCCCCACCCAACTCTTGTTCCACTGACCTCCACCCAACTCTTGTTCCACTCATCTCCACCCAACTCTTGTTCCACTGACCTCCACCCAACTCATGTTCCACTGACCTCCACCCAACTCATGTTCCACTGACCTCCACCCAACTCATGTTCCACTGACCTCCACCCAACTCTTGTTCCACTGACCTCCACCCAACTCTTGTTCCACTGACCTCCACCCAACTCTTGTTCCATAGACCTCCTCCCGACTCTTGGTCCACTGACCTCTACCCAACTCTTGTTCCACTGACCTCCTCCCGACTCTTGGTCCACTGACCTCCTACCCAACTCATGTTCCACTGACCTCCACCCAACTCATGTGTTCCACCTCCCTCCCAACTCTTGGTCCACTGGACTCCTCCTACCCAACTCTTGTTCCACTGACCTCCACCCAACTCTTGTTCCACTGACCTCCACCCAACTCTTGTTCCACTGACCTCCACCCAACTCTTGTTCCATAGACCCCCACCCAACTGTTGTTCCACTTACCTCCACCCAACTCTTGTTCCATAGACCCCACTCTTGGTCCACTGACCTCCACCCAACTGTTGTTCCACTGACCTCCACCCAACTCTTGTTCCACTGACCTCCACCCAACTCTTGTTCCATAGACCTCCACCCAACTCTTGTTCCACTGACCTCCACCAAACTCTTGTTCCACTGACCTCCACCAAACTGTTGTTTCAGTCAAGAAAGAAGAAGAGCATCCTGGATAAGGACCCCGAGGCTCAGGCCATGTTGACGCTGATCGGGAAGGGGCCTGTCAGCGAGGGTCTGCGAGAGGAAGATGACACAGCAGGCAATCCAGAACACAGCAAAGTCGTGTCGCTGTTCTAGAGGGAATTACTAATATGGAGGGCTGTAAGGGGCTGACAATTATTCCTTTCTAGATATCCCGAAAATTAATTTGTGGGTCTATAAAACTCTTTGGCTCATCATTTCAGAGAACAAAATTGTTATGAATACACAATGCCATATAGAAAGTGGTCAATTGTAAAACAACATGTAATCCCAAGTATAATGTGTAACAAATTTGTTAGGAAGTGCTGACTGAAACCGTATTCTCTTCATAATAAACAAAAGTCTTTCCCCTTCTCCCTCTAAAGTAATATGGTAGTATGGTAATATGGTTACTTGTGCAATGTGTACAGGCTGTGACCACATAGGTACATGTGAGGATGAAATGTATTCAGTGTTCATTCAGGATGTAGTGTGCTCCGCTTCATACCACTCCCTTGTTTCCATAGTGACAACACACTGGATTATGTGGTTCTTACATATCCTAATACTGGTATCATTAACTGTTGATACACAATGATACATTGCAGTATTGTTTGGAGTGAACATTCATGGGTCAGTTAGTATCATTTGTATGTATCAAGCACAGAACCCTTTAGGATTTATGGTTCTGTCAGAGTGATTATCAGGCTGTGAAGATGTGAAAAACACCCTCAATCTAGATTTCGTTTTCCACATTCCTGGAAGTTATTTTCAACAAATATGTAAACCAAATAATGTGAAGATAGAAAGATATGATAGATGATAATTATAACACAGATTTTTTTGTCTAAAAACAACTTTGATAAGACTTAGATAAACTAATACAATAAAATATGGTTATGACAAACTTAAAGGGACCACTAGTTGTTTGTTAGTTTGTAATAACGGTATTTTGTTATGCACATTTCAACTAAGATCTACAGCAAATGGCTGGGCAAGTGGCATTATGGTGATGTTTGGCTGCTCGGGGTATTAGTGGAGATGTGCATAGTGGTGTTATCATCTCATGTTATCATAGACCAGGTATAGTTGTAAGAAAATGTTATCAATTAGATTCACATTACGATATCAATGATAGAGTAGACAACTCTGTAGATACTGACATGAAATAGTGTGTGAGTGTATCTTTGTTAGAGTTTCTTGACGACCAGCATTGTACTCCTCAGTATAACATCCCAACTTTGTATAAAGTAAACAGCTGTCATCATGTTTCTTCTTGGTTTCCTGACTAGTTTGTGATAGTGTGTATATAGTGTATATAATCACAGCATCGCTTATGTCATATAATGTGTATAATGGTTCAAGATTATGAATATGAACAAATCTTGTTCCACTAACCTCAACCCAACTTTTGTTCCACTGACCTCCACCCAACTCTTGTTTATAAGAATTCAAGATTATGAATATGAGCATGTTAGCTTTACTTTTAAAAACCTGTTGTTTTGTATGATACTAGAGTGATGTGGAAGGTTGCTGTGTGTAGATGGTGTCCAGCTGTCCTGGAGAGATGAGCTTTGGGATGACAGTGTAATTGCATTTGTTCCAATATCATCCTAACTGGATAAAAGGTTCGCTATTTGTCTGTCATTTCACAGTGGAAGCCTTTACAAAGGCCCAGACCATGTGTGCAGGGGTATTTGTTGTCAAATGTTATGTTTGTTAAACTATCTAAATGTGCAGACTATAGACGGATAAATATATTGAATAAGATTTCAAGTGATTTGATTGGCTAATCAAGATCTTTTTGTGTGTGTATCTTTCTGTTAACTGAAACAAAATGGAGCCACACTTGATAACAGACTGGTGTTTCCTCATTGGCTCATAATGGAATAGGCATGGCTTGTGTTGTAATATTGTGCTGAATCAGTAGAATAGTGTATGTGAAATTATTACTGTTGACATGTTTATTAATAACAACTGCATTCAGTATGCATTTGCATAAATAGTAAAATCAAAGCATGGATTTACACTGTATACACACTTGTTTTTACCATCATAAAAACATTGAAATTAATTCTTAACTAAACAACTCTGTGTATGCTATATTGTTTAGATCAATAAATACATCATTCTGATTATGTAGATTGATTTCAAAACTGATAACTACCTATTCCCTAGTGTGCACACTTACGTTCCTAACTTGATCAATGGAAAAAACATGGCTGAAATCCATTCCAAAATGGCTGCTAGCCTAATACACTGTGATTGTTGTCTTGCATGATGGTTGTAGTTATGTGAAACTTTGTACCGGAGTGGTGAATAACTGAATCAGGCCACACTCTTTACAAATGCCGGATGTTATTATGTTGAGATTTATTAGTAACCTATTATCTTGGTTATGTTAAAATAAGAATACCTAATTTTCAGTATTCTTAATTTTTTGTTCTCAGGTGTATTGTGGGGTGCAGTTGAATTATTAAGAAAAATAAATTATTATTATGTTTATTGTACAGGTTGTTTACTACTTTTTACATTTTCCCTCTTTGTAGAGAAGGATTTGTGATAGATTAATTATGACTATGTAGGCTATATATAGAATACATTACTGGTACCTGTAATTAATTATTTTTCAAAAGTTAATTTACATGGGTTTTTTTACGTTTCTATTGATGTCATCAAAGATAGAACAGTCAGACATTAGAATTGAATTAAGCTGATAGAAGATTTTTTTTAAATCATCAAACAAACAAAATCCTACATATTACTTCTGTAAATTTTGATTATAGTTATGTGTGATGGAATCAATGAATGGATCAAGTGTATATTTATTTTGGTAAGTGTGAATGGGTTTTGATTAGCACTATCTGCAGAATGATGTGTGTGATATAGCATGATGTGTAGGAAATCCTAAAGTGATACAGGTCTTGAATATATACCACTTTTTCAAAACTTACCACCATCCTGACAAACCCAGAAACATAATCCGGTCCCACCAGGGTTTTACCATGAATCATAAGGTGTCGGTGCACCTAAGGGACACAACTCTGCAAAGTGAATTTAGGCACTTTTGGAGACTACATCAACGGGTTCTCTGTTTTAAATAATTTAGGGAATAATTTCTGAATGTGATGAAACACATTTAGTTCATGCCTGATTCAAGTCCCAAACCAAAACAATTTAGCTCCGAACAGTGAGGCTGACAATGCACATACTACCAGGGAGAATAGAAGATTATCCCTAGTACTACACAGAGTAACTGCCTTCAGCCTTGTTTTTTTTTATGAACAGCAAATTAACCATAGCTTGCTGATTCAACTTAAGGATTAGTTACTGAATAAAAATTGACTGCAAAATTAGATTGTAAGCCAGTGTTTATCAAAATTATCAGAGTATCAAAATTTATTAGACTGGGATATTTACAGGCTGTCATGGAATATTGCCATGTGTAGCATTAAACAATGAAAAACAGACTTGTATCATGCTCAACGATATAGTTATGTATGATAATTGAACACACAGAAACAGCTCCTTTAAACACATTGACTGGAGGCATTCTCTGTTACCCAGTGTATTTCATTTCCTTTCTATAGTGAGAAACATCATGGATCTGCAGCTCCATTGTACAGATGACAGCAATCATTACTCCTCTCTGGACGGACATGTAGTATCAAAAATGAACAAATTTTACAGAAAAGCACTTCCTGAATTATATTCATAAATTATTATAAAAGAGCTCAGAGACTTTCTTCATTTTCAGAACTGAATCTGTGGTAATCAAGACTTGACACATATTCTAGACTTGCATTGGCTGTATTTGGTATATTTATTGCAGGGTCTGTATGACAGACTATCCTGTCTCTAGCATAGCAGACAATTTCTCTTTGTGGTGATAATAATTTGTTTGTTTGGCTCAAACTAAACATGTAGTAACGAATGAGTTCAGAGTATATATCATAACAGAATGGAGATAGAATGAACGGTGAGTAGGTCTTATGCTTAGTACATGCACATGGCAAACTGTTTTGTGCAAGTTGCACATGGTGATTTGTGCATATTTCGTGCATATTTTAAGAAGGTACACCTGTATGTGTTATGATCAATTAAGAATGTTTCATGTAATACACAAGCCAGAAAGATTGAAATAAAGAATCACATGTATCCTTTGTGTCTGTTTTGTGTTTTCGAAAGATGATGTCCGACATTAACAAATCAACAAATTGAAGAGAAAAAAATGGACTGGTGATGATGATGATGATGATGATGATGATGATGATGATGATGATGATGATGATGATGACGACGACGACGATGATGACAAAGATGATGATGATTTCAAATCCATACCAGAAAAAGACATTTGTATCTAGCATTGCAATCCAGCAATATGGCAGCGGTCTGTAAATAATCGAGTCTGGAACAGACAATCATGTGATCAACATCATGAGCATTTAATTATGCATGAGGTTCAGTGGTAGCCCAGTTACTTACTGTGTATAACTCATGCTCCCTACTGTCTTCCCCTGTAGGTATTCCAGGTCCCAAGCAACCTGTGCTTGTCGTAAGTGGTGACCCCCATGACTCACATGGTCAGACTTGGTGACTAGGTTGACAGCCTGTCATCGTACCCCACAACATGGATCCCTTTGTTCACAATATTGATCACGAGATTGTCTGGTGCAGACTTCACTCTTTACAGGCTGCGGTCATATATTGCAGGACATTAAAGAAACAAACAACATACATACTGTCTTGCTGTGGGTCATTGTTGAAAATGTTCATCAAACGCGTGATGGCACAAACCTAGTAATATATATGGCTTGACTTACACAGGGTCTTGTGGGCCATGGTCTGTGTCCCGTGGTTTTTACCAAGGCAGTAAAGATTTTCATCCAAAAACCAAAACACAGTCTATGTGAGAGAAACCCTTTCTTTCCTTAAAATTTTCCAACCCTGATTTTGTATTTTAAAAAACTAACCCTTATCTTCCCACAGCCCCAGTGTTAAGAACACCCAATCACAAGATCATGTACATAAACTCTATGATATAATCCCTATCTTCCCACATTGAATATGTTGAGAACACCCCATCACAAGATCATGTATAGTCTGTTTGCAATGAAAACGTACCGATGAATTTCACTTTAAACAAAAAAGTAAATCAAATAAAATGAAATTAAGATTGCGAATCCTCTTAATTTTACCTTGCCAATTGAACATTTAAATCTCAGAATTTTATTCAACATAGAATAAAAGTTGTTTAACAAACGATCATAGTTTCAATTCGCTATTATTGGTTTGTATTACAAGGGGGTAAGCACAGTAGTTGGAACAGTGAAACAAATGTATGTGTGGTATGTAATGAGTGTTATCTTCGACCAAACCTACATGTTCTCGGTATTTCATTTAATGTGCATACCCCCTTGATATGAGGATTCACAATTTTAATTTCACTTTATTCGATTTACTTTTTTGTTTAAAGTGAAATTCATCGTTTTCACTGCAAACAGACTATACACATACTCTATGATATAATCCCTATCTTCCCACATTGAATATGTTGAAAACACCCAATCACAAGATCTATGCTATAACTGTTATCTTCCCACATCGAACTGGTTGTGTAACACTTGTTTTGTTGTTTTAAATAATCTAGATTGGTTTTGATATTACAACATATATCCATTCAACAGTCATGATACAGGACTGCTCTGACTGATAACATGTCAGAGAGAGAATTGCATTAGACCCATAATCATTACATAATTACTCCCCTGTGGTTAAATGGGTCAGATTAGTCTAATGTACTTGTAGTGTTGTATTTCAAATTACTTTTGACCACCTGTGAAGACCAAACTAATGGAAATAGGAAATACTTATGCATTTATTCCATTGTTAATGAGACTGAATGGAACAATTATTGTTTGTTGACTGAAGTTATCAAAGCACCCTTTCTTTGTCTACCACACACTTTTTATGTATATCTGTGCAGCAATAAATGATCGCCCAACTGAAGTTAAAAACTTGTTATAGACATCAGGATGTTGAACTGATCCCCACTACTTACATATTAAACAATTTAGGGAAATATACATGAAGGAAGTCTTAGTCTTGGTAAAGAATAAATACATTTTCTAAAGGCAGTCTGAAGCTTTCAAACATATTTACTCGAGGTCTGCAAGTAACATGAATTCAGCAACTGTTACCTCCCTTTGCAATTAACAGTTTCCGGGTCAAATCGAAAGCAAGATGGCAGCGGAAGGGGGCACACGTGAAGGGAACTCGGGTTTTACCCGACGTCATTTCGAATACGTTCACTCTACGAGACGACCCGATCGAAAAACGATGACAGGAAAGAAACCCATACCAGAACCAACACATGTTGGTCACTTCGCGGTAATGCTTGTCATGAAAATTTGCCGAGCCGTGCTGCTGATAGACACGTCAGTGAAGATTGGTGTTTATCTCATCGGGGTAATGGTCGGATCTGTCCTGTGCGATTTGTTTGCATTCCCCAGATCATTCTTTTCTAACAGAAGAAACTTCTTCAATATCTTTTTCGTCAAGATGGGATGGGGATGGACCTTCTCGCTTCTTCTCGTATTCATTTTCCTGACGAGTTCTGTGTACTGTTGTGGACGATGGAATGAAGTCAAACGACACATTATGCGGCTTGGTGTTGGAACCTTCTGGTGGTACCTCTGCACGAAATCTTTTGAGGTGATCGACAGCACTGTCGGCCAATGTACCAAGCCTGAAATAAACAGTAAAATCGAGTGTCTTCGATCAGGAAGAGAATGGATTGGATTAGATATATCTGGACATGTTTTTCTTTTGATACACTGTTTGTTGACTATATCTGAAGAAGTTAAGGTGTTCAAGAACTGGAGGAAGATCGGAGAATTGCTATATGATGACGAACTGAAGGATAAAAGGAAAGTAACAGATGAAGATATATCAAGAGGAAGATTTTCACTAAAATCTCACACTCCAATTATTAAAGCAGTTATTGCTGGTCTCGCACTTATTGTTATATTGTGGGAATTTATGTTGTTAGTGAGTGTTATTTATAGATTCCACACACTTCCTCAGAAGATTGTTGCAGCATTCATCGCTGTTTTATGTTGGTTTGTAAGCTACAGAATATTGTTTAGGAGTAAAATTCCTTGGCTGCCACCTCAACCAGGAGATTCGTCCCTGAGTTACATGAAACTTGTTTAATGTGAAACAGGAGTCATGGTATCCAGAAAAAATTACATATACATTATTCCATATTTATACTATCAACACTTACCATTCTTACAACATGTTAAAATGTCTTTTTCTACATCAATGCAAAATGGTGTGAGATTCGTTCATCTTAGCCAATACCAGTTGTGTGCATGATTTTTTGCTACACGAAGTAATTATGTTTATTTTATAGAAGTGAGTGATGTTTAAACACAGATATTACACACATGATATTATTTTGGGGACTTCCATCAATTTCCTCAGATTGCCAATATTATTTCCTCAGGCACCATTTTGCAAGTTGCTTTGTCATCTTGACCAAACAAATCCTTACCTACAATGCTAGAAGTTGTGTTCCAGGAAGATTATGTTTTCGATTCACATATTGTGCACACACCTTTAGAAGTTTATGTTGCTTATGTATTATAGTAGTGCAACATACCTGAACATGATGAAATACAGGGAAATATTACACCATGTTTTCACCATGTTCATATTGTGTGATGTTTATTTATATATTAATTTATATATGCTTTATATAGGTTTCATTGATTGTAGATGTATCATGATAATTGAGGGGCGTCTTTCATTTATTTACAATGTTTACATCAATAATATGATGGTAATTATTATTATCATATCATTAACAAAGATGTAAATTAGCGAAGCCTTTTCACTCTTAATCATTGCAACTCTCAAGTGTTTTTCTAGTAGAGGCAATGTGAGCATTTTGGTGTTAAGGAGTTTAAACATGTTGAACAATGTGAGCCATGCAGGTGTAGATATTCACTACCAATCTCTGTTTACTTTGGATACTAGTTTAAACATTGTAGCCTCCCACTCAGTTAATGAGGGTGTGTCAAGCTGGACTGGTGACTCATGTACTGATGTACTCATCACTGAACATCAGGCTGACACAGTTAGGTTTATATAGCATGATTGTACATGTTGTATGGTACATACAAACATGGCAAAAGAGTGCATTTGATTGCCTATGCCACTCAACATTCATTCAACATCTCATGTGTTCATTGTGTGTGGTATCAGTACATTTGGGATTTTCTTATTTATTGTTGGCAATGGTCTTGGTAATAACTGAATGTTAAAGCAAAAAGATTTTCCTATTTAAGCCCATTCAAAATAGTAGAGGTAGTTTGGTTTTAGATTTTGCTTAACACTTTTTCTTTTTGTTTTGAAAAATAGTAACTGTCTTCATCTGCTTAATTGAGATAATGACTTGTTTATGTTGAGCTGAAAATTATTTATGCCAGAGGAATATAAATTGGAAAATTCTCGATTGATAAATGCTGCGGTTAACAGAAGAAAAACGAGAAAAGGTTTATGTTTGTTAAAACTGGTCAGAAAAGCTGAAACGTTACACATTTTGTTGGGTGCCCATGGTCTCAAGTTTGCAACTTTGGTTGATGAAGATCAGTTGGACAGTTTTATGTTGTGTAGTTGAGTAGTAGTTTCCTGTTTTAAATGTTCTCGGAATAGTTGTAAAAAATTATAATGTGATATATTGCTAATTATTGTACTATTAATGAACAGATTTTATGTTACTATTATTTAAATCATAAATGTATGAATCATCCTAGTCATTTTAACTCTTGATGTGAATGGAATGAAGTAATGTGAATGCAGATGGATGGTCAACCTGATGCTGAAACTTGCCTGTGTTTGCTGTTTGATAATTCCTTGCATCATTATTATCTTATATATTTCATATTGTATTAAGTTGTTAATACTTGTAATGTCATGGAATAATTCTGTCAGTACATAAACTTGGAGTAAATGGACAGATTATCAGATAATGGAATGTAAATGGACAGATTATCAGATAATGGAATATGAGTGTGATATAAAATGATAATGAGTTAGTATAATAATATATCACACAATGTAGTTGTTAACATAGTCTGTGATACAGACCCTGAAGCAGACATATCCAAGAAAGCCCATGCAAGTCTAGAAAATGGGCCCAGTCTGGATTTCCAGTTTCTGAACATGAAGCAAGTCTCAGGGCTCCTTTTCATTATATATTTTTTTTTTTTTTTACTTTTTTTTTCTTTCTATAAAATATGTTGATTTCAGAGACAAGGTGTTAGTCTAGTGTTAACATTACCATGACTTCTGTGTTCATCCCCCTTATATTGCCGCTGGAATGTTGCTGAGTGCGGCGTGAAACTAAACTCACTCACTCACTTATGTTGTCGACTCTCCAACAAGCATCCCTCTCAGAAGTCTGGGTAGGGTAAGGAGGGAGATTCATGCACTTCATGCAGTTTGGTTAAGTACTGGTATAAAGTTTGCCTCTCACATTCTAACAGGATTGTTTTGTTCGAATCAGACATGGTCCAGTCAAGTGTAATGTCTATTTTAGTTTTAAACACATGATAACCAACATGGTCAAAGCAATGTATAACATTAGCAAAAAGTTTATTTGAATGTAATATGTAACTGGTAGTAGGCTTTGAGCCAAAGAAACTACAGAGGTACAATGATGGCATTTAGATTTGCTTCCGGTGTCTGACTGTTTTTTGGTACAAAACCAGAAATGTGGTGCTTTCGTGTGGATTGGTTATTTGTTTTTCATGTGTCAATGTCTGAGCACAATCACTATTTGTTTTTTTCAAGGCATTTCGTGCTATAAATGACAGAATACCTGGATGCAGATTACATAGTTTATACTTTTTAAAGAAAATGTTCTGTGCAATGAACTTTGTCATGTTTTACTAAAACAGTGTCCCCAAAAATAGAAACACATTCAGATTACGTGTTCTGCAATCACATGACGTATCTTACATGTCTGTAGATTTTCAAAATAGAATCGTTATCTCGTGTACTTCTTACTGCTGTAAGCTGTGTAATATGTACATTACTTAAAAGTTAAAAGAACACCTGAAGTTTTTGTAGGACCGAAGTCTGTCAATCATTTCCGTGACCGATTTACTGCTGTCTTATGAAAAAATCGGGTGTTTGTTGACTCCTTAACCTTGTTCCTGTAGTATATATGTATGTATCCAGGGTTTACCGTGGCTCACAAACATGGGAGTCCCTGAGACTCACAATTATTAGTTCTAAGGGTCCTTACAGACAACATGAGATTCCTGTGAAGGAATGGTGTAGAGTACTGTACATTTTGATGATTTCTTTAGAGCCTGGAATGAATCCTTGATCATGTGGACTGATGGGTGAAATGATGCACGTAACTGCTCTGAAATAAACAACCAAACACTTAGCAAAGTCATGGATGTGTTGTGAATACAGTGAATAATATTTTGCGTCTCGCTAGATGCAGTGAATTCTTTTTGTGTCCATTCTCTACATTTGTACGTACTGGATGCATATTTGTGTGTCGCGTAAAACCCTCTGTATATGTAACATCACTGGACTTTCAAGAAAAGATGCTGAGACTTGCCTGACTCTTTCAATTTGAAACAGTTGTCTGGGGACACTGCTGAAGTAGGTGGGCTGTTTTCATTGGTTTGCTTTAGAACAGTGAAGTTTCATTTATGTGGGTTTACCGTTCGATTTTACCAGGTCCTGTTAAACATGTTTCATGATGATTGAAACTGATTTTGTGAAACTAGTGGGTTACTTTTAACAAGGTTGCTTCAGTTGTTTGGTGTTCCTTCAGCTACTTCCCTTTACAAAGTTCCACGTGCAATGATTGATTTAATCCCTTTGAAATAAAACCAAAGTTGTGACATGTTGTTTTTTTAGTTCTTAATGCCTCCGTGAAGATCCGGATCGTATCCCAATTGCATAGATCGATGCTCATGATGTTGATCACTGGTTTTTCTGGTCCTGACTCGATTATTTACAGTCCGCCTCCATATAGCTGGAATATTGCTGCGTGCGGCGTAAAACTAAACTCACTAGTTCTTAATGCCATGATCACTGTGGTGCCATCTGCTGGGTCAGCAAATGAAGTTTTTGATTCACTAAATTCTGAGTCTTGATTCACTAAATTCTGAGTCTCCAAAATGAATGGTCCACCTAACTAACTTTTCCCACCCCTTTCCCCAAAACCATTGGGGTAGAGGTGGTCAGTTTAAAGTATTGCAATTCGAACACTCTGCATGGCAGATACCTATGATGCAGTTTCCAATCCTTTTTTTAACCCTGGTCAGAAGTTTTTGTTTGTTAGCACCACCATAGGTAACCATGGTAACATGTATGTAAGATGCTGTGTGGAAGAAATGTGTTTGTGTGTACAGTGTATGTAAGCTAGAAGACTGCATCATTTGAATCCTTTGTTGGAGTGGTCAAGGGGTGAAGAGCTGTGCGACCAACAGCATGGGGTGGTCAGGTTTGCTGACTTGTTTCAAGCGTGTCATTGTATCCTAATTGCAAACGCTGATGCTCATGATGTCAATCACTGGATTGTCCAATATTATTTCCTGTTACACTGGGATTTTACATACAAAGCCCATCATGCGCAAACCATTCCCTATTTCACACTATAAGCTTTCAAATAAGAAAAAACCCTTTGTTACTGGTCACATGGTATGTAGGATGAGGTGGTTACAGATAGTTCAAGTAAGTAACAAGTAAATCCATTTCAAATATTTTTATTTAGGCAGCTTTAGATTCACTTACATGTGAGCTGACATTGACATTTGCTGTGGATGTTCTCTGCCTAAATCTTTGAGGTCAAGGGCAGGTACAGGTCACAATTACAGCTTTTCTGAGCCAACAACAAAGGAAATGTGGCAAAGATGATTGTCAGACTGCATGAAACTTGTAAGCAAGGATCAAACCCCAAATGGCTCACCACAGAGTCCCATTCTGTCCAGAGAACTTCATCTCAAGTTTTCCTGATCTTCAAAATGGTAACCATGGTAAAATAGTCAGTTTTACAAATGGTTTCAGTGTACAAATCTACAACATGGACAAGACACGGTTGTGTAAAGTTTATACCAGGTGCAGTTTTAACTATGCCATTGACTCAGACTGAGATTTGCTAGTTAACGCTAAGACAACAGTTTACATCAGTTGCAGTGATTCCACACCAACACTATCAGGTTTCAGTCACAGACAGATCTACCTTTCTAATGCCACATGTATATCGGCCAGCATGTGGAGAGAATTACAATCTGACAACATGGAATAATTTCAACACATGGCACAAGATGCCACTTAACATGGTGTGCATCAACATAAAATTGGATGTTACAGTTTCCTGCAAAAATGAATGAGAGTGGCAAACATATTTTACAATGATACTATAGCATCACATAGCAACATTATTTCCTGACTGAATCACTGGAATGTCACTGCACTTAGAAATAGGTGCATGAATATGTTCATGTAACTATTTGTTTTAACATACACTAAAATATTTAGAAATTATCAAGTTTTCTTATACACATTTTATCTACATGTGGTTAAAATGATATGTAAAGTTAAATACTATTAATTATACTTTTATCCAAAAATTGTAAATAGTGATATATTATTAGCCTCTATTGTGAAAAGATTTCTGTTGTGTGGAAGTTAATAAATACATTTACTTCCATTTTTCAGTTGGAAGGTTAGATTATATTGTCTTGATTTTATGAATGCCAACCTTAAAAAAATCCCATTACTCTGAATACAAAACGGTATCCTAAAGGCTTAAGAAAACTGATCAAAACCTATGTGCCACAACACATTGACTAGACTGATGGGACAACACACTTCAAATATAGTTACATGTATTACCATAACTCTACAGTATAAAAGTTATACAGTCAATGATAAAATAATGGGTTGCAGGTTTGTGTAGACAGAATAAAATAGCAATATGGTAAATCATTATGTGGAGAAAAACTGCAAATGGAATACTGATGATGGTAGCAGCAGCTGCATCAGTCAATAAAATTTTACGAGATCTCGTGATCAAATTGCTGGATCATTAACCGATGACAGATGGTATATTGCGAGACAATGTCAATTGCAAAGACAATTGTGTGATCATGATGGCAGAATTGATTATCAATGTAAGTAGGACATCACAGGATATAAATAGACCAACATAAAAAATTCAGTGGACAGAACACAGTAAACCTTTACACAAATAAACAGGGTTTACAGTCATGACCAGATCAACAATGGTGGACATTATCAGAGCAAGTGTGTTGGTATGGTTAGACAAAAGATGTTTGGATATACATACACATGATATGAAAAACCAGTGGTTATGAATATACAAAAAACAACAACAACAACAGTGCCATCTCTCCATATCTCACATTATGATGGATGGAGGATGAGGACTGTTTTTATGGATACACAACTTCTTTATTCTATATAGGCGACGTTTTGACATGGATTCTAATGTCGTTGTCAATGTCGAAACGTCGCCTATACAGAATAAAGAAGTTGTATATCCATAAAAACAGTCTTCATCCTTCATCTACCCAACTTCTAGAATGCCAAACAAAGAAATTATTATGGATGACAATGGACACTGCAATATATGCTCGCATTGCTTTATAGGCCAGGTGATTGAAAGATTCACAACTGAATGTCACAATTTACTACGGTACAGATCAACATCATATAAAACAAAACAAAACAATTGTCCAGCTTTTGTGATCTAGACGATACAGCATCTGAAGGTTAGGGGTTTGGATTTCTGGTTGCGTCGTACTGAAAAATGTTTGAACGTGTTTCATACAGGTTGTTTCCCTTCCTGGTGCTTGGCATAGTTGGGAAAAGAAGGACTCGTCAGCTATGGCCCAGATAGCATTCAGACGTTGGCCTAACGTTGACAATGGTTTTGCCAACATTGCCAGTGTTGGGCCAACGTCTGAATGCTATCTTGGGAGGCAGTGTAATGTGTAATGGGATATCTATGTTACTACTTGGTATGGTATCACATTTTAAATCATAACCTTTTTGTTTCACACAATGTTTAGACAGATCTATAATCATGATAACAGTTGTACAAAACATAATTTTATCAGATCTCGTGGAGTGTTGTTGAAGTGGAATGCTGGAGGAATCTGTAGAAGGGAGGGGAGTTAGTGAGTGAACTGGGTTTAATGCTGTTTGCAGCAGCATTTTGGTGACCTCTTAGTCTTAAACTGAAGCCCTTCACTTTGAACACTGATGAACCCAGGAGCAAGGGCATAGTACTGATAAATCAAGGATAACTATTTTTTGCCAAACCTTCAATTCGAATGCATAACCAGCAGATCCTTGCACTGTGAGGAACTATGGTATCTATTTGGTTAGGATTTGGAAAATGTATATTAAAATTATCACACCTTTACGACACCACTATAGAAAATAATATCATCTGAAATTTATCCTATTTCTGATGTAAAATATTTCTCAGTTTTCAACAACATGAAAATATTTCATCATTTTTATCTTTGGGTAGGTGAACCTACCTTCTTCAGACTGCTTTTTTGGTCCTCAAAATTCGGCTTATCTATGGTAATATACAGTACATGTTTGTATGAATACACAATGCTATTTAGAAAGTGGTCAAATGTAAGATGTCATGTTTTGGATTAAACTGTCTCAGTAAAGTGGAAGTTGCAGTGGCTGAGTGGGTTAGATGGATGACTTTTTGTGCTGGCAACTTGTGCCTGACTCTGAAAGTGTGGGTTCCAATCCTGGATGGGACTCAATCCCAAAAGTACTGGAATCTGTAATTAATCCCAAATATGATGAATGTTAGTGATATATACATGTAAATTTAGGTAAAATAAATTGCTTTTTGTAACCAACATCAACACACGTGGAATGACGGAAACAAATCTAGCCATGTGACTTAATCTAGGTCATGTGACAGAAACTGGTAGTTCTGGCTGCCAAGTTTACCCCGTGTAAAAAAAACGTTTTGAGATCAACAAAGAACACAAAATGGCTACATAAACTAAACGACATCTTACCTAACACTAGAATCAAACTGCCCACAGCTTGTCATGCTAGGTGAGGAATATACTTCAACTCATTACAGTAAGGGAATTATGAGAGTTTTTCTCTTTTGTCGCCACTTACGACAAGTATAGGTTGCTGAAGACAAATTCTAATCTGGATCGTTAAGGGTCATGACACAGGTAATCAACATGGTCAAATATCCTTATCACCCAATCCATTAAGTTGCCTCCTAGGGCCAGTATAAGCCCCGTGGGAACCACATTTAACCAGACTCCCCACTGTGACACCCTCAGAATCCTATCAAACTGTGCATCATATGTGGACATCAAATGTATCAGTTTGGCGCTACAGATTACAAACACCAATGTCAATAAAACATTGGAAATAGGGTAACAAAATAACAGCATTCAACCCAAACCACAAATCATTTTGCAAGAAGGACAACACCCCCCAAAAAACAAAATTATGCTTTACATTGATACAAAGTCCCTGCAATATCTGTGAACACTTGATACAAAACATGGTCATGAAGGTTCCAAAACACACTCATGGGTTGCTCCGACTCTCAGTTGGTGTACTATTGCAATGTATGGTACCCTTTACAGAAAAACAATAATCAGATTGCACCAAGACCATCTCTATATGTACCCTGGTTTAGGAAATCATCTTGTGATACACTTTGGAATTGATTTTTGGTTTTAGTTCATTGTTTAATGCATTCAGCAATATTTCAGCTACATGACGACAGTCTGTAAATAATTGAGTCAGCACTAGACAATCCAGTGATTGACATCCTCAGCATCGATCTATGCACCTGGGATACAATGACACGATCCCGTCTTAGTCACCTCATGTGGTAAGCATGGGTTGCTGAAGGACAATATTAACCTGCATCTCCATGGGTCTTTGGAAATGAACTGAGGGTAGGTAGAAATAGAATTTCACCTTTGATGTAATGATAATTAAATACAAATGTTTTTCTAAATATGATGTATATCAAAAACTTGGCCCTGTCAGTATTTTCAGTTTATAGAACGTGGTTCTGTATCTGTATGTGAGTGAGTCAGTGACTTTAGTTTTACGCAGCACTCAGCAATATTCCAGCTATATGGCGGCGGTCTGTAAATAATCAAGTCTGGACCAGACAGTCCAGTGATCAACAGCATGAGCATCGATCTGCGCAATTGGGAACCGATGACATGTGTCAACCAAGTCAGCGAGCCTGACTACCAGATCTCGTTAGTGTATCTGAATGTAGTGCAGTTGTCTCATATTAGATTTACTAAAGTACCTCAGTTAATGTTTAGGGAGAAGCTCATCTGGATACACCTGTGAAGATCCGGGTCAGAATTGGATCTTCAGTAAGGGGTGACTAACGGGATCGGGTGGTCAGGCTCACAAACTTGGTTGACACACGTCATCATATCCCCATTGTTTAGATTGATGCTCATGCTGTTGATCACTGGATTGTCTGGTCCACACTCGATTATTTACATACAGCTGGAATATAGCTGAGTGTGGCGTAAAACTGAACTCACTCACTCAGTCTTTTGGATACACTATGACCATCCTGAGATTTCCAAAACTGGGGTACACATACATATGGCCTAGATACATAACAATATGTCAACATCAATCTGGATACATTTCAAATGTAAACTAATTTAAAGATGTATCAACAACACTTACCCCTGTACACAAGATTTCCACACTATCTACAATAACAGGAATAAGATTCAAGTACAGCTGGTGGGTACACAAAACAATATTTACAATGTTACTTCATCACTGACAATAACCTGAAAACAATGCATGGATAGAGAGATCATATACATTGACACCAAATTGCTTGGAAAATTTCAAAATATGACAGGTTTACCCAAATACAAATGAAAATAAAATATGTAAGTAGAAAATGATACTCTGCCATAAACATTCTTGGTCTTAGGTATCACAAATATACTCATGGACACAAATAAGGGCATCGATACTCCAGGGTATATGTTCTGAGCCTCCACTATACTGGAACACATGAATAAGAACACATGAAAGTACAAGTGTTCCTTTATTTATTTCCAGAATTTCACCCACAGTGCAATACATACCTTGTGAAGAAACCTGAGAAAAGAATAAAGGAACACTAGTACTTTCATGTGTTCCCTTGAGTTCCCTCTATGAGTATATGTTTCATAGGAATAGGACAATACATGTCAAATAATGAAAAATACATGGTTCCCATATAATACCACATAATGGAAACTCGTGAGTTTAAGCTGTTATTAAAATTACGCTACATCAAGTGCACTTCATAGTCATTGTATATATAGCATCTGTGTCTTCAGCCATGCCTTATTATGCAGTGTCCTACAGTATACGGCTCCTATCTCCTCACAGTGTCCTCTACTTGTATTTGTGTATGAGGAAGGCAGCCAGGCCAGCTGCCAACCCAACTGTAGCCAGGCCACCAATGACTGGGAGCACAACCTTGGCTTTCTCCTGGATGATGTATTTGGCCAGGAACTTCCCTGCCCCAAGGACAACTTCTCGCGTGCTTGATCGTTGTTGTGTCCTGCCCCAGTAAGCCCACAGGTTGGGTCGTTTCTCCTTGGGGAAGTAGCGGTCTCCCAGCCCTACAAAGATGAGTCTGCCCAGAAGGCAGGTGAGGGTGACATCGGCAGCAGTATAGTTGGGCCCACATAGCCACGTCTCATCAGATTGTTCTGAAACAGAGGATGGTCTGTATTATACCAACACTTACCGAGAAGCCATTACTATACCAACATTTATCTACAAGCAGTTTCATCAGACTGTTCTGAAATAAAAGATAGTCTGTACTAAACCAACATTCATCTACAAGCCTTTTCTACACCACCATTTATCTTCAAGCCATTGATATACCAACATTTATCTTCAACCCATTAATCTACCAACATTTATCTTCAAGCCATTAATATACCAACATTTATCTTCAAGCCATTAATACACCAACATTTATCTTCAAGCCAGCATGACCCTAACGACAAAACTGTATATTCCTAAACTGTCAGCAATGATTAGTCTACAAATATCACCATGTATTCATGCATGTATTCCTTAACAAGGGGAGATTACTCTGTATCCATGATTTGATGACCATAAACAATTTAGCTGGAAACAGTTTTGTTCAGATAAATAGAGCAGCACAATACTTACAAACAAAACCATCATAATGACTCGAGAATTTATATTAATTTTATTCACTACTTAAAATACCAGTGAACATGTCTTGAAAAGACTTACAAAAATTGTAATTCAGTTTCAACCAACCTATTGACCGATCAGTGATCACATCAAGGCCAACACTATCAGTGAGATGAAAGTGACATATGTTAACAATCAGACTCAAATTTTCTATAATTTCTAGACATTTCCTTTTATCTGTCCTATCACAAAACATGAGACCTCTTCTATCTGGCTATGCACAACTGCAAGTTGTCTCGAGTGTCCGGTTTACATGACTGAGTTGGGGATAATACTCAAAGCTCTTTCCCCTAAACTGCAACCATCTAAGAATTATGCATGCAGCCATTTTTGCCGTCTAATTTAATTCTCCAAAGAGCAACGTGGTAGTGACTCACCAATCTTCATCTTCTTCAGCTGTTCCTCCAACACATCGCAAGTCTTTTCCAAATTGTCAAGTGTTTCCTCCACGCGGGACTTGTCTGTCAGGAAGTTGAGGCGGTCCGACATCATCTGACTCTTTGTCAGATAAGCATCTCGCAGGTCTAGGTGGCGCTCTGCTAGCTTGGCTGTGTCTACAGCCCCTTTCAGCATCTTTGCTTCCAGATCTACAATTATCAAACTCAATTGACAAAAACGCTGTGCATATTTCATTATTTGCAAAATCATCATGATCATTATTGTATCACCTGGTTCACATGAAAGAACCCGTGAAGGTTAGAATGAACCTTCAGTAACCCATGCTTGTCGTAAGACTTACTAAGAGGCGACTAACGGGATCGGGTGGTCAGGCTCGCAGGCTTGGTTGACACGTCATTGGTTCCCAATTGCGCAGGTTGATGTTCATGCTGTTGATCACTGGATTGTCTGGTCCAGACTCGATTATTTACAGACCGCCGCCATATAGCTGGAATATTGCTGAGTGTGGCTTAAAACTAAACTCACTCACTCACATGAAAGGAATATTCCCAAGATATTACCCTACAATACTTAAGATCAAGAGGACATCAAAAGGTATGGGCACGCTCATTTTCACAAGGGCATCTTAAATTATGTGTCTGTGCCCTATGGGACCCTTACAATAAATGGCATTTCTTAAGCCTGAACTCAACTCGACTCCTACCTTTTCTTGATTGTCTAAACGGGGGAGGAATCTGGCCTCCTGAAGGTGACAGCTCATTGTTGAAGAAAATGCCATATGTTATACGGTCTATCGGAATTTTATCCAACAGTTTGCGAAATTTCTCCACCTGTCTTCCCATCTCTGATTCTGTACCAGGAACCAGTCGAACATCTGTGGATAAAGATATATCTTGATAATGACTTGATCAATTTCAACACAATAGATATCTGTGACCTTTCATGAACTACTGTTCAATATTTCTTATTCACTCCTTCATATCTTGGCAAAAGTGAACATGGATTTGTCTAGACTTGCTCAGGGGATGAAATTTGGCCCCAAGTACAAGAGTACAGTATATCATTACCTATAAAGTGACCCCACGTGTAAGTTGGCCCTCTTGTACAAACCTTAAAAATCAATGCTAATTTATATACCCATCTATAAGGTGACCCTGTGAAGCACATCAGAGCATACACAATGCCTAATTTGTAATAAGAATGTTTTTGTTTTCCGCTCTTTTCATAGGATGCTTGCTTGAATGGTATATATGGTCTTATACGCTGCAATTATATGGTAAGTAAAACTTCTCTGACTGAAGAAACAGTTGCCCAGTTCATGTTAATACAATTGCCACAAGACAGTGTGTAGAGAGTTGAACTCCAAAGAAATAAGCAGAGACTTAGGACTTATCACATTAATCTGTACACATTTTCTGTTTGAACACTGTGACAGTTTAATCTTTATTTTCATTACATCCTGCTTTATGTAAATTTAATGACTGAATGTGAACCCAAATTGCAGAGTATGTGGAGTGAAAGATATCCTCATAAATATCAGCTCAGTGAACATTCCTAGACTATATTCACTGTGTTTTCTTAGATGTTTAAAATATATAGTTTTATTCAATTTGTTCTAGGTTTTCTCTTTTTCACCCAATCGTTTTTGAAAGCATGAACACAAATAAATTGCAACTGAAAAATATATTCTGTTTACCGCCAGGAATGGCCCGGTCCACATAGTTGATGATGTCTTCCGATTCCTTCACTATCTTGTCACCGTCCTTGAGTACAGGAACGGTGCCACCGGTGTTCATCCTCATGTACCATGCCTGGGTCTGCTCCAGGTTGAGGATATTGACCATGCGAAGCTGGAAGCGGACATTCTTCTCTTTCAGTGCAATCAGCACCTGGAGGAGACACACACATTCTTAGTTTTATGGAAGATATTGTGCAGGTCCAAGGAAAGAAAAGTCGAGTTTCTAAGTCTCATGGATTTCATAATGTTATGGGGTGTGCTTGGACTGCAACATGTCAACAAAGCAGCTGAATTCTATACTTCATTGACAGTATCTAATCCTGCCATTTAAAAAGGAACTTGGTACAAAAATTAACTTTTATAATTTTCTGAATTCCCATGCATATTTCATGAATCATAAAGCGAAGTTTGTGACTTCATAACCAGTGATGATTATGATTTGTAAAACTATGTTTTCACTGAGTGTACATCATCATCTACAAAAACATCACTATGGTTACCTTTATGCTTGTTGCAAATAACACTGAACTTGTATTCATAACCTGCATTATTGATTGTCATGGTATACTATCCAGCTTAACCTTTGGAGGAAAACAAGATTATTTAGGGACCGCTCATAATATATGGCTGGGGTGTGGGGTGGAGGTTGGTTTTTTTGATGATTTTTATGGTGAAGCATGTACAATGTGAATGACAACCCCTCCAAAAATTTATGTACAATATAAGTGGACAACCCCCACCCCACCCCACCCCATGTCATGTACAAAATCAATGAGCACCCCTTAGAATCATCATCACCCCCCTAACCATAAATTACAAAGGGACAATGTATCGATCATAGGATGTGGTCATTTTTTGCGATTAAGATGGGGGTTGGGGTGAGAGTAGTGGGATCAAGGTTGCATGTGCGACTGCATCATATTTGGCCCGAAAGAGTATCACCAAAGGCAGTGAAACACACTGCAGCTCATCAAAACATCGCCGTGTCGTCTGGCTACCCGCACAACGTCCAAATCTACTGTTTGGATTAACGTAAATGAAAGCCAGCAAGAGTATCACAAAAGCTAAGGACAGACACGTGATCAGTACAAGAGGCCAGGAGGTCATACAAGTCTCTTGCACCAGACGGCCGACTGCGACAAGCTTTACGGGCACTGTCAGATAAAGTGTTCCAGAGGAGACATGCATAATGTCGTGCTCAGTATCTGCTGGATATCAACCCCGATTCTTGATTATCCAAAACTCTCCTATTCATAAGAATGAGCCAAATGAACTAATTCTGCACTGCATAATCCATGAAGTAAAGCTGATACCTTCTGTGAATAGTAGGATGTCGGGAAGTAATACAGGGTGAATTTAGAGTCATTCATGTTTACTGAAACCGCGACCTCGACCTTGACCAAAGTTGAAGGTCAAGTTTAAGGTTACTTCCGTATCACGATATACACAAATCTAGCTTATGGGAAATTAATCACAAATATATCAATAGCAAATCATGCAATTTGAAAACATTACAATATACATACATATTTACGAAGTTCCTACTTGTTGATCTTGTATGTGAGTTATCAATTTTAAAAATCTTGCACGTATTATCAGATGGGGATGTAGCTCAGATGGTAGAGCGCTCGCTTAGCATGCGAGAGGTACGGGGATCGATACCCCGCATCTCCAGATATTTTTATTTTTCGCCCCAAATTTCACATATCCTGTTTCTATTCATATATATTGTGTTTGTTCGTATAAATGATGTATTCCCACATAGTCCATACAGGTTTAAACAATTCAAACTTTTGTCCTTTCCGGGAGATCATTTCTGTTATTTGATAGGTTCATAGCAACAAGTTTAGATAAGTGGCACATATATCAACGTTAAAAAAAGGTTATTCTGTGAGAAAATATTTCCCATCACGAACGCTTGTCTGGAATCACCGTCTCTCGCGTGTTTTTTTTGTGTTGATATTTTTGTCAACAGGGAAATTTTATAATTTCATACTTTGAAGTGATTGGCCGAATGTTGTTTAGACCTAACACAGTCAGCAACATTCTAGCTATATTTCAAGGCCTGAAAACAGTCAGGACCAGAAACCAGATAATCCGGTGACTGAAAGCATTGATCTGAGGCATATAGGCGTTTCGTGACTCGTGATCCGTGAAGATCCGGGTTAGAATGGGTCTTCAGCAAGGGTCTACTCCCATTTGTGAGAACTCCCAATTGTGAGACTCCCAGTTATGAGACAGTGGAGTAGGTAATTAACAAAGAAAACACACCATACTCCCCTGTCTGATAGAATGGATTAACCCTAGCTAATTACTGATTTGCGATGTAAATGAATCGTGTGGAGGTAACTAAATGAAACTTTATAAAATAAATTGATTCACATACTCAGGTGTTTTTAAAAATTAAAGATTTTGTGTAGGTAACTTCGTGATCATTTGAAAGATTAATTGATTTACCTACTCAGATTTACTCCGTCTCCGAAACTACAGCTTGTTAGACACACACAACTGTAAGTCTCTAATTATGACTACTTAGAGAACAGTTGTATTTGATGTAATCTGTATATATTTCTATGTACTTAAAAATATATTTATGCAAAAGTCAATACTTAACATCTTTTTGTTTAAAACCACCGAGGGATGTAATAACTAACATTTTTCTTCCCTCCTGACCCGTGAAGATCCGGGTTAGAATTGCATGATCTTCAGTAACCCATGCTTAGCCTAAGAGGTGACTTACGGGATCGGGTGGTCAGGCTCGCTGACTTGGTTGATACGTGTCATCGTATCCCAGTTGGGTAGATCGATGCCTATGCTGTTGATCAGTGGATTGTCTGTTCCAGACTCGATTATTTACAAACCGCCGCCACATACCCGGAATATTGCTGAGAGCGGCGTAAAACAAAACAAACACACGATGAAACCCAAGGCCTCGAACATGGGTACGGTGTTGATCACCCTTGAATCATGATTTTAAAAAAAAGTAGTATTCGAACCAACGATCTAAGGTTTCTGGCATGCTTAACTCCCCTTTGACGGCTGGATCACCTGATTATCCGCCTTGCAACAGTTTGCTGTTACTTTAACCTCCTAACACTTCACACGGAAAATCAAAACAAAATGATGACAGTTTGTTAAGTAACTTTTTTATTTTGGAGACAAACGTTATGAAACTCTTTTTCCAGAGTTGGTCTGATGTTTTCATAACATTCTGCGTTGAAAATAATGATTGATCATGAACCGATTTGGGGTTAGATTGTGATTCTTCGGTATCATCTCAAACAGACTATACGTAAAGCATCATGTGGTTTGATGCCATTTAGAGTGGTTCTAGTAATGATCCCAATATGTATAACGGTATAATATGCCCCCAGACTCACAGGGGTTCGAATCAATGTTTCTGTAAAATGAGAATATCACTCCACGATTTTGCTATAAACAGGAAAAGGTGTGAGAATGGTGTAAGTAACCTAGATACAATTTGTCCTCATTGTTATTGTGGTAGGGAAGATGAGCTTCATGTATTACTTGTTTGTAGTAAATATTCATCTCTAAGGACTAGATTTTTGCCAAACCATTCTGTCATTGCTATTCATAGTGTGATAAACTTGTTAAATAGTACAAATATGAACGTTATTAAATCTGTTGCATTATATCTTAAAAATGTTTTTAATATCAGGTCCCACACGTGACTCCAGTTGTATTATGTCGTGTTGTTGTACAATAGGCCATGTGGCCAGAGTACTGAATAAACTACTTGAATCAATGTTTGGACAATAATTTTTAAAAATAAAAATCTACATTTTTCCACCGTAGATTGTTTTTGTATGTTATGAGTAACCTATATTTCAAATTCGAGCGAAATCGGCGAAGAAATGGATTTTTTAAATACTCCCGCTACACTTACATAAAATGTAAGTGTAGCGGGAGAAATTTCCAAAAAATCCATTAAAAATTATTGTCCAAACAGTGATTCGAACCCCTGTGGCCAGACTGCTGTATTTGTTCTCAAAGGCAATGATTTATGAACAGGATGGCCACCACTGATACTGATACTGGAGTGCGTTTTGAACAGTATTCCAGTTATCTCACGGCGTGTCAAGAAGGGGGAAAGCGAGGTTCTCCTTATGCGTCAACCGCTTTTATTAACATTAGAACATGGGTACAGTGCTTACAAACAAATCAAAGGTTTCTCACATATGTAAGGGAAGCAACTCTGCAGACATTAGTCAAATACCGTTAGCATCTCTATTTTGTCAATGTGATGGCGCAAATGTCACAGATTATATCCCGTATCTGCCATCGTTATAAGGTGGGCTTATATATTAGTCGAACACCCAGTAAAATAACAAGGGAAAAGCGTTTAGATTCATGTTAATGATAGGGATTGTCATTGCCTATATTATTTGGCCTCTGAAGTTTTGTTCATATGAAACGATATTTATTAGGCATTTGTTTTCTGATTACATAATAAAGACATAATTGATTATTCTACCATGATTTCAGTAAATTTATACTGGATTGTGATTGGTTAATTAAAGTCATTCAGAGGTATATAATCACGCTATAATCTGATATTCCAACACAGTACGTATTTAAAAAAAATCTTGATAACGCTGTTATGGTTGAATGGAGATAAACATACTGTGTTGGAAAATCAATATCCGTTCGGTTGTAAATCTAATTTAGGACTATTATAATTTCGTTATATACCTCCAACACGGTATGTTTATCTCCTAAATATCGATCCAGTGTTTTTGAACTATGCGTGTTCTTGTAAAAATGTCGGGTGTTCTTGTAAAAATGTCGGGACTCCGTGGTATAGTACAGACGGATATATTCCTTATTTTAGTTACTTTGGCTTATATCATTTGTACATAATTTTGAAACAGATCCATGTGTATGCTTGGTATATACCAGGCTCCGATAATAACTGTTCTGGGCTTTGTTATTCCTTCGAAGTCTGTGTGACAATATCGTGTACATCTTTTCGAACAATAGTTTAACGCTGGTAGAGCGAGGGGGAATTCTAGCACCTTTCGCTAGTGCAGCACTTGGATGAATTCGAACCGTTCAACTTAACGACTTAAGTGGCACGGCGTGACAGAACCCAGCTAATTTTCAAAGTGGCTATAAACCAAACACACTCAGTCACTCTTACGTGGAATGTGTCGATCATATTACATCTATTTGAGTCGAAGGGTACAAAACCTATAAACATTAATGTATTGATACTAACGTATATAATTAGAAATACTAGACATTGGTGTGAGTTATGCAGCTGCTTCAAAAGGCAAAAAACCCCAACAAATCCATAAAAATATATAAATAAATTAGAAAAAACCCAAACAAACAAAAACACAACAGTAAACTGAAATGAGTTACGCCCCTTGAACCACAGCCCCTCGTGTCTTTGCGAGAAGTGAAGATGAAAAAATATTGTTTTTGAGATGATCCCCCCGACTCAAAATGCTTCACAGTACAATACATCATGATAAGGCCGGACACTTCGGTGCACCCTACCCGCCTGCTTTGCCAATCGCTACGCTATCACCGCATGCAATCGTAAACATAATCATGGATGATTGGCCTATCGAGCACCATTCATGACACCTACCAATTCTTTATTGTTAGTTCTGCAAGTCGATTGAAAACCGATTTTGACTCTCAACTAAACGATCTTGACACAAAATGGATGACTACTAGTATATGTCCGCACACAACAGGGGTGTGGTCGAAGCAAAATTAATCTGTAAGGATTCCACACATGATGCCTTCCCTCATGTAGAACGCAACGTCACAGAAGAAACGTGACGTCATAGCATTGTTCTTGACGTCACGTCACCATGACAAAGTTATAAAATATTTTGCCCTAGGGCATCGTATGAAAAATATGAACCCCGATATGTTCGCCCTCGTAGGTAATAAATCATATTTTTCATACGATGAACATGAACAAGGCTATGACGTCACGTTTCTTCTGTGACGTTGCGTTCTACATGCGTCGACGGCGGGTAGCCAGCCTGTTTTTGAAGGTATATTTGGGTTTATTTTCTTCAATTTAACGACTTCGGTAATAAACAGAATATTATATTCGTGCCCATAACAAACTATGTTTACGACACTCATGCCTAAATATCGGTATATCCCTCGCTCTCGATCGGGAAATACCAACATTTAGGCACTCGTGTCGTAAACATGGTATGACATGGGCACTCATATATTATCCTCTATGTAATGACATTCACACGGAGAAGACAATTATTATTTTAAAAATACGTTTAGGTGACATTACAGGTACATTCAAAAGATTTAAAATATGTGCCAAATGAAACTGGTAAAGAAATTGTTGTCTCTAAGGAAACTGAAAAACGTAGTATCAAAGGATGCCGATTCACCATGTCCACCAAAAAATAATAATAGATACACTCTTCAAAAAAAGAAACGCATAAGCCATTTTTAGAAGGATTCATCGTGTTAGTTTAAGAGCAATTATTCCATGTAATTTCAGTGGTGAAAAAGTGAAAAATCACACGTCTATAGACAAAGAATTCGCTAACACAACAGCAGCCTTTATTGATTCTGTTTACTTGAGACCACAAGATGGCGTCAAAGTCAGTACTTTGTTTGGCATCCATTGACAACAATTACTGCTCGGCACTGTCACTCTTGTGGAATTCTTCCCCACTCTTCCTGCAATGCGACGGCTAGTTGCGGAAGTGTGTGAGGCGTATTTTGATGTTGACGTACACGTCGATCGAGTTCATGGTATCGGGTTTAGATCTGGTGATCGGGAAGGCCATGGCAAGACATTGACGTTAGAATTGGCAAGGTAGCGGACCATAACGCGTACTGTAGGTGAAGTAGCGTTGTCTCACTGGAACAACTCCCTCTGTCGGAAGCATGTGACGTGCAAGGACGTCGTTGATGTACCGACTTGCTGTCAGATTCCCCTGAACCACCACTAAATCAGATCTCGGACTGGAAGGAATCGAACCCGGTCTTCGGCGTGACGAGCGGACGCTTTAACCACTAGGTTATCCCACCGCCCCAACAATGATACGTGCTATACTGGAAGGCTTATAATATTCAGTTCGGTCACACGCCACTGTGGTTACTGTTTGTCAGGTGTCCCCTTCGGAAACATCTAATACGAAGCATACAGCCATTTGTTACCCGTCTTCTCTCATACTGGTGGTCCATGGTTCCATGACAACATAGTGATCCCATATCATCCTCGGTGGTCCAGGACGTTATATCTACCAAATATTCTAACGATAGCAATCACTGGGGTCGGGGCGATGGGGTAGCCTAGTGGTTAAAGCTTTCGCTTGTCACGCCGAAGATCCGGGTTCGATTCCCCACACCAGTACCAAGTGTAAAGCCCATTTTTGGTGTCCCCCGCCGTGATATTGCTGGAATAAAAAGCGGTGTAAAACCAAACTCACTCACTCACTAGGGTTGGATTATAATCTGAGAAACATCTTTACCCCCACATTTGGTGTGCTCTTGTACGTAGATGGTAATAAAGAACATACAACACTGTTCAGCAATGACTTTATATATAAGCATGTAGGCATTTCGTGGCAAGAGTATAGATGTATATGAAAACAGAATAAAAGCAACAACATTTATAAACATATATAACATTAATAAGTGAGTATGAATGTTCACTTTCCAGGTATGTTATTTCGGTTGTTTCGCTGCTTGCTCCTGTGCGGATTTGAAACCAAACTCCTTCAATTGTTTCATACATCCCCGGGCTTCAGCTCTCCCCCAGTATGCCGCCACCAGGGGGCGTGTTTCTTTGAGGAAGAGAGGCAGGATACCCAGAAGGACCAGTCTGTTCATGAGTACTGTCAGTGTGATGTCAGCTGCACTGTAGTCGTTGCCACACAACCATGCGCCTGCAACAAAAGGATGAGCATTCATAAACAATGATTTCTCCCTGCCACGTGTAACCATGGTTACGAAACACGGATCAACATAACCGCGGGCACTTAGGTCAGTGCCTTCATGAAGTAGACTATTTCATTCGAGGTGTAACGTGGCGATGTTATACGTTTAAACTACCCGAAGGTAGATGTGCATTCATCTATTTCCGGTGCTGTCCTGTTTCGCCGTCAAGAGTTCATTTCAAGCACAGGTCTAGATGATGTACATCATTCCCATGTTGACACTGTTGTGTTTTGTCTGTTGTTTACGCCACACTCATCTTTTGATACACACTGGGATTGATTTTTGGTTTTAGTTTGTTGTTTAACGCCACATGCAACAATCTGGACGGGACAATCCAGTGATTGACATTATGAGCATCGTTCTACGCAATTGGGATAAATGACATGTGCCAACCAAGTCAGCGAGCCTGACCACCCGATCCCGTTAGTCGCCTATTACGATATGCATGGGTTGCTGAAGCCAGTTCTAACCCGGATCTTCACGGGTTGAGGAATCATGGCATGTGAAGAGAATTAGTATTGACTCCCCGACTGATAGACAAAGATGTCTCTAAACCACTTAACCAAACTAGGACTGCTACATACTAGTGTTGGGAATTGGTTAAAATGTCATAATTGATGATTGGTTCATTACTACCGATCAATCATCGAAAATAATTGGTTAGCATCATTTATGAAATTTGTTAATGCACATAAAAATAAGGTAAAAACCAAGTAGTTCTCTCCGGTTTTTTTTGGCAACATTTCACATCTTTAAAGGATGACTAGTATGTTAGGAACATAAATTTCTTGGAATCTTTAAGATAAATTCAATCGTGACTTGAAACGAGCTTTTATAGTGCTTACGAAATGTAACAGACAAAACCAACCACGTGAAAAATATTTTTAATGAAAACAAGTGTTCCAGAATTGGTTGTGTTCGATTATGAGAAATTGTAATCGATTGCTTGGTCGTTTAGTCACTACGACCAATCTTCGATTATTTCAATTAATCGGACCACCACTACTACATACTACTGCAAATGTCGGCATTTAAACGGGTCCCTGGCTCCATCCATTAGAAGTCTTGTTTCAACGCTACTGATCAAATTCATACAAGAAATAAATAGAGCACAAGTACCTGGGCCTGTTTTCTCAAAGAGGTGTCAGCACTATGACGTCGTCGTAAGTCTATGTACAGCGTTTGCTTTGTGTAAGTGGACCTTGTTTTGTTTGTTTGTTGTTTAACAAAGCACTTAGCAATATTGAGTGAACCCTGAAATCAACTGTCCTATTCTACGTAAAATATCATATTTTGAAAACTTTGAGTGTCTTAAACTGTTACCATGGTAATACCTGTGTTTTGGTTGATGCACCTAGGGTCAGAGGTTAATAAAACCGACGACGACTGTGATCGAGGTGTTAGGTGACGACGTTTAGTAACGTTCATGAGACACTGACTACATCAACGCCACAGCTAAAACGCCGATTGCATCAGTTGGCGCAACTTCGGATTTGAGTTGGATGCAACATACAGATTGCCTCGTTATGCGTGTAGTCAGTGATAAAGGGTTCGGAGAAGTAAACCTGCAACTGCTGATAAACTAGAAATATTTGCATTTCACAAAATGTTGAGAATACCACGATGTCATAGTGTTGACCCTGAAAGTCAGCACTTAATATAGATCGTACAGCGTGTCACTCGCCAAGCTTAAACTTGTATTCAAGACGCGTAAATGTGTTCATAACCTTGAATGTGACCTGCACCTATATAGGCTACGACACATATGTTCCTGGAAAAAAAGCCAAATACCAAAGAGCATGATATCGGTATATGGTTTCGATGGCAATAGACGATAACGTCACAAATAAAAAGAGCCTAACAAATAACCTCTGTTAAAGTAACAGTTATAGGAATAAGCATGCAGACCTGATGTATAAGAATGTGGTGCGCAAATATGACTCATCGAAAATATGATTTGCAGCATGCTGGATGAGCACTGCCTCACGTACATAGGATAACCATGGACACAGAGCTATAGCATCACATATGTCACCCCGAGGAATATTCAGCAGCCATTGTTGCCACCAAATACACATAATAATTCGCTCTTACGACAAACATCGAGCACACGTATCTATTCTGGCTGAAACCTGAAAGCAGTTGAAAAAACGGACAAAACCTTTTCAGCAATCATCAGAAATCTCTGCCGGGTCAGCTGTATGATTCTAACTTTACGTTTTGCATTTGTTTGTATAAAATAGTGATGATACCAGGTTTCGACGGAATAAGGCACCGGTCACAAACACATGCAAAGGCGAGTTAATTGTTCATCTAATATTTTGGTGACTATCTCCTTGTTTATATCACAAAACACAAGAAGATATATGAAACAATTCAACAATGCCATGACCCTAATCTGATCAGGCTGCTTGGACATCGTCAACAAATATAGAGCAACTAGCAACTAAAAGTGGATGCCGGTTGGTAAAACTATCAGTGAGTGAGCTAGTTTGGTTTTACGCCACTTTTAGCAGTATTCCATCAATAACACGACGGGGGACACCAGAAATGGGCTTCACACATTGTGTGGGAAATCGAACCCGGTCCTTCGGCGTGACAAGCGAACGCTTTAACCACTAGGCTACCCCACCACCCCCTGTAAAAACTATCAGGATATCTCCACAACTGACCTCCTCCCGACTCCTTCAGCTTCTGTTCAACCTTGTCAAACACTGCCTGTAGTTCGTCAATCTTCGCCGCCACCTTCTCAGTGTCGGTAATCAAGTCCTTCCTTTTTTCCATGCCTTTCAATTTCCGTTCAATGTTATCTTTCACATCCGGCATCTTTTCAGCGAGCGCCATCAAGGCCTTTGCAGCTTCAGCGCTTCGTTCTCTCATATCTAAACCAACCCAAACACTAAGTGAGAAACATCCGATTTATAGTTATAGCATGACCTCATTCAACATGACATTGACGGTTATCAAGTGTCTCCTACGATAAATTGCGATATAAGCTAATACAGTGGAAGCTGTCAAACCCGGCAGCTGTACAATCCGGCAAGCTGTCAACACCGGCATAAAATCTCAGTCCCGTCCGTGGCTAGTACATGTATCATAATTTAAAAGCTCTGCAATCCGGCAGCTGTCTCGGCATGAAATGAGCCGCCCGAATATGTGTTTATACAGTAATCAGCGCTGTCTAATCCGGCGTTTGGTGAGGAGTTGGTTGGATATGTATTGTCACCAATTAATCCTGCGTTAAAACTACATGCTTGCCGACAAAGATAATTTAATCTTAGTTCAATATGGGCATACTTGTACATGTAATTAGTGAGTTGAGAGAGAAATTGAGAGAACCACGTTATACAACAATGTATATGAGAGTGATAAAACTGGTTCAGTTCTAGTCGTAGGTAACCGTGTCATCTCTACAATCCGGTACGCTGTCTAAACCGGATTGTTTTTTAGTACGGATGTATGCCGGTTTACACAGCTTCCACTGTTATGCTTTTCCATCTTTAAGTTAGCTAAGATTTTCTAATGTCAAGAGAATTATTTGATTGGATGACTTTTAGCGACGAAGCAATGATAGGAGTAGGGTATTTATCATCACAGAACAAATTATAATGCACTGTATAATAAAGGATGACATGTGTCAGCCTTACGCTCCAAGTGAGGGCATACCATGTGGTTGTCAGGTAAGTCTAATACAGTGGGATCTGTCGAATCAGGAGTTTTGTTGAACCGAAAGATGCATGTATCCGGTTTAAACAGATGCCAGAGAAAAAGGAAAAGAGCATTAAGTTCATCAGGGTTATTATGGTCCGGTACTAACAGATATCCGGATACGACCGAGTCCGTGGCAACTGGTCCATGTAACGATGCATCTAAAGGCATGTAGACTTTCATGGTCCGACCTGCGAAGATGTTTTTCCCTATCCGTATGCGTACCAGCCAAAGTGCAATGGACAGAAGAGTTCGCACCACTGAATGTCAAGAGAAAGATTTTCACTCCTCCGATTTCAATGTCGTTGTACACTTATCTCTACAAGTCAAACCATCGGTTGATATCATGAGCAATAACATCTTCGGCGTATTATGAAAAAGACATAGGCAGACCCATCATCTTCAACGGACCCTAACGACATGAATGACATGCTTTGAACCTATTTTCATCCGGAAATAGTGTCGTTTCGAACAACCCGTGTATTCAAATCATATCAGTGTTAGAAAGCTGAAGAAAACGCTTTAAGCACACGGGAAACCCACAGATGTGGGATAACAGTGTTAGAAACCTTTCAAAATTTCTCACTAGATCACAGAACCAGTCCAATAATTAGTGGTCATATCTGTGCTTCACTGGTCCACTGGAGTGAATGCGCATGCTAGACTGGTTCCTGTTCTCCCATGCGCTTCGACTTGCGAGTATAACTCACTTTTTAATTCAAAGACAATTTAAATTATTTAGATGGGGAAAAATTTCACTGGCCACCAGCGCCACTGCAAACTTATCATTTAGCGGTCCTGATGAGTTTTTACTAGTCAGGGACCACAGGACCAGTGTAAATTTCGCACACTGGGATAATGGCTAATGGTGTGAACGTTGATGCAGGCATGACTAAGGGATGCAGGGCACCGTTTCACAAAGCTATCGTAGCGCTACGACTGCCGTACCTCCTATACTTTAACATAGACTTATGTAAGAAGCGATCTTAGCGCTAAGGTGATCGTAACTCCCATACAGTAACAAGGACACCCACGATAGTTGTAGCGCGAAGGCTGCTTTGTACAATGACACCGTGGACAGCGACCTCCCTGCTAATCTAATTACGTGAACGACATAACCTAGACACTCTTATCAACTAAAGGAGCTTTGCAAATGTACAGGTTTATTACCGTCTTTGGTGAGCTTGATGGGAGCATTGATTCCCGTGACAGACATCTCTGGGTTGTAAAACAACCCGAATGTAATCAATTCTATTGGTACCTCTGTCGTCAGCAGGGAGCGCCATCTGGCGACGTCTTTCCCAACATCAGTGTCAACGGACGGCACCAAGCATGTTTCTGAAACATATAACATTGTTATCGTATGTACGCTGATGTTTTCCATTATTTCTATTGTATTATGTCTGAGTTCTATAGCGCCATGGACAACAAGTATCAGTCAGCTGACACCTGATCCTCCATTTAATGCCATAACAAACATGGAGTTCTGGGGACATTAACCACCATGGAAAAGCAAACCTTTGCAAGAGCCTCACGGTGAAAAGGCCAGATAAGGGTTAGAGAGGTTTGATTAGAACCAGTATGTATAGTATGACCAGAAATTATTGAGAATTTTAGGAATATGTTTAATTGGATTTCTAGTATAAACAACCTTTACCAGCTATCAAGTGCTTGGTTTCATTCAAGAGAGACAACTCAGTTAATCCTTTTTCATTAGTTTGTGAACAGTTATCCCCCTTTGTTTACTTGCTAGCAGACCACATTTTCAGTGATCCTCAGTATGGATGATTTAGAGAAGAGGAAGTTGAGTTTTATAACAAGGACATCAGATCAGCTAAAGTGATTTCAAATAGAACAGGCATCCTTTGTCCACTGTTTATCGTGTTTTGAAAAATATTGCAAATGGATATGGCATTGAGCACCAGGGGGGCGCAGGTAGGCCAAGAAAATTGACTGTCGGTGACAGGAGGCGGCTTGGTATTCTTGTTTCTAAAAACAAACGAAGGAGTTTAGAAAACTTCAGGCTGGATATGATTGATAGAGGAACTGTGGCTGTCTGTAAGGAGACAATTAGAACTGAGCTGCATGCAATGGGTTGGCAGAAAAGTCGAGGAATTCCATCACCGATCATGAAACCTGAACAAAAGGAGCGAAGGTTGAACTAGTGCTTACAGCATAGAAATTTTAACTGGGACAATGTGATTTTCTCAGATGAAAGTTCTATGTGGCTATTTCCTAATACACTGAAATTCTGGACCAAACAAACTGAAAAACCTTTGTATCAGCACCCAAAGTACAGTCCGAAATTTAACGTGTGGGGTGGCATATCTGTGTTTGGGGCAACGCCCCTCTGTGTATTTGAAGGGAATATGAACAGTGAGCGATACACAGATATTCTCGAGGGACATTTACTTTCATCTGCTCAAGTGTTCTATGTTTGGATTTTCCAGCAGGACAACGACCCAAAACATCGTTCAAAGCATACACAGGCCCGGTTTCGGACCCAAAATATGACATTATTAGATTGGCCAAGCTATAGCCCTGACCTAAATCCAATAGAAAATGTTTGGGGACTTATGAAGGAAAGTGTCAATAAGAAAAATCTAACAAATATTGCTGAAATGAAAGAAGACGTGGTCCGATATTGGGACAGCATGGACCAAGACTTTCTAACTTCTTTTGATCAGTAGTATGCCCCGCCGCATTGAAGCCTGCATTGCTGCCCATGGTGACTTGACAAAATACTAACTGTTCTTTGAATCTGGAGTTATGTTCTGCTAATAGTGACATTTAATACGTGAGTAATGAGTGAAAAAATAGAAAAATTTACAATCTTTAAATTCTCCATAATTTCTGGTTGTACTGTATGTATGTATGTATGTGTGTATGTATGTGTATGTATGTATGTATGTATGTATGTATGTATGTATGTATGTATGTATGTATGTAGGTGTATGTCTCTCTCTTTCTCTCTGTATGTGTATGTATTTTTAATATGAAACTTTTCAAAACCTTATCTGTTTCAGCTAAACATCCCCGTCAGACGTACCCGTGATGATCCGGGTTAGAATTGATCTTCAGCAACCCATGCTTGTCGTAAGAGGCGACTAACGGGACTTGCTTGACATATGTCATCGTGCCCCAATTGCGTAGATCGATGCTCATGCTTTTGGCAACTGGATTGTCCCGTCCAGACTCGATTATTTACAGACCGCCGCCATTTAGCTGAAATATTGCTGAGTGCGGCGTTAAACAACAACCAACAAAGCAACCAACCAGCCCGCGCGACGCTCAGCCTCAAATGTCAGTTACTGCGGAAACGTCCCCAGAGAGAGTACCAATTCCAGAGCTCTCAACCAGATAAAATGAGGAAAATCAGATCCTAATCCCGTAAACACTACCATCCAGTTGCGTGGTTTAACTGATAAGGCCCGGCCTAGTACAGCACAAGCTACACCAGTTTCCGATACTAACATTTGGCCTTTTGTCAACGTGAAATGAAAACCAGTGATACAGCATGATTCTTGTTTTCGTTTTGTCTGTGACCTATTGGTTTGGACGACTGCGTCTGGTCAGTGCCATTAAGGCCATTCACATGTGAAATGTGGGGATTCCGATGTAAAATATTTCCCAGCATGTCGTAAGAATGAGTGAGGTGGGTTAACGCGTTTTTGAGTGAGTGAGTAAGTTTTACGCAGCACTCAGCAATATTCCAGCTATATGGAATCGGTCTGTAAATAAACTTGTCTGGACCAGACAATCCAGTGCTCAACAACATGAGCATCGATCTATGTAACTGGATACGATGACATGTATCAAACAAGTCAGCGAGCCTGACCACCTGATCCCATTAATCGCCTCTTACGACAAGCATTACTGGAGATCAATTCTAACCCGGATCTTAACGCGTTTTTGAACAAAACAAAACAAATCATTTGCAGTGATGTCACAGCTGTCAGGAAATCCTTAAAGGTCACATGCAACCAAAAAATCAAACATAATTAAAACACAATTATCACTTCTCCATGACATATAATATGCATTGCTGATTATGAAAATGCAAATAAACAAAATTATAAGCGTATAATCGCAAATCAAAAGTGCAATATTTTGTACTTGGGTTTACCTCCCTCGAAACGAAGCAGCCGGGATACCGAACCCAGTCAGAGCGGGTGGGTGTGCACTCAAGTGTAACGGCTGGTTCATTAGCAGATGCCGCCTTCACGGCTCATTGTGTGTGTATATATAGAGATGTTGGGTTTTGTAAATACATGCTCATTTTTTGTGTATAACATTTTGCAATCAACAGACATCATAACATGTCATGTGTTCAAGTATCACACCTGCCTGTCTGTGTAATTACATAATGTGACAGAGACCGAACTCGGGCCATAAATCAATGCGTTTTGTTTATGGTGTATAGCCTGATTGGTGTTAAGTTCAAATTGCATATGGTCAGTGATCGCAGTTGTGTATTGAATATTGTCATTAGCAGACAGGCAGGCAGACACACATGTGTCAATAAAACAAGACATTGAGTTTTGTCTGTGACAGCGACATATCTATATCACAGTTAGAAATTGTGTCAACGCTAAATAATGACATTGCTTTTAAGTATCGAACTGAGAAAGTGACTCGGTAAGAAGAACGTGTGGTGAAATAGACAAATGAAATTATATAAACAGTTTATTTACTGTCATAACATATAAAAAGCTCGCGCCTGTGAGACATCAACAAAACATTATGAAAATAGCTCACACCAAAGCCTTCACCGAGTATTCACCAGACAGCCCGCTTCCAAGTTGCGCGAACCTATTTCACTGCGCACATGCTATGAGCGCAGCCCAGCTGTTGAAACCCGTATTCCCCAGAAAAGTCTGGGGAAAATTAGTGAAACGTTTGAACTCCGATTTCGCGCGTTTTTTTTCATCGCGTTATTTTTCAACTTTATAAGTTGAATTGCATTTTTGACGCTTTGTTTCGGTAAGTCCATACCGAAAGGTATCAGAATCTGCAAAGTTGTGTTTTACGTTGCATGTGACCTTTAAGAGGTGCAAGTCGTTTAACACTTTGTTGCAAGGGTTAGGTGTAAGACTAATACTTTGTCTCTGAAAAAATATAACTGTGATGGAAACAAATAATTCCTTTTAAATTAAGAAGGAGCCCAGTGAGATGGGAGATACTGAACCCGAGGAAACTAGACTTGCTTCATTTAGGGCTTTTAGCATTACCGACAGGGCTGAGCGGAAGGGAAAACAATGCAGTTCAGGGACTGTGAGACAGGTGGGTGTCAACGATTATCAGATCCACGTGGAAATTGTATAGGTCCATGTGAAATTACCTCGAAATTACCCTAATTTTGACCTCGAGACAAACGTACGTTCGCCAATTCAAAGTTCGACACAACAGTATTAAGATCCTTCAAAACGAACACGTGTGACTTTGACCATTGTGACAAAATGTGATAATCAATGTACAACAGCATCCCAAATAGAGAAGTGTGGTGGTTAATACTCGTTTGTTCGTCATACGGAGGATTCGTTTTTTTTTAATATTTAGGGATTGATTTATCAGTAGCACCGTGAAACCGATTCGTTGATGAATCGGCGGTAGCTTTTATGGGTCTCCCATCACTTCCGCTCAGTGACCAAGCACCTGCAACATAGCGAAATATCAACCCTCCCACTTGTCTGTATGACTGATGTACAATGCACATGGTCTGTCTTTTACCTGTGGTTTGTTTGTCGAGATGATCTATGATGTCGTCCGATTCGGGCAGCAGCTTGTCATCGAATTGAAGCAGAGGGACCAGACCGTTAGGGTGAAGTCGGTAGAACCATTCCTGCAACTGCTCGTTGGCCATGAGGTTGACAAACACGGGTTTGAAGTCGATTTTCTTCTCAAAGAAAGTCAGGAGAACCTGGAACACACAAAGGAACAACGCCATGGAACCGGCAGTCGCTTGTTATTAAAAAAAAAATGAAATAAAAAAAATAAGAAAAATGTTTTCTAGCATCAGTTTAATATCTCGCTTGTGAAACTCGCCCAGAATAATGACATGCGGTTGTTTCAAGGGTATTTAACAAAATTCTTTAACACTGATATGTCAATCTTCCAATTAAGCTACCACTGATATGTCGAAGAGCTAAGCCGCTACTGATATGTCGATTCACTAAGTTAACACTGATATGTCGAACTTCCAAGCTACCACTGATATGTCGAATTACTAAGCTGCTACTGATATGTCTATTCACTAAGTTAACACTGATGTGTCGAACTTCCAAGCTACCACTGATATGTCGAACAACTAAGCTGCTACTGATGTGTCGAATCACTAAGCTAACACTGATATGTCGAACTTCCAAACTACCACTGATATGTCGTAAAACTAAGCTGCCACTTATATGTCGAAGAGCTAAGTTCCCACCGACGTGCAGAAGCTCTGAGGTCCCCTTAATACGCTATGTGATGGCTGGTTACAACACATATTTCGCAGCGTTATTGTGCCAGGAATCCATTAGACTTTGGACCCTTTCTCGTCCATAACTTGGCATCACCATCCCTCACATCACTATTAATTCCATCGTATTTTGTTTCATGTGCTGAACAGTGAAAACTGGGGATCATAAATATGTTTGGCATTTCTTGACGAAATAAGCTGCTCAGTCTTTACAACAAAACATATATCCTAAAATATTCCTCATCCTTATAAACCGTTTTGTTAAGTAAGAATTATCAGCCGGAAAGGATAAGCTTCCACAAATATAACACCCTAGTGCTACCGTACTACGCTACCAATAATACACAACCTACTTTTGCTTAAAAGCAACACATGCCTTCATCTCAAGACGCAGTTTTTGATATTTCGTTAAAAAATGTAAACATTAAACAAGTTTTATAGCCTCGATGAAGAAGAAAGGGCCTGTACAGCTTGCTCTTTTTCATAGAAATGTGACCGATAATGGCATTATAATTCACCAGCTCTACAGGCGTTTTGTCATATGCGTTTAACTATTCACAACGAGTCCGCCAGGCGCCACATGTCTCTGGTAAATGGGGACAACATTCACAGCGTTTAAGTAGCTCACGATTAACATGCGCTGAGTAGCTATTGTGTGGTTTTAAATATATCCACTCACCCAAAGTTTTAATCTTTCAGTTTCGTCCAGTGGGTTCAGGCATTATTTAAACTTTCGTTTTCAAGCATTTTGGCTAAAAAGGACAGGCTTACAGTATCCATTCAATACGTATTACGTTAGCTATGGTACGACGCTAGAATTAGCTCGACACATACAGCTGTGGTAAATACTCTATGTACAGTACAAGCTACAATTAGTACGTCACGTATTGTACCAAGTTACCTCGAAAGTGGCAACCTGCTACCATTAATACGTCACGGACATTACCAAGTTAGACCAATACGACACGAACGTTACCTCACTACACCAATAAGTCACATACGTAACCACATTAGACTAATACGTCACAGTATGTTTCCAAGCTGCACCAATACGACAAGAATGTTACCTGATTACACCAATACGTCACATACGTAACCACGTTAGACTAATACGTCCCAGTATGTTTCCAAGCTTCACCAATACGACACGAATGTTACCTCACTACACCAATACGTCACATACGTAACCACATTAGACTAATACGTCACAGTATATGTTTCCAAGATGCACCAATACGACACGAATGTTACCCGATTACACCAATACGTCACATACGTAACCACATTAGACTAATACGTCACAGTATATGTTTCCAAGATGCACCAATACGACACGAATGTTACCTGATTACACCAATACGTCACATACGTAACCACGTTAGACTAATACGTATGTTTCCAAGGTATACGAATACGACACGAATGTTACCTACTTACACCAATACGTCACATACGTAACCACATAAGACTAATACGTCACAGTATGTTTCCAAACTAGACCAATACGACACGAATGAAACCTACTTACACCAATACGTCACATACGTAACCACGTTAGACCAGTACGTCACAGTATGTTTCCAAGCTACACCAATACGAAACATATGTAACCACTTTAGACCAATACGTCAAAGTATGTTTCCAAGGTATACCAATACGACACGTACGCTACGAAGCTACACCATCACTGGCGGATCCAGAGGGGGTTGGGGTTGGGGGTTTGGTGTGTCCCTGAACACCATCAATACGTATGTAACCACTTTAGACCAATACGTCAAAGTATGTTTCCAAGGTATACCAATACGACACGTACGCTACGAAGCTACACCATCACTGGCGGATCCAGAGGGGGTTGGGGTGGGGGGTTTGGTGTGTCCCTGAACACCCTTCGCCACCCCTTTGAAAATTCCTCGATTCGTCTATGACCATTACGCCATGAAAGTTATCAAACTACACCCCAGAAAAAATTTAAATCAACATAAGGTAAAATAAATAAATAAAATCAAATCAAACACATGTAAATATGAAATATACTCTCCCCAAAAAGAAACGCATATAGGAATTTCAACTGTATTCTTATGTTTATTTTGAAACATCTTGTAGGCTTTATGAGTCAATGAAATATAGCGAAATTGCACACTGGGAATGCAGACTTATCCGTCTTTGGCACCAACTCGAGGAAAGTCAGTTTGAGTGTCACATGGAGACGTGTGGTGGCGCTGAAGTCAATACCTCGTGTGACCACCGTGGGCATCCAGAACTGCACGGCATCGCCTCGGCATCGAACGAATAAGTCTCAGAATCTCGTGTTGCCCAATCGCAGCCCACTCTGCCTGTAGTGCCTGTGCGAGTTGCTGAAGTGTCTGGGGCTGAGGGTTACGGCGTCGCACCCGTCTGTTCAGGGCATCCCACAGATGTTCGATCGGGTTTAAGTCCGGTGATCTTGAGGGCGAGGGGAGCACATTGATGTTGTGGTTCTGGAGAAAGTCTCTAATGTGACGTGCTGTGTGGGGCCTGGCATTGTCCTGTTGAAACAACTCCCTCTGGCGATCAATGATTGGAAGGAGGTGTGGGCGTAGGATTTCGTCACAGTACCGTTGAGCTGTCAGGTTGCCCTGGATCATCACCAAATCACTTCTCCTACGGCAGGTGATCGCTCCCCACATCATAAAACTTCCCCGGCCGAATCTGTCCACCTGGGGAACGCAAGCGTCGGCGAAACGTTCACGTCGACGTCTGTACATCCGCATTCTTCCATCACGTCGTTCCAATAGAAATCGTGATTCATCACTGAACCAGATTCTATGCCAATTATGTAGGTTCCAGGCCTGAACGTTGGTGCACCATTGAACTCGATGTCGACGATATTGTTGTCGAAGCACAGGGCCAAAATAAGGTCTTCTGGCTCGTAAACCAGCCTCTCTCAACCTGTTCCTGACGGTCTGTGAAGAAAACCTCCTCAATCCGGGTATTTGTCGAGCGGTACTGGTCGCCGTAGCTGTTCGATGACGCAGGTGATGTACCCGGATGTAGCGATCCTGCGCCGCAGTGGTCGCTCGAGGTCGCCCACTACGAGGGGCATCTGCTACCGAATTCTGCCGGCGATATCTCTCCCAGAGCCGTGAAATGGTGCTTTGGTGAACATTCATGCGTCGGGCAACTGCACGTTGCGACTGGCCAGCTTCAAGCAAACCAATGGCGATATGACGGTTGGCTTCACTTAGACGTGGCATTTTGCGTTCGTCAACAATATTCCAAATACAGTGAATAATCGACAGACAGCGATCAACCTTTTATACCCATCATTGAAACTATCTGATCCCCAACTTTCATGTGCATTGCACGTGAATTGTGTATTCTGTGACACTGCACGCCGAAATTGAAACTAATGCTGTTAAATACGGGTATTTTACGGATGGTGCGTTTTGTTGTGATGTTTCAAAACATAAACACCATAGGACTCATAAACAGAGCAAAACCTTTTGTAAAATGAATCACGTTTTAATTCATTGCTACATGAAATTGCTATTTTTATGATGCGTTTCTATTTTGGGAGAGTATATAATATTTATGTGTATTGATGATATAGTGTCCGTTGTTTGCCTTCCGACGACTCCCACAACACTGACATTCACACGGTGTCCGCCTTGGTCACCTGCAGATAAGGTTTCTCCGACATTGATTTGACAGGAACTCTACAACATAGCAGGTCAGCTCGGGGGAATTCCTTGGCACATCGCCAAGACTTCACACCCATGGAAACGCACCGTCCTAAACATCTCAACAGAATGTTACATTCTACAAAGTTTCAATAGGCGCCGTATAGACACCACACAGGCTTGCACAAGCTCACGGCGCACAATAATCTAAATATATAACCTAAGAACGATAGGGAGCTACACCATCACTGGCGGATCCAGAGGGGGGTAGGGTGGGGGGGTTTGGCGTGTCCCTGAACACCTTTCGCCACCCCTTTGAAAATTCCTCGATTCGTCTATGACCATTACGCCATGAAAGTTATCAAACTACACCCCAGAAAAAAATTAAATCAACATAAGGTAAAAATAAATAAATAAAATAAAATCACACACATGTAAATATGAAATATACTCTCCCCAAAAAGAAACGCATATAGGAATTTCAACTGTATTCTTATGTTTATTTTGAAACATCTTGTAGGCTTTATGAGTCAATGAAATATAGCGAAATTGCACACTGGGAATGCAGACTTATCCGTCTTTGGCACCAACTCGAGGAAAGTCAGTTTGAGTGTCACATGGAGACGTGTGGTGGCGCTGAAGTCAATACCTCGTGTGACCACCGTGGGCATCCAGAACTGCACGGCATCGCCTCGGCATCGAACGAATAAGTCTCAGAATTTCGTGTTGCCCAATCGCAGCCCACTCTGCCTGTAGTGCCTGTGCGAGTTGCTGAAGTGTCTGGGGCTGAGGGTTACGGCGTCGCACCCGTCTGTTCAGGGCATCCCACAGATGTTCGATCGGGTTTAAGTCCGGTGATCTTGAGGGCGAGGGGAGCACATTGATGTTGTGGTTCTGGAGGAAGTCTCTAGTGTGACGTGCTGTGTGGGGCCTGGCATTGTCCTGTTGAAACAACTCCCTCTGGCGATCAATGATTGGAAGGAGGTGTGGGCGTAGGATTTCGTCACAGTACCGTTGAGCTGTCAGGTTGCCCTGGATAATCACCAAATCACTTCTCCTACGGCAGGTGATCGCTCCCCACATCATAACACTTCCCCGGCCGAATCTGTCCACCTGGGGAACGCAAGCGTCGGCGAAACGTTCACGTCGACGTCTGTACATACGCATTCTTCCATCGCGTCGTTCCAATAGAAATCGTGATTCATCACTGAACCAGATTCTACGCCAATTCGGTAGGTTCCAGGCCTGAACGTTGGTGCACCATTGAACTCGATGTCGACGATATTGTTGTCGAAGCACAGGGCCAAAATAAGGTCTTCTGGCTCGTAAACCAGCCTCTCTCAACCTGTTCCTGACGGTCTGTGAAGAAAACCTCCTCAATCCGGGTATTTGTCGAGCGGTACTGGTCGCCGTAGCTGTTCGATGACGCAGGTGATGTACCCGGATGTAGCGATCCTGCGCCGCAGTGGTCGCTCGAGGTCGCCCACTACGAGGGGCATCTGCTACCGAATTCGGCCGGCGATATCTCTCCCAGAGCCGTGAAATGGTGCTTTGGTGAACATTCATGCGTCGGGCAACTGCACGTTGCGACTGGCCAGCTTCAAGCAAACCAATGGCGATTTGACGGTTGGCTTCACTTAGACGTGGCATTTTGCGTTCGTCAACAATATTCCAAATACAGTGAATTATCGACAGACAGCGATCAACCTTTTATACCCATCATTGAAGCTATCTGATCCCCAACTTTCATGTGCATTGCACGTGAATTGTGTATTCTGTGACACTACACGCCGAAATTGAAACTAATGCTGTTAAATACGGGTATTTTACGGATGGTGCGTTTTGTTGTGATGATTCAAAAACATAAACACCATAGGACTCATAAACAGAGCAAAACCTTTGTAAAATGAATCACGTTTTAATTCATTGCTACATGAAATTGCTATTTTTATGATGCGTTTCTATTTGGGAGAGTATATAATATTTATGTGTATTCGATGATATAGTGTCCGTTGTTTGCCTTCCGACGACTCCCACAACACTGACATTCACACGGTGTCCGCCTTGGTCACCTGCAGATAAGGTTTCTCCGACATTGATTTGACAGGAACTCTACAACATAGCAGGTCAGCTCGGGGGAATTCCTTGGCACATCGCCAAGACTTCACACCCATGGAAACGCACCGTCCTAAACATCTCAACAGAATGTTACATTCTACAAAGTTTCAATAGGCGCCGTATAGACACCATTCAGGCTTGCACAAGCTCACGGCGCACAATAATCTAAATATATAACCTAAGAACGATAGGGAGATTGTTAGGTTGACCCCAATTGGGAGACATTTCTTAAAAAGTTAGGCTCCTGTATAAAGAAAACATCTTCTCGAAACGTTAATCGTGCTTGAGGGAAAGGGAAAGCAATTTACCAGAATACAAACTTGAAACCTCGATTGAAGAAATGCCGCGTGATGTGATAAAATTAGAATCTGAGAGTTCTGGTGCTACCAACAATTTCATCGTGTCCTGGATACTTGAAAATATATTTTGTTGCATAATAACCAGGATATTTAATTGAATATTGCAATGGTATACACCGCCCCCAATTCCACTGATTCTTTGCATATATTACTCCTAAGCTAGAGCGGTTAAAATGAAAAGATAAGGTAATACTATTTTCCGGAAGAATTTTGATTGGGTGGTATGCTTTCTCAATACAAATGTGGGTAAGGAACAAAACAAAAAAACTAAAATCAACTGAATATATATTTTTTAAAAACACGCAAATGACGTTCACATAAAAGCACTAACATATTTAAAAGCATAATCGAATCCCAATGGATAACAGGACATTAACTCTAATCTAGTATCTCTTATATTTTGGCATACAAAAACATTTTTGATGCATGTGTGGATAAAAATAACATTGAGTTTTGTTTTGAGTAAAACATCAACTGCCGGCTGGGGTGATATACTGTCAAGCCGTGTGATTACAGAGTTACCGGTCTCCGTTTATACGCTGCAGTCTTATTAACGTAAACATGTCTCGAACACAGACTAGCACCGCGTAGCAGTGAGGAAACAGGAAATATAATGGAACCGTTGTCTGCCGAAAGCTAGACTAAGGCTTAGTCTCTGAATATACATAATTTTGATAGTAACAAACAAGCCCATTTATATTGAAAAGGAGCCCTAGGGAGACCAGAGATTCAGAATCCTGAACCTGGGGAAATCTAGACTTGCTTCGTTTAGGGCTTTAGCACTACAGGGAAGGCTAGGCTGTAGGGAAAATAATGTGGTTCAGGGACTGTGAGACAGACTAGCCGAAAGCCAATTCTTGCCCTAACTAAAACGCATTCTCATTGAGAGTGCTGGAAGCTGGAAGCAACAGAAGAATGTATCGAAGACAATTTATATGTTTTTTCTTGAATAGAAGTACTGCCTCATTACGTGTGATACAAAGCAGAATTCAGCCCAGCTGATGTATAGGAGAGGCCATCTCGTATTTACACCAGCAGCTGAGCCACTAGCCTTGCTCAAAGGATGTACTGAATGCTGAGCACATGGATGTATAGTAATTCTATCCTTCGAAGAGTCAAGTCTAGACAAGCGGACAGTACATGGACCCCCGTCTGTTATTTATTATTTCTTAGAAATTTTCATTTAAACTATTTATATTTACCTCAGAGACTTGTGCAAGTCTAGTAAACCACGCGTGTTGCAGTACTTGATTTATTTACAGCGTGTTTTCCAACGAATGTGTGATTAACTCAGATGTACTATGTTGTTCCAGCCATTCCTAGTATGTTATTAACTTTCTGCTGGTATGTTATTAAATTACATAACAGTAAATTGAAAAACTTACTATGTTTGAAATTATAAGTCCAAATATTATTCAAATTTGAAATTTTGCCAGATATGAAATTAAATTTAATATAGGACAGTGACATAAGGCAGGCAGTGTCAGGTATTATCGGTAAACTTCCGTGCGGAACTAAGAATTCTTCAATGTCGGAACCGTGGGAAGAACTGGTCCCAAGACAGAATGTATCAAATTGTCTCTTTTGATAACAAAGTATAAATACTGTTTTGAATGCTCTAGTATATACTCATGCAGACACTTAAAATCAGGCTAACAACAATATAAAACATATCAACCTATCTTAACTTTTGAGAGAACCCCTGAAGAAAGAGTTCAAACTTGATTCAACAATGCTTCGGGACATACATTACGTATACAGAGCGAAAATCAACACTAGGGTAATTTCAACGTTCAGATTTCCTATGACTATTAATAATATTATTATCGCTATGACATATCAGTTGTAATGCTTTACACGTGTCACAGGCACGAAACGCTGTATTCTCGAGGAATGTGGTAGAACTTACCTTCTGAGAATAGTAGGACATTGGGAACTGATACAGCGTGTATTTCGGCTCGACAGCCATCTTGTTGAGCACCGTTCTCAGACTGACCGGCTGGACCGACTGCTGCAGAAGAATACGTCTTGTTTGCAGGGAGAGGCAGGCCGTGTGCACAAACGCGTTTTTATGTAGACTCTCAACATTATAGACTCCTTTCTATTGGTCGCGTTTAGATATGCGCATTAGGGCCTTTCCGTGAATTTTCTGTACGTCGCCATAAAGGATTTGTCATGATATGGGGGATTCTGTATCAAGATATCTTGCAAAATTGTTTGTTTGGGGAATAAAAGGCTTTTCTTATTCATATATTTTTAAACACATTGTTGAAGTGAAGTGAAAGGCAATTTTGTAATGTATCACGCTTAAATAAACACGTGACGGATATGTCTGCAGTAAAGTATATAAAATAAAAGTTTATTCAACCATTCCAAATAGTTCTCTGTCCGAAAATTTAAGCTTTTTGCCATCTCTACCGTTCTTACCGTTTATTGACAGTTGGTGTTTAGCTGTGTTTCACATCAAATACAGTTCAAGTTCGGTTTTTAAAAAATCGGTTATTTCGAATGGACTGTTTCTCGACCACGCTCTTTGGTTCCGACTGTGTAAATGTGTGGACAAAAAAGATGTTTGTTTTTTCTTGAAATAGACAACATATTTCCTTGTTATGAAATCCATGTCGGTTCAAAGCTTAAGTAAACCCTGCTCATGTTTACTGATGTTTTTCTTCTGATGGGACTATGTAGCTAATCTAGTAAGGCGCAAACGATGCAGTGATGAACATCGAACTACTCTATTTAATTGGGATGCATTGACATCCTCCAAGCAAGACGGCGAGAGCCTGACCTTCCGATCCTGCCCGGGAAGTTAGTCGCCTCTTTGACTTGCCAGGCTTAACACCTGATCCCGTTAGTCGCCTCTTTGACTTGCCAGGCTTAACACCTGATCCCGTTATTCGCCTCTTTGACTTGCCAGGCGTAACACCTGATCCCGTTAGTCGCCTCTTTGACTTGCAAGGCGTAACACCTGATCCCGTTAGTCGCCTCTTTGACTTGCCAGGCGTAACACCTGATCCCATTAGTCGCCTCTTTGACTTGCCAGGCGTAACACCTGATCCCGTTAGTCGCCTCTTTGACTTGCCAGGCTTAACACCTGATCCCGTTAGTCGCCTCTTTGACTTGCAAGGCGTAACACCTGATCCCGTTAGTCGCCTCTTTGACTTGCCAGGCGTAACACCTGATCCCGTTAGTCGCCTCTTTGACTTGCCAGGCGTAACACCTGATCCCGTTAGTCGCCTCTTTGACTTGCCAGGCGTAACACCTGATCCCGTTAGTCGCCTCTTTGACTTGCCAGGCGTAACACCTGATCCCGTTAGTCGCCTCTTTGACTTGCCAGGCTTAACACCTGATCCCGTTAGTCGCCTCTTTGACTTGCCAGGCTTAACACCTGATCCCGTTAGTCGCCTCTTTGACTTGCCAGGCGTAACACCTGATCCCGTTAGTCGCCTCTTTGACTTGCCAGGCGTAACACCTGATCCCGTTAGTCGCCTCTTTGACTTGCCAGGCGTAACACCTGATCCCGTTAGTCGCCTCTTTGACTTGCCAGGCGTAACACCTGATCCCGTTAGTCGCCTCTTTGACTTGCCAGGCGTAACACCTGATCCCATTAGTCGCCTCTTTGACTTGCCAGGCGTAACACCTGATCCCGTTAGTCGCCTCTTTGACTTGCCAGGCTTAACACCTGATCCCGTTAGTCGCCTCTTTGACTTGCCAGGCTTAACACCTGATCCCGTAAGTCGCCTCTTTGACTTGCCAGGCTTAACACCTGATCCCGTTAGTCGCCTCTTTGACTTGCCAGGCGTAACACCTGATCCCGTTAGTCGCCTCTTTGACTTGCCAGGCTTAACACCTGATCCCGTTAGTCGCCTCTTTGACTTGCCAGGCGTAACACCTGATCCCGTTAGTCGCCTCTTACGACAAGGCTGGTTTGCTGAAGACCAATCTAAGTCAGGCTCGACAAAGTATGTCGGGAAAGATTAAGACGAATTAAATATTTCACTTAGTCTGAATAAAAAACTGTGTCTATATAATGATAAATTACAGACGCGTGTTGTTACATTTATGTAGATATATCTCCATCTTATCTAAGGGACATGTCTGTGATTTAAAAAAAATACGATTTGTCGTTTAACGCCGCAGTCAGCAATACGGCGGTCCGTAAATAATCGAGTCGGGACCAGACAGTCCATTGATCCAAAGCATGATCATCGATCTACGCAATTGGGATACGATGACATGTGTCAACCAAGTCAGCGAGCCTGATCACCCGATCCCGTTGGTTGGTTCTTACGACAAGCATGGGTTACTGAAGACCAATTTTAACCCGGATCTCCACGGGTTGAGGAATCCATGCATGTGAGGGTGAAATCATGTCATGTCGGTAGTGGCATGTCATGTGGTGGGTGAAATGTCATGTCGGCAGCAACATGTCTTGTGGTGAACTCTGTATTATTCAACAGAGCTTTCTCTCTTTCTCTGTTAATCTGGGAATGTCAACGTTTTCCTCAAGGTTTATGTATTCCAGTTACTTAAATCGTGGTTACGTCTAAACGCTATGTCTTTCTTTGTGTAAGCTGACATATATAATCACTCACGAGCCCATATTTGTAACAGATGTCATTAATCACCTTGGTTCATAAACGTAAGGACATAAGTTGGGTTTCTCGTCGCTATCATTCATATATTACTTTGGCCAACACAACTGATATCTCATCACCCAGTCCTACGACGCTGTGGATATTCCGCTCAGAACAGATTCCACGAAGAGCAGGTCATTACAGTATGTGACGTGCGTACTCGGCCTCGTTTGTTGCTCTTGATATCAACCATTAGCGTGGTTGAGACTCAACCGAGATTTTTGATTGTAGCAAACTGGAATTGATGTGGTATTAATGTGTTCACGGTATGTGAACCATTATTATCCTAGAACCACTGGCACGGTATGTAAACCACGGTATGTGGACCATTATTATCCCAGAATGACAATCACGGTATGTGAACCATTATTATCCTAGAACCACTGGCACGGTATGTAAACCACGGTATGTGGACCATTATTATCCTAGAATTACAAGCACGGTATGTGAACCACGGTATATGAACCACTATTGTCCTAGAACCATATCACGGTATGTGAACCACGGTATGTGAACCATTATTATCCTAGAATTACAAGCACGGTATGTGAACCACTATTGTCCTAGAACCACAGGCACGGTATCTGAACCACGGTATGTGAACCATTATTGTCCTAGAATTACAAGCACGGTATGTGAACCACGATATGTGAACCACTATTGTCCTAGAACCACAGGCACGGTATCTGAAACACGGTATGTGAACCATTATTATCCTAGAATTACAAGCACGGTATGTGAACCACTATTGCCCTAGAACCACAGGCACGGTATGTGAACCACGGTATGTGAACCATTATTATCCCAGAATCACAATCACTGTATGTGAACTATTATTATCCTAGAACCACTGGCACGGTATGTAAACCACGGTATGTGGACCATTATTATCCTAGAATCACAAGGTATGTGAACCATTATTATCCTAGAACCACAGGCACTGTATGTGAACCACGGTATGTGAACCATTATTATCCTAGAAGTACAATCACGGTATGTGAACCACGGTATGTGAACCATTATTATCTTAAAATCACAAGGACGGTATGCGAACCACGGTATGTGGACCATTATTATCCTAGAATTACAAGCACGGTATGTGAACGACGGCATGTGAACCATTGTTATCTAAACATCACAACACCGGTATGTGAACCATTGTTAAACTATCTTTTATAACCATATCAACATGTTGTCACGGTAGGAGGCTGCATGGAAAATAGCAATCACATATTATATTGAATTGGTGACATTTTTTACGAATTTCAGCAGTCATATTAAAATGGGGGAAACGCACAGAGTTTTTTAAATATTTATGACAGTACATGTTATTGAAAACTGGAAATGTTACAGACTAACTGACCACATTCCATAATCTTAAACCTTGCTAAGGGTCACATTGATAACGAACGTCCGAGACCAGTATCTTGTATTGTGTCGGCAGATAGAGATCTACTAATGTATATCGCTGTGAACTTCACCAATCAACATCGTTGGCATCAATATGTTTATCAAACGTATTATGTAATCCTGTCAAGAAACCTCAGTTTGCAGTTGGCACCCTATCGTCAGTCGAGGTAAGCAACAGGATCTCGATAAAGAAACTGAAGTTCACAACAACTTTATCGTCAGTTTCATCAGTAAATGCGTTTATATTTGATAACTAGAATAGGTATAAAAGGGACGACACACAGTCACAAATCACCCTGTGACTGCTGTGTAATGAAGTGTTCGTTTATTTTCTCAGGTGTTTTGTGTGGGTTGGTATTGTCAACCCTTGCCGATCGACCTGATTCCCCGACACTCGCGTTTAAATAATTAGTATTCATTCATTCATTCATTCATTCATTCATTCATCCACCCTCCCACCCACTCACTCACTCACTCGATCACTCGATCACTCACTCACTCACTCACTCACTCACTCACTCACTCACTCACTCACTCATTCATTCATTCATCCACCCACCATCAATTCACTCATTCATTCATCCACCCATCCATCCATTCATTCATTGTTTGAGAGTCGTATTAGTTAGTTAGCTGTTACCCTCGTACCTACTGCAAATTAAACATTAATGCCTCTCCAATGTCCGTAGGATGTTTCTGAACTTTATTCTCATCCCGGTAACTCGTCTCTAACGTCAATTTGCCAATGTTGTTGTTGACAGTCTCCATGCTTCTGTTTATTTACATGAAGCCACATGACAAACTGGATCTATGATGTTCTCAACACGCACCTGTAGATTGACTGGGAATTACCCTGCTAATACAACGTTATTGCTGAGCATGACAGTGTTTGATGTTGAAGACAAGCCGGCATTGTATGACACGACGGATTCTGTGACTGGTCAGTTTCATGATTTCACGACGGTCGACGCCAGCTTGTGAGGACAAATT